CACGGCTTACATCACAGACTTCGCATCGCTTCAGTGACCTAATGCACTCCTAACCTTCGGAGAGGCTTTTCATTTTGCTCCTGCAGTGTTTATACTTCACGAGAAAATAAATGGAAAACAAGAAAACTTGTTACTGTATATTTGTCTCCTGAATTGTTGTTGTTTATTTTTGTTTGCCATTCTCCTTGTGCATTTCTCTTTGCATCTCTGTTTTCGTTTACCTGCCTTTTCTATTCTCCCATCTTTCGCTCTCTCTGGCTTCCGCTGTCACTCTCTTTGCATTTTCGCCTGTCATCTGGCGGTCAGTAGCCGGCGCCCTTCCCACTGCTTCCCGCATCCCGTTACGTTCCGTTTCCTCCTCACATCCTCATCCTACTGCATCGAAATGCGTATTCTATAATATACTAAATCGCTGATTACTTTGGCAATACGAAATCCGTTTGTCTTGAAAATCGCAATTTTTACAATTAATTTAATGTATTTATCCTGGTCCTGGTATTTTTGTTGAATCGTGGGATAAATGTTTCTTTAAATTCAAAACGTAATTAGTAAAATAAATAAATAAAATAATACATATGAATAGATCAATATAAATCTTAAATTTAGTTTGCTAAAGAGTAGAAATTATTAATGAAAGACACAGTAAACTTCCATGCTCTGATACTCTACTAGTATATAGAAGTATTCAGCATTGACATATACTCCTGGCACGAAAATTCGTTTTTCACGTTGTTAATCCAAATTCAGTCTGTTTAAAAAAATTATACCTATATTATATTATTTAAATAAAACCAAACTATGATCATTTGGAGTACATTTTCCTATGGTATCTATGATTTTATGCTGACTGTAAATACACTCTGTCTTAAATTCCTAACCATGGTAAAATGAACAGGTATTATTTAGATTTAGTCATCAGCTTATTTATATACGCATATGTTTATCTGGCCAAAATCATAATACCCGCAGGAAGGGTGTAGAAAGCAATCGTCGCCATGTACAGCGAGTCATTTTTTGTAGGCGTCTCTTCGGCCTTGTTTTTCTTCGCTTTTATATTTCGCATTAGAGTTTCCACATTGCACAAATCATCTTTCTGTGACAAGAAAATCTTTGCCAATGTTTATTGTCTATCGTAGAACGTCCTGGCCAGCTGCATGTTGAATGTTTCTGCGAGTGCTCCACAAGATATTGCCGGTATGTGAGCCCTCTTGTACCTGCCCGAATCTCAATCTCCGCGATTGCCCCATCCAAAACCTATTTCCCCACCTCCTAGCCAGCTTTTAGCCTTGTTTCTGTAGCGTCGTTTGCAGCCACAATTGGAGTATAAATAAGCCGCAGATGCGAGCTTACCAGCCAGTCGAGATTCGGTGTTTGTTTCTGCGATTACTTGACTGACACTCAAATTTTTGCTCTTTGCAGTGCTGCAACGATAAAGAAATGAACTCAAACATATTTCTGGGCACAGCGGAGAACGGCCTGCGGCACGATAAGATTGTTATACTTGATGCGGGAGCACAGTACGGCAAAGTGAGCTTAAAACCAAAAGTAGTTTAAACCTCTCTCTAAAATTGTCCCAATTGTTTCGCAGGTTATCGACCGTAAGGTACGCGAACTCCTCGTTGAGTCGGATATCCTTCCATTGGACACGCCAGCATCCACGATACGCAACAATGGCTATCGGGGCATCATCATCTCCGGGGGACCCAACTCAGTCTACGCAGAGGATGCGCCCAGCTATGATCCCGATCTGTTCAAGCTAAAGATACCTATGCTGGGCATCTGCTACGGCATGCAGCTAATCAACAAAGAGTTCGGAGGCACAGTGCTCAAGAAGGATGTTCGAGAGGATGGCCAACAAAATATCGAGATCGAGACCTCGTGCCCGCTCTTTAGGTGAGCCTGGAAATAATAAATCCTAGAGTAAGCAGCAACAAGAAAGTGCTTAGGCTGAAATGAGTTTATCTAAGCGCTGATACAATGCTGCAATAGCAATTTTAAAGCCAAGAACAGTTTAGTTTAGAGCAGTTTATAAACTGATCTACACGTGGCATAACATATTCAATTTTACACCTAATTATTACAATCTTATCTGTAATTAAATAACATAACAAATTCGTTTCCCACAGTCGCCTTAGTCGCACACAGTCCGTGCTGTTAACCCACGGCGATAGCGTTGAGAGGGTGGGCGAGAATCTGAAGATTGGTGGCTGGTCCACAAACCGCATTGTGACAGCCATTTACAATGAAGTACTCCGCATCTACGGCGTCCAGTTCCATCCTGAGGTGGACCTCACTATCAATGGCAAACAGATGCTATCGAACTTCCTGTACGAAATCTGCGAACTGACGCCCAACTTTACCATGGGTAGTCGAAAGGATGAGTGCATACGCTACATCCGCGAGAAAGTTGGCAACAATAAGGTGTTGGTGAGTTTGGAAAATTACATTTTGAATCAAGACATGAATATTTAAATGGAATCTACATTCTTACAGCTGCTGGTCAGCGGCGGCGTGGATTCGAGTGTTTGTGCAGCTTTGCTCCGCCGTGCTTTGTACCCTAATCAGATAATTGCAGTGCATGTAGATAATGGTATGGCAGTAGATAAGATTTGCGAAATTTATTCATGTATAAGAATAGAATTTAAAATGAATAATCGGTAAATGCCGAATTTATATCATTTGTATTTTAAATTGTATACACCTTATATTTTGTCCTTTACTCCTAGGTTTCATGCGCAAGAACGAGAGTGAAAAGGTAGAGCGTTCACTGCGCGATATTGGCATCGATTTAATCGTCCGAAAAGAAGGCTACACGTTCCTTAAAGGCACCACGCAAGTCAAGAGGCCCGGACAGTACTCCGTGGTGGAAACGCCTATGTTATGTCAGACTTATAATCCGGAGGAGAAACGCAAGATAATTGGTGATATATTCGTCAAAGTGACCAACGACGTAGTAGCCGAACTGAAACTAAAGCCTGAAGAAGTTATGTTGGCACAGGGAACCCTCCGACCAGATCTGATCGAGTCCGCCTCGAACATGGTGAGCACGAATGCAGAAACAATCAAAACGCACCACAATGACACGGATCTGATCAGGTAATAACCAATGGGCGAAACTCCCAACCAAGTTATACTGCTTAGCTTATTTTTTCTCAATTCATTTCTTCAGAGAGCTTCGTAACGCAGGACGTGTGGTTGAGCCGCTTTGTGACTTCCATAAGGATGAAGTGCGCGACCTAGGCAATGATCTTGGCCTGCCGCAAGAGCTTGTGGAGAGACAACCCTTCCCAGGTCCTGGTTTGGCGATCCGCGTCCTCTGCGCCGAGGAGGCATACATGGAGAAGGACTACTCAGAAACTCAGGCATGTTAACAATAAATACTTGTCAAAGTTCTTTTAATAAATAGATTATTTATTTGTAGGTTATTATCCGCGTGATTGTAGACTACAAGAATAAACTGCAAAAGAACCATGCTCTGATCAACCGCGTAACAGGCGCCACGAGCGAGGCGGAACAGAAAGACCTAATGCGTATCTCGGCGAACTCGCAGATCCAGGCAACTTTGCTGCCCATCCGCTCCGTGGGCGTGCAAGGTGATAAACGGTCATACAGCTACGTAGTAGGCCTATCCACGAGCCAGGAGCCCAACTGGCAGGACCTTCTCTTCCTCGCCAAAATCATACCGCGCATACTGCACAACGTGAACAGGGTGTGCTACATCTTCGGCGAACCCGTGCAGTACCTTGTGACGGATATTACGCACACCACACTGAATACGGTAGTTCTTTCGCAGCTAAGGCAAGCGGATGATATTGCTAATGAAGTAAGTGAATTTGATTTGCCAAAGGTAATAAGTCAAATGTATTAATCATAACCATTTTAGATTATAATGCAAGCTGGACTATACCGGAAAATCTCTCAGATGCCTGTTGTTCTCATACCCGTGCACTTTGACCGCGATCCCATTAACCGCACACCCTCCTGCAGAAGATCGGTAGTGCTGCGTCCGTTCATAACGAACGACTTTATGACTGGTGTGCCTGCTGAGCCCGGTTCCGTGCAACTGCCATTGCAAGTGAGTCAATGTTCAATCTTTCTGAAAAATGTATATTAAAAATTGATCTGCTCACAGGTTCTAAATCAAATTGTACGCGATATATCCAAGCTGGATGGAATCTCGAGGGTGCTATACGACTTGACAGCCAAGCCGCCGGGCACCACCGAGTGGGAATGATGCGTTCAAACCAAATCTTTTAACCGCCATTTCATAGAAGTAGATGAGACAAAAAATAATCAACCAACCAATAAGCGGCGGGCGCTCGAGCCGAGGACAATGGCCAATCAATGGACGGTCAGGTGGGATAAAGATCCAACGGTGGATGGATCGACCCTTGCCTTCGAGCCCATCGCAGCTGCTCCTGCCTTCTAAAGAGACACGTTAAACGAGCAATTCATGAGGCGCAAATACAGAACTGCAACTGCCGCTTCGAAATTTAAAAACAATTCAGGTTCATTATATCGATGATACACGTATGTGTAGTTACTGTGGAATTAAGCGAATCGAGATCTAAAACAAATGGTAAACTATTTGCCAATAACACTTATGTACATTTTCATGTTTTGTTCCTTTTGAGAAAAGGAATGTGCCCACAAACCACGTAACAAACAAAAACAATTAATTTACGCATTTTTAGTTATATACATAAAATATATATATATTATATACATAATAATAAATAATTGCAAAATAACAAGTTGAGAAAGTTGTATATTTGCTATAGAGAAAAGTGTTTTCGTGGCAAAAGGCATAAAGAAAAGATTGTAAGAATACGAAACAAAAATATTGTAAGCTAAAATTATGAACTGTTATATAAAACGTATATATTTAAAAAATGGCAAAACCAGAAAAACAAAAACGATTATGATACGAGAAATGTAATAAAGCAAAAAATCGATTTAAATGTGTTTGCATTGCATTTTTTAATATTAAACATCTGCAACCCAAGACCTACGGCCTAATCTTTGCTTTTGTTAAGTAATAGGGGCCTCCACTAGTAATTTTTTGCATTTTTTGAAACGCTTCGCGGGTGAGAACTAACTTGCTGTTTTGGTGGTTTCTTAATTTTTCAAGAGACGCCATCTTTTCTCTAATGGGTGTACGTTTACTTGACTTTTCTTGCATATGTCGCAGGTTTCTAGATGGATTTGATTCACGATTAGGTCCCGAATGCTGCGGTTGCATCGCCGGATTAAAAAAATATTTAGAAGACAAACTAAAGTGATTTGTTCCTGATCTAAAAACTTACAATGGTTGGTGGTTTTCCCTCTTCTCGGTCAAACATGTGATTTAGAAACAGAAGTTTATCTGAATAAAAAAGTTTTGGCTGCGGCGATTCACCAGAAAACTTTGCACCATGCTCTTGGATGCGCCCGAGTTCAACTTTATAGCGAAGTTTGTGGATCATATGTTTCCAAAACCCAGATGGGGAGTCCACTTTCATTTCATTGGCGATCGCCTCCCAGATTCGGTCCTTGAGTTCAAAATTGAAGAAATCTTTGTTACACTGATTCCACAAGCATTTGTGATCCTCATACAAGGCAATTAACTTTAATTTAGCCTTGGCGGTTTGCATGAACTTCGGGCTCGGTGAGAAGGTGATTGGGGTCTTTCGCAAAGAAGTGGCGTCAGTATAGGAGGAGCCTGTGCTAGACGTTGTACTCTTTTCCTGACGCTTTAGCTTTGCAGCCAGTAGAGCTCGACTTCTCCCCAACGAAGGCTTGTCCGAGAGAGAATAGTAATCCGTGCTTGAAGCAAAGGAAGTCTTACTTCGAGATCTGCGTTTCATAGTCCTAGAATTGGATTTACTTATAATTTATATTTTATTGACAATTCGACATATTTTCCAAAAGCTAAGGGTGATTAATGCCTCAGTAGTTTCCCAAAACATATGTATCTATTGATATTATGCTTTATTCTCCACTATATAATATGATCAACTTATGGTTGTGTCTTACGTCTTATAATTGATACAATTACGTTATAAATGAAGAAAATATATAGGACACGGGATGTATTGAGGGCATTTATTGTCCGCTTTTTTGGGTTAAGCTTGGTTTATTATTATTAATATTAAATGAAAGAATCGGTTTAATACATATTACTTGAGTTTTATTCGCACAGTTTTTTCGTCGACGCAATCTGTAGAGCATTTGGACAAATTCGAAAAGAACAAAAATTGAAAGAAACGCATGCATAGCAAGAATTAAAAATAAAATTGTGTATAATTATATATATAAAACTCTTACAATTTCTCGCTATCGTTCGGTTACATAATTCACTTTTAAAACAGCACACTCGATATACTCAAAATATAAACAATTTGAAAAAAATTGAATAACAATACCATAACTCGATTGCTTCCGTTGTGAGTTTGAGTGTGTTCACCTACACGGAGAGGGTTGGGATCAGGCTTCTGGACTGGGTGTATTAAGAAGATCCAGGGCCATTTACTGGGCCAGCTCCTTCATGCGGTTAAGTGCGCTGCCGGCCTTGAACCAGCCGATCTGCAGGTCGTTCAGGGTGTGGTTGAGCGTAATCTTGTCGACCTTGTCTCCGTTCTTGATTTCGCACTCAACGGGCTTTCCAGGCGCCAGGGAGTTCAGGTTTAGCAGGGAGATTTTGCTCGTGGGCTGGATCTGTTGGAGTATAAATTAAAGATGAAAACTTTAGACACCAAACACAAGAGTCGCAAACCTTATCGTAATCAGCAGGATTGGCGAAGGTGAGTGGCAGCAGACCCTGTTTCTTCAAGTTGGTCTCGTGGATACGGGCGAAGGACTTGACGATGATGGCACGACCACCAAGGTGACGGGGCTCCAAAGCGGCATGCTCGCGGGACGAACCCTCGCCGTAGTTCTCATCGCCGACGGCCACCCACTTGATGCCGTTGGCCTTGTAGTCGCGGGCAACATCGGGAACTCCGCCCCAGCTACCGTTGCGCTGGTTCTTGATGTTGTTCATCTCGTTGTTTTCGTAGTTGGTGGCACCGATAAACATGTTGTTGGAGATGTTGTCCAAATGGCCACGGTACTTCAGCCAGGGTCCGGCAGCGGAGATGTGATCAGTGGTGCACTTTCCCTTAACCTTGATCAGCACAGTCAGATCGGTCAAATCCTTGCCGTTCCACTTGTCAAAGGGCTCCAGCAGCTGCAGACGCGTCGACTTAGGATCGACAGCCACCTTGACATTCTCGCCGCTCTGTGGGATTCCCATAATGATATTTAACAAAACTTTTAATCAGTTTAGGAAATAAGTGCACTTACGGGTGGGGGAGCAGTGTATGTGTCCTGTCCGGGGTCGAAGCCCTTGGCGGGTAGCTCGTCGCCAAAGGGAGCCTTGAGCTTAAACTTCTTGCCATCAGCAGCAGTGAGCTCGTCGGTCAGTGGGTTGAAATCCAGACGACCGGCGATGGACAGCGCGGTGACCAACTCGGGACTAGTGACAAAACAATGGGTGGCCGGGTTGGCGTCGTTCCTGCCAGTAAAGTTTCGGTTGTAGGAGGTGACAATGGTGTTCTTGTCGCCCTTCTTAACGTCCTGACGATCCCACTGTCCAATGCAGGGACCGCAAGCGTTGGCCAGAACGGTGCCGCCGAACTTGTCGAACACCTCAGAGATGCCGTCGCGCTCGATGGTGGCACGGATCTGCTCAGATCCAGGAGTCACGTTGAAGGGGATCTTCGACTTAAGGCCATGGCTCATGGCATCCTTGGCGATGCTGGCGCAGCGACCCATGTCCTCGTACGAAGAGTTGGTGCAAGAACCAATAAGACCTACACGGATGTCCATAGGATAACCGTTCTTTTTCGAGTTCTCGCCCAGCTTGCTGATGGGATGGCCCAGATCGGGAGTGAATGGTCCATTAACATGGGGCTCCAGGGTGTCTAGGTTGATTTCAATCAGCTCATCGTACTCGCAGTTCTTGTCAGCGGACAGAACCTTGCCCTGGAACTTCTGGGCTTCGGAGGCGATGCCAGCACGACCGGTCGATTTCAGGTAATCAGCCATGCGCTGGTTGAAGGGGAACAGAGAGGTGGTAGCTCCGATCTCAGCACCCATGTTGCAGATGGTAGCCATGCCTGTACAAGAGATGGAGTCAACACCCTTGCCGTGATACTCAATGATGGCACCGGTGCCTCCCTTGACGGTCAGGATATCGGCGACCTTCAGGATAACATCCTTGGGCGAGGTCCAGCCGCTGATCTTGCCAGTCAAATTGACACCAATCACTTTGGGGCACTTCAGCTCCCAGGGAATGTCGGCCATCACATCGACGGCATCAGCACCACCAACGCCAATGCACAGGCCACCCAAACCGCCACCGTTGGGGGTGTGTGAGTCAGTACCGATCATCAGCAGGCCGGGGAAAGCGTAGTTCTCCAGAATGATCTGATGGATGATACCGCTGCCTGGCTTCCAGAAGCCCAATCCGTACTTGGCACAGGTGCTGGCCAAAAAATCGTATACTTCCTTGTTCAGATCCTTGGCACGGGCCAAATCCTTGGGTCCACCAATCTGGGCCTCAATTAAATGATCACAGTGAACAGTGGAGGGCACAGCCACCTTTTTCAATCCGGAGGAGATAAACTGCAGCAGAGCCATCTGGGCGGTGGCGTCTTGCATGGCCACGCGATCGGGACGAAGGCGCAGGTACGAAGTGCCGCGCACGATGTCCTGGTTTTCGGGATCGTCCAAATGCGAGTACAGAACCTTCTCAGAAAGAGTCAGTGGGCGGTTCAAGCGCCCACGCACCACTTCCAGGCGCTTGTTCAGCTTCTCGTACGGCAGGTAGACGTCCGAGTCGAACTTCGACAGAGCCACCTTGGAGGCGGTGTAGCAGGAGGCGTGGAACTGGCGCACCGCACTGGCTTCGGATGCAACATGCTTGCCCAGTCGGCACACCTGGAAAGCAGATAAGAAGACGAAACGTTAAATATATATGTTGAAGTGTTACATTAAGCAATCAAGATCGAGTAATTAGCACAATGTCATTCTCTAGTTTATTTGGAGCCCGCACTCTGTTAGATTTGATTGGTAGCTTAATAAACACTTGATAATCATGTCAGGAGGCCTCGCCACTTTAATTAGATTGATACCTTTATCAAGAAATGTGCAAATCTCAACAGGCAGTGATGTTATTAAAAATTTATTGGGAAAATTTGATAATAGCCACAGCTATTCTGATAAAATATTAATAATTTTGGGACTTATTCTAAAGATATGTATGTATGTGTTTTCTATATATGTATAAATGTTATTAGCATCACTGTGACCGTGATGAATGCGTCAGCATGAAAGCTTGAAACAAACCCTTTAACATTGTTTAACAATTTAAAAATGAACCACGTGACACAAACGTATGTATGTACATGCGAACAAAGCGCAACAATTGCAATGACAATTACGTCAAATAGGTCGTTAACTTATTCGCACAGTGCAGTGAAGCCTTTCTCGCAGCTGGCCTGGAAAACCCCCACTTGAAGGGCGAAGCTCCTCCAACGCGCGTGATACTATATTTAGTGCGGGCATTATCAAAGTGTAAGTAAACCTGTCACAGATAAGACGGTCCTCCGCCCGAAGATATATGTATGTTCTAGAGGGTCTTTGCCTCCTGGTTAAATAACTGGGCCCTGGCGATTATGTAAATGCAAAAACCGTGGAACCACCGCGAATCGCTGTTTATTTCTGGGGCTACCGATTCCGCATGGTACACTGCTGTGTATATTCCATCTATGTACGTATTTTGGATGCAGGGACTGTAGAATCACAAACACTACGAACTCGGTTACCTAACCACTTCGAATTTACGTTTTTAGGTTAGAAAACGCTGTGCGAAAATTTTGCTATTTTTCGCTGCCCACATCCTGCTGGCTGTGTAAAATATTGGCAACGATTTTTAGCAAAATTTCGCGCAGCGCTTTTTCCAGTTGTCTTTATCGCAGCTTTGAATTTCGGCGTTCCATTCATAGATTCTATACGTAAACGTATATATGTGCGTGGTTATATTTTGGGTCGAATGGAGGCACAGGCTCCGCGCTAGAACCTACCTGTGCCTGGGCGCTCATCAATCTCGCAGCCATGGTCGCGTCCTGATTAAGCGATACTCGAAATAAACCCGACGAAATTGATACTGCAGCGGAAGCTTGAAGCCGTCAAAATTTTCAGCCCTCTCAGCCGGAAGATTTCAAGACAGACTAACTTCTTTACCACAGCGACCAGTGTTTGCAGGCGTCCAGCATACGCGTCAGCGATTTCCCGCCGGCTAGTTTCCCGCCGAGTCTGGCTCGTTAGGTACACAAGTGCATAGCAAGTTTATCAGTTCAGAACTGAATAGTGAGAGGTTTGGTTATATTATTTATATGTTTAATTGCAATGTTATGGTACTAGTACTGCCTGTACGGATTCGTCGCTTTATAAATAAAAAAAAAGAACTAAATAAGTTGCACATTTATTTATCTTATGAAAATTTAATTACCAGGTACACTGAAGCAAGTTTCTTATTCATATAAAAGAAAATGCAGAAAAAATTTACTGTACTGACGACAAGCCCTTTTTTCTGAGTTGGGGGATTGATTAAATATATATGATAATTTGCTTATATTTATCATTTTGTCGACCATAAAAAAAAAAAGATTTTGAAAAGTGCATCAAAATCAACCATTATTTTGGTGAAGTACGTACATATAATCGTTCGATATCCCGCACCGAGTGAAAACAGAATCACAAAAAAGAACCCAAGGGAAAACAGAACCTTGAGACAAAGAAAATCACTAGAAAATATTTAAAATATATATAAATAAGCGAAAAAATAAGCGGAAATTATAGAATTTATCGTTTAATATTACCTATATTTTTTATGGGCTCTAGCTTTTTTTAGCCGTCAGCGCAGACGAACGCCGCATTGCTGCCCAACACTGCCCATTTGCTTGCGTGGGCGGGCGATACTTTCCCACAACTGCCCGAATAATAAGTAGGCTCGGCAAAATGTTTGACAATGTCCAGTCAGCATTAGTCCTGATCCCCTTGCCATGTCAGAACGTCGCGTAGTGCACGAGATACCCGGGGAGTACCAGCCAGTACCCAGAGAACCGGAAGAGCCAACTCCTTTAACCACCTCCTGTTGCCGACGTCCCAACTGCGGTTTTCGGCTTCGGGATGAGCGGAAAATTTGTTCCTGCAATCACGGCTACATCATACCAGTGTTTATACTCTTCGTTCTGGTGATGATTGTGCTTCTGTTGCCTTGGGAGACCTATCATCGAAATGAGAACGGAAACAGCCCTGTTCCGGTGGAGAAGCCGTTACCATGCCAACTCGAACTGGTGGAGAGCTTGCCTTTGGGGTTGAACTACAGCCAATGGCAAAGCCACCCCCAACTGAGGAGCACCTTTGAGTCCTGGCAGCTTTTACTAGGCAGGGCCAAGACCTCGCTGGACATCGTTTCTCCGCAATGGACACTGCGCGGCTTGGACGCCAACGACAGCAGCACCGGGCCTGGAGATCAACTCTTTCAACAGCTACTGTCGAATGGAGATGCCGGCAGACCCAAGCTGCGCATGCGGATTGTGGTTAATCGCAGCCAGGATAGCCTGTGGCATGCTGATGCCCGTATTTTGGCTAACTACGGAGCAGCCGATGTAGTGGGCATAAATGATCTGCACTCAAAACTCTGGCTAGTGGACGGGGAGCACTTCTACCTGGGCACAGCCAGCATGGACTGGCGATCGCTCACACAACGCAAGGAACTAGGTGTGCTGGCCAGGAATTGTCCTCATCTTGCTCAAGATCTGGGCAAGATCTTCCAGACCTATTGGTACCTAGGCAACAATGAAGTACCAGAGAACTGGCCGTGGATGTACCACACGCACATCAATCAAAGAAGACCCCTTTTGCTAAACATCAACAAAAAACATACAATGAGAGCTTATTTATCCAGCTCGCCACCTGAGTTGATAGCCACTGGAAGGACCCGAGAGCTAGATGCCATTTTAGATGCTATAGACAAGGCAACTGAGGTTATACACCTTTCCTTAATGGAATATTCTCCTCGGTTAAGGCGCAGTAACAAATTGGAATACTGGCCGGTGATAGACAATGCCCTGCGTAGAGCTGCCTTGGAAAGGGGTGTGGCCATTAAGGTGCTTATTTCGTGGTGGAAGTATTCCGATCCCAGTGAGGATCACTTCTTGAGGTCCCTGCAAGCGCTGAACAAAATGACGGAGGAAGTGGACATACAAATGGTAATGGGCTTATACAAAGTACTGGCGGGTTTTGAACAAATGCTTTGCTCTTCCAGCGACGATTTGTTGTGCCCACTACAGATGAACTGGAGAGGATTTCCGGCGGAAGGGTTAGCTGCAACTCGTACTTAGTCACCGATAGTGTTGCCTTTATTGGCACCTCCAGCTTATCGGGAGAGCATTTTACCTACTCAGCTGGCATTGGATTAGTCCTCCAGGATATGGACTACAACAATAATAGTCTCCGTACAGATTTAATGGCCATTTTTCTACGAGATTGGTTTAGTCCCTATGCCCTGCCACTAAAACCAATTTTGCGAATTTGAATTGCGCCTTTAAACCCGCCGGCATTTTGCAACACCGCCATCAGCTGTTCATGTCATAACAAACGTCAGATCTAACCTCAAAACCTAAAATAAATTTAAGTTCCTCCACTCTCGAGTTAAGATAAAGCTACATTTAAGCATGGCCAACAAGCCGACGCGCGATGTAATCGGCATCATCTTCAAGAACTTCTGGAAATCCCTGCGGCCGCGTCAGTTTCGTGGGGATTACATTGGAGAGGACTATTTCGGGAATAAGTACTACGAAATTCCTGCTAATCCTTCGATTGGGAAGAGGAAGCCTTCCCGTTGGTTCGAGCCAGCGGATAAGGAAGCCTTTGACCAGGAGCTGACCGCTGAATGGGAGGCGTGGCTACGAGGTCGCCGGGAAGAGCCACCCACCCGCGAGGAGCTGGTGAAAAATCTTCAGATTATGGACATGAAGAAACGCAACGCCGCCGAACTGGAAGCGACATATGCGAAGGGCAAGGATGACAAGGCACTGCCCAAGCAGGTGGACGGACCAACCATTGGAACCTTTCCGAAATACAAGGAGTATGAGTTTATTCCTGGCAAAGAGCCACCGGAGAAGTAACTCTATTATTGGGTTTCCTTTTAATTTAATGTGTAAATATAGTTAAATTGATCTTAAATGTTCTACCATTCGTTCAAATCTAAGTCCTTAACAATATCCACGGCTCCACCCGCCTCATCGTATTCATCTTCCACTGTTGCCAGCCGGGGTTTCTGTTTCTCGGGCTTCTCCTTCTTCGCTTTTTTGGCTTTGGGCTGCTCAACTTCCACTTCCTCCCCATCCTGTACATCCTCATCGTCATCATCCGATCCCAAATGCAGGCCATCATCGCCTTCATCTTCCGAGTCCGAGGGGAAGAGTTCTACCTCGCCGTTTTCATTCCTCACTGGTACTCCCGTTTTAGTCGGTGGTCTCTTTAGCTTGGGCACATCATAGTCCGCATTGATTTCATCCGTCTGCGCCGCCTGTCGTCGCTTCTTGGTCTCGTGTGTCTTCAGCCAGCTGGTATAGTAGACGTCAAGTGGAGTGCGCTTAAGACGGAGTTGCTGCTCCCAAGCCGTGACCGCCTGGGCATCCTTTATGTCAAAGTTGACGCTGCTCTTGCCACGTTGCTGCTCTATAAAGCGGCCGCTCTCCTGAATCTTCTCAAGCAGCTGTTTGAGTTTTCGAGCATAATTGGCATTCCTACAATCCTTAAGGTACGTTTTGATGGCCATGACAGTGGGCACCACCAAATCGCTAAAGGCCAGTGAGGCGGACTCATGAGCGAGATATTCCAACAAAAGCCCACACACCTGTTCGATCACTTCATCACGGAAGCCATTTTCTGCCAACTGCCCTTTGTTAAGTCGAAGGACGCAGGTAAACTGCAGTGGCTTCATGGATACCGCCGAGTGCTTGCGGTTAAAGGTGTTGCTCTTTAAAACCTCTACAATGAGTGGAAGCACCGGCACATATGTGTTCGTCTCTTTGGCCAGTGAAATGAGGGTCTGAAGACAGTGGAATCGCAATGGGAAGTACTGAGCGGTGGGTATCAGTCGAATCACTCCGGTGGCAATGGTAACAAGGGGGTATATCAGAGGCTGCAGCTGTGGTTTATTCGCACTTGCTCCTAGGAGATCCGCCCACAAGCGCAGCGAGTTAATGAATTGCCAGTTGTAAACCGCTTGGAAACTGTCCTTTTTCTTCAGGATCACTGCGTTTCGCAGGTGAATGGCCAACTGACGGATGTATAGGAAGGCATGTTGATAGCTGACGTTTAAATCCAACGCGAACATCTCCACCAGAGAGCGGCGCATAAAGTTGATTCCTGGTAAAGTGTTTGGAGACACAAACTTGGAATTGCGTACATAGGCCAGGTACATGGCTTTAAGAACGTGGTTCAGCATGGTTGCCTACAAGATTTATTGGCTTTAGCATGAAGATACAAAAATTAGTTAGTTCAAAATATTTACCTGCTGTTTTCTGGTTATCTTCAGAATGCAGAGGAAGGCCAGAACTCTAACTGTTTCATCTCCAGTGGCCCATAAGACAACCAGGCGCTTTAATATGGTCTTTCCAAGTGCCGAAAAGGGGACCACCATGCCGGCCATTTGATGCAGATGTTTCAGCAACACGCCCAAGATATTTGGACTAGACACCTGCTCCACCAGACGAATCAAATCCGTGAGGTAGTAACGCAAACAGCCGCGCACCTTGACCCACTTTTTGTGCTTGTGCAACGGTAGGCTGCTGTTGGGTCTAACACCCAGCAATCGAATAATGGCGGGTTGCAGGTGGATTACGCAGAGCTGAATTACTCCATTAAATGCGGCTGCCCCCACTACCTTAAACGCGGCAGCATTAGGCTGATTCTCTCCTCCGTCCGCTCCGTCGGCAGAGATGCTGGCCAGGGCTGAATTAAAAGCCTGGATAACCTTGCGGACAATGTCAATGGATACGTTAGCCTGGCCCAATTGCTGTTCCCACTGATGCAACAGGTTGAGGGTGATCTTTTGGGTACCTCCAAGTGCCTCATCATCATCTTCCTCGTTCTCAAAGTCACTTTCATCGCTGGCCACCTCCAAATCTTCGCTGGGTTTGTGGTACTTCTCTTCGTCATCCTCTTCGTCTTTACTTTTAGTCGCTGTGTTTGCCTTGTCTTCCTCCTCCTCGTCATCATCCTCATCTGTGTCCAGAAGATTAAAGTCCAGCAGCTTTTTATCATTCTTTTTCAAGAAGTCGTAAAACTCTGGGTCTATATCTTTTAGTCCCTCAAGTTCCTCCTTATGGGACCTTTTGGCTCCCTTCTTTGTGGGCTTCTCATTGTTCACCGGCTGGGCGACTTTCTGCTTCGGGGTTTTAGTGATACCTTTCGATGCAGAGGATGTTTGGGGTTTCGCCTTCCTGAGGGTATCCTTGGCGTTCTTCTTTTTGTTTAATACAGGCTTGGATTTGCCCAGGGTCTTAACTTTTTTCGTAGCCAGCTTCATTTTTCAACGTGCAAACTAAAACAAAAATGCACGTGTGCCGTTCAACAAGGTTGCCACGTTGCCGAATTGTGGTCAGTGTTGCCATGGGGTTGGAAAATTACAACTTAAATGCAGCTAAAAAATAAACCAAAATATAAGCAAGCTTTAACAATTTCATTAAAAGTCGAACTATTAGCTTGACGATATTTACGCTGGATTTTATAAGCAATAAATTAAATAAATGACAGAAATATTTATGATTTATGCTAGTGCTCTTGCTTTAGATTTCAATCCTGAGTTAGCTTTATACAAATAAATACATTTCGATATTAAATTTAAAGTACATTGTTCGTAATTCGCATATGTTTTATATATATTCGCATAGCTACAATGCAGATAAAAATCCTGTATTTACAAATATGTTTGTATATACCAATAACGAACACAATCAACTCTTGCTCTTAAAAAAATAAGCGGAAAATCCGTCAAATATCCAGAACTTCTAGCCGTTTTGTTGTTGTGGGCGACTAGGTACATAAGTCGCAGGTGAACGCTGAAACATCGATGTTTTTCGATTTTTTCCAAATCGATGTTTCCTTCGATGTTTCATCACCTCCATTGGCAATTGCACTTGCTTCGCTTAGCAGTCGCACGGGAATCCGTGGAAAATGGCACTCAAGAGCCACATGTGCAACGCAATACCCGCCGGCATGGAGTCGGACGAGGAGGAGATGGAGAACCTAATGACCAACCTGAAGATCAAGCGCTTGGAGGACATCACGACAGGTGCTGGAATCGACGGCTCTAACTTTGACGCTACTTTGGACGCGAAGGCGGAAGAGTTTTTCAAGCTTTTCCGGGAGATGTGGAACATGTATAGCAAGAAGAAGTCGCCGCATCTGCACCAGGAATTCGGAAAGGCTTTAATGGGCCATCAGGATCCTCTACTGCTGGCCTTAAAGATCTTCGCCAACTGCCCCGACAGCAGCAACATCAAGCCGAAGAGCTTGTCACATTTCGTACTGGACACGGTATGCAAGCTTCACAAGGATTTTCCGCATCTTGGCGAGGGTTGTGATCCCAACACCAGCATGATAGCCTTTAACTTTGTCAAGACCTCCGGCTTGCTGGCCCTCAACAATGCAGTGATCCATGCCTATAGTCTTGGCCAGATCCGCGACCTACTGCTCCCCAAGTTACGCGAACTCCTGGACAACGGGCTGTACAAAGAGGTCACCCAGTGGTCCATCGGTCTGCAGTTGACGCACGAGTTCGACATGATGGAACTGGCCTTCCCGCTGATTGCAATCGAGAAACTACCACTGGCCGAGGAGTATTTGGACCATGCCACACAGCAGCGGCTGCCCTTTGTCAAGTTCTTGGATTCGTTGCTGCACAAGGAAAAACAGGTCATAGAGCTCTGCGAGCATCTCCTCTAGTAAGTATATGAAAAACTGGTCTTGAAATTGAGCTAATTCTATGGTCTTCATCTGCAGCCGGTACAAGAATATAAAAATCTCTCATCAGGTGCTTAGCTATCGGCCTATTGCCAAGATTGTGGCGCGACTGGCCAAGAAGTATGGTTTCGACGACGCCGTCACGCCCAACTATAAGTTCACTAAAACGTGCAGCTATTTGCATTACCTTTACCGCGAGTACGAGAAGGCGCGCATTAATCTGGCCAGTTTCCGGGAGTTGGTGAGCGTCCATGCCTATGACTACGCGTTGCGCACGGACTTCGTAATGTATATGGCGTCAGCTGGAGCTCACTCTGAGGCCATCTATTGGTACAATGAGTTTAATCTTGATCCGAAAGATTGTCCGCTGGAGATCAAGACGCAGGTCTTGCGAAATGGCGATGGAAAAGCGTCAGGCTGGGAATCTCCAGGCGAGGACCGTTGCGCCGCGAGTAGATGTGATATGTACCTGACCATGGACCTGCCTGATGAGTGCCTTATCATCGTGGACAAGGCTGAACAGTTCGATCGCATGTTATACCATCTGCAGCAGGAGTACGTCATATACCTGGACTCTGAATGGATGCAGAGCGTGTGCGGAGAAAATCAGCTGTGCGTGCTACAGATCGCCACCGGCCACAATGTCTATCTAATTGACTGCCTGGCCAGGGAGAGCCTACGCTCCGAACACTGGCGCTTGCTGGGCGCGAATATCTTCAACAACGTGAACATCCGTAAGGTGGGCTTCTCTATGGTCAGTGATCTCAGTGTATTGCAGCGCTCATTGCCCCTGCAACTGCGCCTTCAAATGCCTCACCACTACTTGGACCTTCGTAGCCTCTGGCTGGAGTTAAAAAAGCAGCGCTTCGGCGTTGAGCTTCCCTTCGGCAATGTTAACCGGGCAGGAGACGCCCTCACGGATCTCTCATTGGCATGCCTTGGCAAGAAACTGAACAAATCAAACCAGTGTTCAAACTGGGCCAATCGACCGCTGCGTCGCGAGCAGATTCTTTACGCCGGTGAGTCAGGGATGGGCTCCCCAGATTTTAGCATTTTTGGCAAGACTAATTTTCTACTTTCCAGCCATGGATGCGCGATGTTTGCTGCTGATCTACAACACGCTCATTGCACGCGTTTCCTCTATACATGTGGCTATCGAGAAGAGCATAGCCAGCAATAACTTTCTCAGGCGTGGTGCCAATGTTAAGTGATTGAGGAGCTGACCCTTGTTATATCCATGCACCTCTTAAGGGATAGCGGTTCTCACGAAGACAAGACAAAGGCGTTCGCCCAACTTAAATTAAGTCCAAATGTTATATGTAGTTACAAAGAGTATTTAACATATATTTAGTGACTAGCCAGGCAGCTGGGTTAGTGCCTAGCCAGGCAGTTTGTTCACACGTTACAAATCAGGAGGAAACTATGTGACTGCAAGCCGGATATAAAAGAGTGAATTTTATTACGCTATGATTTTATGCTCACTGTATCCCCATAATTTAGATACTTACATTATTCCAATTCATAAATACATGTATTATTTTTATTTTCTGTTATGGCCGTGAAACGAGCCTATTGTTTACCGTCATGCATAATCAAAACTGAATAAAGCAATGAATAGGATTGAACCACTATCGAGTGCTAAAATACTTCAAATAACATTGGGATCGAACTAAAAAATGGAAGCAAGTAACGACATTGTGGGATTATTTCAGCGGTGTGGCGTACTTGCTATTCCAGTCTCGCTCGAAAACATTTCGCAGGTCGCTTCTTACGGTATTAGTGGTCTCGGTCTCGAAGGTTTCGCCTAGCACGAGGCCAATGCCAGCGGTGTCCGTAAAGTAGTCTCCACTCCAGTTGGAAGTTCCGATGTAAGCCACTCGATCTGTAACCATATACTTGTTGTGATTCACACGGCCAAAGGGAATCTTCTCCTGACTCGCGTCAGTCGGCACTATGAATCGACGAATTTGTATATCAATTTTTTCTTCTTTGGAAGCCAAGTCCTGCAGTGACCTGAGAAAGCGGTCCTCCCTGGGATCGGAGTGCTTCCACCACGATATAAGGAGCTTCACAGCCACGCCCCGTTCGACAGCTGCCTTTCGCAAAGCGTCGTCGATAAACGGCCAATAGGAGCGCTTCTTCTCGTAAATGATCAGCGGATAGTAGTCCATAAGCGCAATATTAACGTAAGTTATGGCCGTGTTAATGGTGTTGAGGATGGCGTCCAGGTCGTTTGTTCGGCCATAGGCTGAAAGGGGAGGAGGTGAGCTAGATAAGAAGCCCTCCATGCTAGTATTTGTGTTGACACTCAGCTGCATGGGGTTTTTCAAATTGTAGCTGGTCGAGTAATCCCAGCTCCAGTCGGGAATGCGAGAACTTTCACTGTTGCCTAGGTACCAGTACTCTTCAAAGATCTTGGCCACATCATGAGCCAGATTTGGACAGTTCTGGACTAGCACGCCCATCTCCTTGACCTGGGTCAGTGCCCGCCAATCCATATTGGCGCTGCCCAGATAAAAGTGCCGGTCGTCCACCACCCACAGCTTGGTGTGGAGCACTCCACTACCAAAGTACTTTGGAAACGAGATGCTCACAACTTCAGCAGCACCAGCACTTTCTAACAACTTTGTGTTCAAACTGGGTGACGCAGTAGAGGGTTCGCTCTGGGCAATGCGAAGTTTGATCCTGGGCGACCTGCTTCCGCCATTTCCGTTGGCCAACAGTCTTGCGAAGACATCCTCGCCCGGCATAGTGCTGTTATCCGACACCCCGGGCGTATCCTCCGCCTTCATTGTCCAGTAGAAGGAAGCTATGTCTAGTGAAGTCTTGGCGCTCTCCAATAACTTTAGCCAAGCTTCGTAGGTGCTCAGGAATCGAGGACTGCCGTCGGGATAAGTTAGTCCAATAGGTATGGATTCCACCAGTTGTATGTTGCAGGCGAACTTCTCCTGCAGACCATGACCCCTGCCCCCTTTGTACTGATGCAGACGTGGTCGCGGCTGCAGAAAGGGTAATGAGTGGTTTTAATAAAACGAATGCATACGCATGAAATCGTATATGAAGTACATATGTATGTACGTACCTGGAAGTAGGAGCTGCCGAGGAAGAGAAGCATGAACAATGACACCGTCACCATTTGTCCCGCCTGCTGACTAGCCGCAGTCCTCTGTCCCTCCCCGGCGACCTGAACGGGAGCTGTGTTCTGGACGGTGCTAGTGGCATTCTCCACATCTGGCTCTTGGTCCTCAAGCTTCTTGTATTCCGGCATGTCTAAAAATCGCAAGACCTGCGATTAGCCACAAAGGTTTGCTTATCCTTATCGATATGGCAGGTTATTGATAGAGCTCGCGACTCCCTCTTTGATAGGCGCTAGCTAAGAGGAATAAGTAAAGAACTAACCAGATCGGAACTGTAACGTGTGCTCCATTTCATTCCATTGGTTCACTCTCACATTTCATTCCTCCACTGCGTTCTTTTGTATGGCGAAAAAGGGTTGACTTTTTTCTTTCTTTATGAATAAAATTACCTGAAATGAACATAGTGCATCACAATGTTGAAATTTGAAAGTGCCAAATAATAGTTGTCGTTTAAGTTTAGGAGTCGTCAATCCCCCTTAATGTTTTCGCTACGCCCATGCTTTTGCCGTGGCAACAAAACAAAGTCAGCTGTTTTTTAATCACTGTTTGTTTTTCTCGCAAAAATGCTGCGAAATTCATTGTTTGCCAGCGGGTAACTCCAATAATAGACTGCAATAATAGATTACATTACATTTTTGCATTCCAGCAAGTTTAGACATTTGCCAGCAATTGCTATAGTGCGGAATTCGACAAGGAGCAGCAGCACAGCGAAGCCACTGGATGCCGGCACCCAAAAGGAAGTGCTGCACCATGAGAATCACGCCTCAGAGTGGTGGAATCAAAATGGAACCATGGGTGCTCTACATGCCCTGAATATGATTAGGTAAGCTATACAGATTTGATGTCCAATAGGCTTATTGCTTAGACCATTTCTCCTTTCAGGGTTCCCTTCATCAGAGATGGCATCGTTTCGCGCGGCACTGTGAAGCCAGATTACGTAAATACCACCAAGGTGTTGTTGGGTCAAAATATTTTGGAGGTAGGATGTGGCGGAGGATTGCTCACGGAACACTTGGCGCGCCTTGGTGCCCAGGTGACTGGCATAGACCTTGGCGAGAAGTTATTAGAGGCTGCCCGCGAGCACCTCAAATGCTCCAGTCCAGAGTTAACCACCAAAGTGGTGTACAAAATGGAACCCGTGGATCAACATGCCAAGGCCAATTGCGAATGCTATGATGCGGTGATAGTATCTGAAGTATTGGAGCACGTCAACGATAAAGTAGCCCTGCTGGAGGCCAGTGTACGCACCCTAAAGCCTGGAGGATCCATCTTCATCACCACTCTGAACAAAACCCTACCCAGTTGGTTCGGCGGCGTAATCCTTAGCGAGTATGTTCTAAACCTGGTGCCCAAAGGAACGCATCACTGGGACAAAATGATTTCGCCATTGGACGTCCAGCGCATCTTGGATACGAGTAAGTTTATCCAAGGTTTTATAGTCAGGATAGCTCTGGCTATTCTTATACCAACCCCAGTACCCTTTTTTACTTGTTCATCTGTAGTGAACTGTCAGACGGTATTGGTAAACGGAAGCACCTACGACTTTTGGAGCAACACCTGGCGATGGATCAACAACAACCAGATGTGCTACGCCCTGCAGGCGGTGAAACAACCACATCGGGAATACAATTGAAATCGTATTTTTATTTAACTAAGAGCTAAGTCAGTGTGTAACAACTAAGTAGTAAACTAATCGTCATCCGAGCGTGGTTTCTTAAAGTGCTGCCTCTTCTTGGCATGCGGATTCCCACTATCTTCGCCGACCTGCTTCCTTTTAAAGTCCTTTTTGGTGTTAAACTTTTTGCTCATGCTGCCGGTGACCGTGGGCGCCTTGTTGGCATAAAAAGCCTTCACCATGTCTTGGTCGGAGACCTCCTTGGGCTGCTCCGGCCTTGTATTGCCCTGCTTTTCTGCCAGCTCCTGTTCCATGAGAAGTTCCAGCTCCGGATTCATGCCCCGGAAACTGAGGCGTCCGTCTATCAGGCCGGCACATATTGAGTAGCTGGACTCCAACACAAAATTCGAGGTGGAATTGAGCATCTTCTGGTTGATCTCGTGCGAGTACAGTGCCCTACTCTGCTCATCGTCTGCCTCTTTTTCCACTTTAACTTTTGTGCGCTGCATAAACTTCATGTCCAGGACACCCCGCGAAAGTCTCGGCTTTGATTTGGCTGGCATTTTGTTATTTTATTTTCTGATCCCAATAAATTTAACTTTAAACATAGATGCGGAAACCTCTGGCACGTTTAATTTCATTCGAAGTAGAATAACCGAACAAAACAAACTGGCAAGGCCAGTGCTGCAAAACGTCGTTTAGCTTAGTTAGAAAACGTGGCGCGCCCTCGTGCTTATGCGATATTTAAAGTACCTTTGAAAACTAAAACAACCCTTAGTTTTTCCGCTAACTTTTTTAACATAGACTGAGCAGTAACAAATACTTTTAAAGCATTTCTAACTCAGCGTGACCCCTCGACAAACTACCAAAAAAATAACACAATAATATTAATGTTCAACCCCAGTTGAATGGGCAGATGTAGCAGCAGTGCGGAAACATGCTCCAAAAACAATGAAAAATAGCAAAGGATCTATCAAAGGGCTAATGTTTTTAATTTGAAACGCAGTAAAAGTTCTAATTTCATACATAAATATTTCGTGTCTTTGGCGGAGAAAGAAACCGAAATCCTGAAAAGATTTATCAGACAATAAATCTTACAGAATAGCTAACTATTGTGCACCGAAAATATTTTCATACCCATTTTAAGATGAAGTTTGTTTTTAAAAATTATTTTTGAGACTAAGTAGAAAACACTGGATGATCTGCGTGATGGACAACTAAAACACCTTACATACTAAGTGAAATCAGGAATTAAATGCACTGCATATAAAGATAAATCAAATTACAGAAAATAAACAATTTTCCCTGTTTCAAATATAGTGTTGAAATGTGTGCAAACATCGATTAATCGATTTACTATCGTCGTGGCAGAATCGCTTTGCCACACTGCGCAGTGCGCACGAAGAATAGAGGGAGAATGAAAAAAATGACATAAATGGCGGAAAGCAAACCTAGCGCCAACATTCGTATTTTCGTTTAATTTTCGCTCCAAAGTGCAATTAATTTCGGCTTGTTGATCGCTGCATATCGAGTGTAAGCACGCAAAGACTTACCAGGACGGGAATATATCCATCGAGTCGATTGTGGACCATGTATAAGCGCAAAACCTCGAGTATTGTTAAAAGAGACAGCAGCTCCGCAGCGGGCACCTCCTCCTCGGTTATGATGATGAAGGTGGATTCGGCTGAAACTTCGGTCCGGTCGCAGAGTTACGAGTCCACACCCGTTAACATGGACACATCACCAGATCCACCCACGCCAATCAAGTCTCCGTCGCATTCACAATCGCAATCGCAGCCTGGACAACAGCGCTCCGTGGGTTCACTGGTCCTGCTCACACAGAAGTTTGTGGATCTCATGAAGGCCAACGACGGCTCCATCGACCTGAAAGCGGTACTAACACGGTTTAGCATTGAGTACTCATTTTTAATATCGTCTAAATTTCTCCTCCGCAGGCAACCAAAATTTTGGACGTGCAGAAGCGCCGAATATACGATATTACCAATGTTTTGGAGGGCATTGGACTAATAGATAAGGGCAGACACTGCTCCCTAGTGCGCTGGCGGTAAGAGCTCATTTGCATTTTGCAAACTCTTACTAAAAATGTTAATGACAGAAACAAAATGGGTTGGGAGTAGCCCTTCACCACTTAAAATACTCTACAAACAGGTGGAATTTACTTTAATAGTTTTTAAAGTATAATTCCACTTAAATATTTCATCACTAATTATTGAAAATGTGAATATTTTAGCGGAGGGGGCTTCAACAATGCCAAGGACCAGGAGGACTACGACCTGGCACGTAGCCGGACCAATCACCTAAAAATGGTGGAGGATGACCTAGACAGACAACTGGAGTATGCACAGCGCAACCTGCGTTACGTTATGCAGGATCCCTCGAATAGGTCGTATGCTTATGTGACACGTGATGATCTGCTGGACATCTTTGGAGATGATTCCGTATTCACAATACCGAATTATGACGAGGAAGTGGATATCAAGCGAAATCATGTAGGTCTAACTTCCGGCTACATTTTACTTTGTTTTTTAAATCTACGTTTGTACAAACTTTCTGATAATGGTCTATCTTACTTTTTGAAGGGCATTGAACTAGTTTACGTGTTTTCCTATCGGTTTGAACGTAGAGAAATGTACATTTTTCGTATAATAGCTAATTAAAGAAAAACATTATTTTTGCAGTACGAGCTGGCCGTGTCGCTGGATAATGGCAGCACAATCGACATTCGCCTGGTGACAAACCAAGGAAAGAGCACCACAAATCCGCACGATGCGGACGGGTTCTTTGACTATCGACGTCTGGACACACCCTCACCCTCGACGTCGTCGCACTCCAGCGAGGATGGTACCGTTCCAGCATGCACGGGGAACGTGATCACCGACGAGCACGGCTACTCGTGCAATCCCGAGATGAAAGATGAGATGAAACTCTTGGAGAACGAGCTGACAGCGAAAATAATCTTTCAAAATTATCTGTCCGGGCACTCGCTGCGCCGATTTTATCCCGATGATCCCAATCTAGGTTGGTTTTGTGTTCTTGCCATTTTCAGGAAGCTCCTCTTTAACTTAATCCTGTTTATTGTTGCAGAAAACCCACCGCTGGTGCAGCTTAATCCACCGCAGGAAGACTTCAACTTTGCGTTAAAAAGCGACGAAGGTATCTGCGAGCTTTTTGACGTTCAGTGCTCCTAACTGTGGGTCGAGATGAACATCTTAGGACTGTAGCTACACTGCAACTGGCCGCGTGCGTTGTGCAAATATTTAAGATTAGTACAATTTTGACTTTTGATTTCTCTATATTGTCTAGAAATTTTTAATTAGCTTAATACCTTGTAATTCGCCACACTAACAAACCAATAAATTCATAAATGCACATATTGTAGGTTGTGTATTTGTATTAGACTTAACTTGTAAAATGGGGATTATGTGAAGACTTGGTAAATAAAATGGTCTTGGTACAAATATTTTTTTAAGAAATTTATATGCATGTAGCTTTTCCATTTTTTTTTTTTACTTTTACGGCCCAACCGAAACTTTTGTAGATGTGTGGGAACACGCGCAAATAATGTTAGAATAATTAATAAAGAGTCAACTTTGCTAATATAGTTTTTAAAATTGATGAGTCCATTACTAAATGGGCCACACATTTAAATTTGTTTATAAAATGGCAAAAGGCCTTTTGATAGGACTGGTATCTGGTATCTGGTATTTAACTACCGTTGATCACGAGTTCATGGTCACACTGGAAAGAACCGCTAAAGTTAACTTTCACACACATGTCTTAAGAGAAAAAGAAGTATTGTATGGGTGGATTGTGGAAAACTTGGCAAAAATGAGGATGCGCCAAAAACTGGGCTGCTGGCAGCAAATTCTGACCTTGCTGGGAACGAATTCCATGTCAGAGCAGGAATGGAATACAATTTTCAAAGGGTTCCTTGAAAGCTGGCTGAATCCCTACTGTATCCAAATCAGCTGCGTAAGATCTTTGTAAATTTTATCCCAGAACTTCGTGTTTATTTGTTTCTAACCAACAGGATCCCAGCATACCGATAAGACCGGAGTTCTTGGTGAGACCGAGAAAAGTGCTGCAGGGTAACCAGCCAGGATCGATGGCCAAAATTCCAGAGGCCGTTGTTTTCCCAGGACCCACCAATTCTACAACAAAATCTCTGCCGCGTGAAGCTCCAAGTTCCAGCAAGTCCCGTGATACCATAGTAAATTCAACAGATTGTGAGTCTGATAATGGAGAAAGATCTCCAAGTCATTCGAATAAAAGTTCTACGTATAAAAATCCTGGTAATTCCGAATATGCTAAAATCTGGAAACAGGGCAAAAGGCATACGACTGCCAGTTCCTCAAAAGCTCGAATTACCAAGCGCCGAGATTCTAAGCTCTTAAGTATGAAGCAGCGCCCAGATACATTTGCATCTGTCGCCAAAGGTCCAGTACCAAGTGCTAGTGCTCCCAACGGAAATGTTTTCAAGTGCAGAGAGGCATCGCCTCATGCTCCAGACTTCAGTACCATCAAGACGAAAGATTCATGTGCTTCTCCAGATGTTCTTGCCTTATATCTCAAGAATAGTGCGTCCAAACCAACACAACGTCGAAAATCATTTGGTCCCACACAAGATTACGAAGCTTCTTCAAACAAAATAATCAAGCGTCGAAATACGTGTATTCCCACAGATACTCCGCAATATTTAAAACTAAAAACCGGTAAGGGACAAAATTCAGGCGAAAAACCTAATTACAAACAGCAACTCAAGACTCCACCGCCATCCATGCGCGATAACGTGTCCGAGGAATCAAGCGACGAATGCGATGACCAACTGCCGCTTTCAAAATTGCTGGTAAAGATGAAAAGCGATAAACCCCTAGATTTGTCATGCAAGATAAAGTTGACTCCTAAAGATCCATCATTAAAAACTAACTTCACCGTGCAGAGTAAGCAGTCAGCGGAGATGTTAACTATAAAACCAAAAAGTGAGACGACTCGGGCAAAGCCACTGCGAAATTCTGCTCAAAAGCGGTCCAAGCAGTTGAAACAGAGGCTTAAAGTGCCACCGCAGACAACGTTACTTCAGTTGCAGGACAAGCAATCACTCCACGAACAGATCAGTCAGCAGGCCGAAAACTTCTCAAAAGTATCTGGACAGCAGAATCCATCGACATCTCGAGTCCAAAGGAACACACGGCAGAACAAAATGAGGAACAGTGGCGTAAAATCAGTAAGCAGTTATATGGTTTTTACGTTACCTAACAACTTCCTTTTGTTACCGCAGATAAGCGCCAAATCGTTGATGCCAGCCCATATGCCGCAAACAGCGACCAACTTGAAATGCTCAGAAATCGATGGACCCGTTGAGATGGATTTGGCGCAGAAGGTCGATATTAGATACGGGAGTCCAAACTATCGCTACGATGTGTTTTACGAGCACAACTACAATATGTTTCGCGATGAGGACAACTTGCAGAGACCACTAGACTACGCACCAAATAGAATGCATATGGATCAGGCACTGGGTGACGCCATAAAATTATCCGGTCCCGTGGGCGGCGAAGAAGCCAACGTCGAGTTAACACACGATGGCGTGTATGACATACCAATTGAGATATGTCGTGAGGTCGAGGAGATCGATCGCTGTCTGGAGAATTTTAGCAATAATACACCCAGCGAGATCGATTGCCAGCTAGTTCAGAGCAGCGAGTTCTTTGAGAAGCTGACGAGACCATCGACAGTAGAGGTAGATAAATCCGATTTGATAGACATCTTTATGGCAGGAAATGAAGAGCTGGACTACGAGGACGAAGATGACGATGTGCTTTCAATGGCTGCCTCATGGGATGGACTCAATGATGAGATTTTGCCTGAGCTCGAACCGATAGAGAACACGAAAACGGCGGAACAGATACTCCAGCCGGATCCAGAAGAAGTCCCAAAAATGCAAAAGATAAACTCGTTTCGAATTCCAAAACTAAATGCTGAAGATTTGAAGACACAGCCCTCCGTGATGCGTTCCCTCTACGAAATGGAGGAGTTGGAAAAGAACAACAAGGAGTCTGCAAAGCCTGTGCCGCTGTCACTAGTGGATCCCCCATTAGCTGAATCCAATCGCAAGCTACGCGACGAAGCAACTGCTGCCCGACGGGCCAAAGAAACATTGCCAGTATTTGCACCACCATATCGCATAGCACCAGAATCGGCAGTTGCGCTGGTCAGCGCCAACAGCCAAGTACCTCTTCCCACGTCAGCCTTCAACGAAGAAGTTTCTTTTAAAGAAGTTTTCGGATTAAGGTGCATGCAAAGTGTGGACAACAGGTGCATCTCTTTCAATTGTGATCATACGATGAGCAGTTTGGGCGAAGTCCAGAGACGTTTGCTCAGGATGGACGAGGACAACTTGGTGAACATCTACCGACAGACGATACGAAGCTTTACCCTATTCCAGACCTACTACACCTCGTTTGTCGACATCTTCGAATTTCGCCACCTCTGGCAGCATTTGTTAATCATGCTGGCCGACTGCCGCTTGTACAAAAGCATTTCAGCTCCACTACTGGCACACGCCTATGAAGCTCTACATAAGTGCGGCATGCAGAAAGAGGCTGTGAAATGCATTATGGAGCATGTGTGGTTGCCATGCAAGGCGCACAAATATCGCGATTTGATGCTAATGACGCTAAATATTCTGTCCAACGCCAACTGGGAGGATTATTGCGATGAGCTAATAAAACTGGACAAGGATTATAACTTTGAGATACCCCAAAAAAACTTGATCACCATACTCAAATCTTCCGTAGACCGCGCAGATAAATTTTCAAACGCCCTTGATTTGATCACCCTACATCCAAATTCTATTTGTACCAACGAAACCATAATGTCGATTCTAAACACCACATCGAAAGGCTACAGGCAGAATGAAAGTGCGAGCGCAAGCCAGGGGACGCCAGGAGCGGAATCTGGTCCTTCCTTGATTATTGCACCATCCGACGATGTTCAGCCGTGTCCACCATTTAGAAGACACTCCACAGTTCACAATTTTAGACATTCGCCAATAGCCGCCCATAACTCAAATAAAAACAATAGTTTTCATTTTTCAAATGAATATGCGAACAATAAAAACTACCTAGATTAAGCAAATTAAATGAATGGAAAATATCGGTCTCGTTTTGACACTTATAGTAATCTCTTCATTTCCCCTGATAAACACCAGTCTGAATGAAGTTAACAAATGATTATTCCTATATGATTTTTACAAATATTTTGTATTATCGAAACTATCAATAAACTTAAAGTTCAGTACTACTTTCTATTAAAAATCTTGATTACATTATTATAAAAGTAGCACTAATTAAAATCGAGACTTATCTTTTATACAGACTGACCTATCTCTTTTGCTTGCCCTTGCTCCAGTTCTTTTTGCCAAAGCTCTTTCTTCCACCTCCCCCAGGCTTGTGTCCACCACCAACGGCGCCCATCGGTTTCATGCGCTTGCGTGCGCCCGTGAAGTTCTCCGAATCATCATCAAGGGTGTCCCCGCCTCTCTTGTGGCCCTTGCCACCCTTTGTATCTTCCAGATCCTTCAGCTCCAGTTTTGCGGTGCGCTGCGCCTCGGCGACTCGCTCTTGAAGGGCCATCACCTCATCCTCCTCGCACTTATACAGTGGTAGTTGCTTCCCCAACAGATGTTCGATGCGCTGATACAATTCAATGTCGTACTGGCTCACGAGGGTGATGGCTTTGCCGGAGCGACCCGCTCTTGCTGTTCTTCCTACGCGATGGATGTAGTCTTTGCTGTGCGTTGGTATGTCGAAATTTACGACGACATCCACGTGAGGAATGTCCAGGCCGCGGGAGGCCACGTCCGTCGAAATGAGTATTGAGCGATTTTTGGCCTTGAATTTGTTTAAGGCAGCCAGTCGCTTGTTTTGCGACATTTGACCATGCAGCGGAATAGCAGCCAATCCCAACGCACGAAGCATCAATGCTGTCTTAACTGTGTTATTGCAGGTGCTGCAAAATATCATGAAACTGTTGCCTGACAGTTCATTGAGGATATGAACCAAATACACATCCTTGTATTTAACAGGGATGAACAAATATGATTGCTGCAGCTGCTCAACCGTCTGATACTTGTTAGAAACCTCTACCTTTACCGGATCCTTGAGGGAGGCGCGCTGCAGTTTCTTTACCTTCTTGGTCATAGTCGCACTAAACAGAAATGTTCGTCGTTCACGTGGCAATACCTTCAGGATCTTGTCCAGCTCCACCTCAAAATCCATGTTGAGAATGCGATCCGCCTCGTCCATGACCAAGTATTTAATAGCCTTAAGGTTAAAACCTTTCATGTTTTCTAGGTGATCAACCAAGCGACCCGGTGTAGCAATAATAATATGCGGCTTCTTGGCCAATTGAAGGCCCTGAGCTACCATGTCCATGCCGCCGACAACCACGCAGCACTTTATGCCGATCCCGCTACCTGGGAAAACAGATCTACCATGAGTTTGACAGATTTCAATTAAATAATACGATAAATGGGAAGGCTTCTTTTACTCAGAGGTAGTGACGAATAAGAAAATTATAATTTCATATTTTCGTTGATAAACAAAATCAAAACAGGTTTAACATCACTGCGAAGTAAAAGCAAATGAATTATGCGAAAACTTACCAAGGGCCTCAAACTGCTCGCCAATTTGAAAGGCCAGTTCCCTCGTGGGAGTTAGCACGAGGGCAAAATACCGCTGCGGATTCTCGAGAAGGGCGTGTAAAATGGGTAGAGCGAAGGCTCCTGTCTTGCCGGAACCGGTCTCCGCCAGGCCAATCACATCCTTGCCCTGTAGGGCTACCGGAATAGCCTCCCGCTGAATCTTTGAAGGGGCTTTCCACTTTAATTCGTCACATGCTTGACACAAAGTCTCATTGAGACCCTTTGAAGAAATATGGACATTAGAATCAATTTAAGCGTAATTTAGAAGCGAGGCTCATACGAGATCTTTCCAGGTTAGCTTCTGATCATCTGCTGTGTCGTCCTCCGGCTCGGAGCCTTTAGATGGCTCATCTTCGCCACTTTGTGCCGCCTCGTCGTCCTCTTCTTCATAATCGTTATCTGCAATTTCCTCTCCATCTTCCTGCTCCTCTTCCCCACTTAGATCCTCCTCTTCGTCACTGGTTTGCAATTGCGTCTGTTCGTCCTCTGAAGTTTCCGACATTTTGTTACATGAGTTTCAGCAAATATTCTCGATACGGATATTACCAGTTCCAGCACGTGGTCGAAATGAAAGAGTTCGAGACGGTAAAATATGAATAGTTATGGAATCGATAGTATCGATATAATTGCGTCTTTGAAGCACTACAGATTCTATGTTATATATCATTAGTTTCGATAGCTAAAGTGCGCTAATAGCCAATGCACACTGCCGCCTAATAAGGTTTGTATCTCAGTCACACATTCAATTATAGGAATATAATTGATAAAAATAATAATAATAACAAAATGTATCCTTTGTTATCTTTATGGGAGTCCCCTATAGAAAATTTGATGTATCCTTGTTTTCATTTTTGCTATAGAACAATTTTTGTACTTGTGTTAAATGCAATTAACATTAATAACAATTTTAATTTACACCGCACTATCAACACAATTTTTATGACGTCAATATTAGGAGGAATATATAATTCATATTTTCTGCTTATCAATTGTTTCAATTATTTAGCGGCAATAACTAAAACGATGAAGAACGGTCACAACAAAAGGTTGTCGTGATTTCCAACACTTGCTTGCCATAATCACAGAATCAAGCGACGGTCACCCTCCTCCGATTATTAGTGCGAACCTATCGGAGCCTATCGTTCTTCGATATCAGGTCCTATCATATAAAATATTGATTAAATTTACGCAAATACAAAATTTTCTTGTTCCGATGCAAAGTAAGCCCCAAAATTACCATTAAAAGGGGTATATAATAGAACAACTTGTGCGTTGGCAAAGACCATACCAGATCATCACTTATCAGTTAATTCGTGGCTATCCGGTTGACAAGTGAAAACGCCTACTAAAGAGAAACTAAAACCTTTTGAAAGCGAGCAAAGGGGGCAATCAATTTTTAAAACCTTTCCATTGAGATCGCTTAATATTTTTGCAACTGCTTTACAGGTAAACCATAAAAATCCATTGTGAAAATTTGTGGGGGTGGTGGATACTCAATAGGCGATAGACGTAGTAAAGAGAGCGGCGAAGAGTGCGCAGCGAAAGAGCGTGTATTTGATGTGTACTCAAAAGTGGCCGAAGAGAGCGCACTAATACACATACACACGGAAAAAGGACGATAAAGAGGAAGAGCTTTCCCTGGAAACTAGGATAAAGTGTTTGTCCAAAATGAACCCGGCGGTGGATGCGTGGGCGGTGACCCCGAGGGAGCGTTTGAAGTACCAGGAACAGTTTAAGGCACTCCAGCCGCAGGCAGGGTTCGTTACCGGCGCCCAGGCCAAAGGATTCTTTCTACAGTCCCAGCTGCCGCCCCTGATCCTAGGCCAAATCTGGTATGTATATGACGCCCCATGAATCATCTGACGATAAGAGTTTAAATTCTTACTCACATTCTTATCTCCAGGGCTCTGGCGGACACCGATTCCGACGGCAAGATGAACATCAATGAGTTCAGCATAGCCTGCAAGCTTATCAACCTCAAGCTGCGCGGAATGGACGTGCCCAAGGTTCTACCTCCCAGCCTGTTGTCGTCTCTTACAGGCGATGTCCAAAAAACACCCTCGATGACGCCACGTGGCTCCACAAGTTCCATGAGCCCATTGGATCCACTCAAGGGAATGGTTCCGGCAGTCGCCGCAGTTGTTCCTGCTCCCGTTGTAGCTCCTCCGGTGGCTGCGGCTGCTGTCATCTCACCACCCGGAGTCTCAGTGCCGCCGGGGCCCACACCCCCCTCCAGCAATCCACCTAGTCGCCACATGTCCATTTCGGAGCGGGCGCCCTCTATCGAGTCTGTGTAAGCATCATCTGTGATTAAATATTAATGTAGCAATGAAGACATCATTTCATTTTAGAATTGAATAACTAATTGCCTAGTTATTGAAATATCTGTAAAATCAAATGTATAATATTGTATCTGTTCTTAACTCCTCAATCATCTTCTACTCTTTTAGCAACCAAGGCGAATGGGCCGTTCCAGCTGCCCAGAAGCGCAAATACACTCAGGTGTTCAATGCCAATGATCGCACCCGATCTGGTTATTTAACTGGATCCCAGGCACGCGGCGTTCTCGTACAGAGCAAGCTACCCCAGGTCACGCTGGCCCAAATCTGGACGCTGTCCGACATCGACGGCGATGGACGGCTGAACTGCGACGAGTTTATTCTTGCCATGTTTCTGTGCGAGAAGGCCATGGCTGGTGAGAAAATCCCGGTTACCTTGCCCCAAGACTGGGTGCCGCCGAACTTGCGCAAGATAAAATCGCGCCCGGGATCGGTATCTGGGGTGGTGTCCCGTCCTGGCTCACAACCGGCCTCCCGGCACGCATCTGTGTCGTCCCAGGGCGGAGTGGGAGCCGTGGATGCTGACCCAACAGCCGGACTACCTGGACAAAGTAAGTGCTTAATTAACTCCCTTGTCAAACATTTTGTGTATAGTCCATTTATAAACACTTGTGATTTCGCGTTCCCCAGCTTCCTTCGAAGACAAGCGCAAGGAAAACTATGTTAAGGGTCAAGCAGAGCTGGATCGTAGGCGCAAAATCATGGAGGATCAGCAGCGCAAGGAGCGAGAAGAAAGAGAGCGAAAGGAGCGTGAAGAGGCTGATAAGCGTGAAAAGGCTCGCTTGGAAGCCGAGCGTAAGCAGCAGGAGGAACTAGAGCGACAGCTCCAACGCCAGCGAGAAATTGAGATGGAGAAGGAGGAGCAGCGCAAGCGGGAACTGGAGGCTAAGGAGGCAGCTAGAAAGTGAGGACATTAATCTTGCTTTGAGCGACAATAAATTCATACATTTTCTATCGCATCAGGGAGTTGGAGAAGCAGCGCCAGCAGGAATGGGAGCAGGCTAGAATTGCCGAAATGAACGCACAGAAGGAGAGGGAACAAGAGCGTGTTCTCAAACAGAAAGCACACAACACCCAGCTTAATGTGGAGCTGAGCACACTGAACGAAAAAGTAATGTTTTTTGAGTATAACCTGCTTGACTGGTTGATCTAACTAACGCGCCTTTATTACAGATCAAGGAACTTTCGCAGAGGATTTGCGACACTCGCGCTGGCGTGACAAACGTAAAGACCGTAATCGACGGGATGCGCACCCAGCGCGACACATCCATGTCCGAAATGTCGCAGCTGAAAGCGCGCATCAAAGAGCAGAACGCCAAGCTGCTTCAGCTCACCCAGGAGCGGGCGAAGTGGGATGCCAAGAGCAAGGCCACCGGCGCTGCCTTGGGAGGGGAGAATGCGCAGCAGGAGCAACTGAATGCAGCATTTGCCCACAAGCAGGTGAGCTTTGGCATATTCGAAAAGTATTAGTATTTTCTTTACACATGTATTTCTTTTTCTACAGTTGATTATTAACCAAATAAAGGACAAAGTCGAGAATATTAGTAAAGAGATTGAGTCAAAGAAGGAGGACATCAACACTAATGATGAACAGATGTCTGAGCTCAAGGCCGAGCTTTCCGCTCTAATCACAAAGTGCGAAGACCTGTACAAGGAATACGATGTGCAGCGCACCTCAGTGCTGGAATTGAAGTACAATCGAAAGAACGAGACTAGCGTAACATCTGCCTGGGACACAAACACTTCCAGTGCTTGGGGGGAGACGGGTACGACTGCCAGCGATCCTTATGCAGTGGTGAGCAATGACATCTCTGCAGTGGCAGCTTCAGCTGCGGACTTAGGTGGACCGGCCCCAGAGGGATTCGTGAAATATCAAGCAGTATACGAGTTCAACGCTCGCAACGCCGAAGAGATTACTTTCGTGCCTGGTGACATTATCCTGGTGCCATTGGAGCAGAACGCTGAGCCGGGATGGTTGGCTGGCGAGATAAATGGCCACACCGGCTGGTTCCCTGAATCCTATGTGGAGAAACTAGAAGTCGGTGAAGTTGCTCCTGTCGCCGCTGTCGAGCCGCCGGTTGATGCTCAAGTGGCCACCGTGGCTGACACCTACAATGACAATATCAATACCAGCTCGGTTCCGGCAGCTTCCGTAGATCCGACTGCCGCCGGCGATGTCGAGTATTACATAGCCGCATATCCTTATGAGTCCGCCGAGGAGGGCGATTTGAGCTTTAGTGCTGGTGAGATGGTAATGGTCATTAAGAAGGAGGGTGAGTGGTGGACAGGTACCATTGGTAGTCGCACGGGCATGTTCCCCTCAAACTATGTCCAGAAGGCGGATGTGGGCACAGCAAGCACAGCCGCTGCGGAACCGGTAGAATCTCTGGATCAGGTAAGTCGATAGCTAGTCTATAATGTAGTTTAGTGTGGAGCCATTTGTTTTTAAATTGATTGGAACTAGAAACAAGAGTACAATTTCCATAATATTAAAAAACGTGACCGGCATAATTTATATTATTTATGTTAATAACGGAAAACTGTATTTGGTTCCCAAATTGGGATTTGGAATTGCTAAATTTTTAGTCAGACCCACACTTTATCTTACTTGTTAAGAGTTCACAACCCCAAAGTCCAGAGTCGTGTCTAACCGTTGCCCTCATGTCCATCTACTAATCCAATGCTTTTCATGTGCTGTGCTTTTTGCCACCGTTGTTACACTTGCACTGACCCAGGAGACGACGCTAAACGGCAACGCTGCCTACACCGCTGCTCCCGTGGAGGTACAGGAGCAGCTTTACCAGCCGCTGCCTGTTCAGGAGCCCAGCGAGCAGCCGATCTCAAGCCCAGGCGTTGGCGCTGAGGAGGCGCACGAAGACCTCGACACTGAAGTTTCCCAGATCAATACACAGTCCAAAACACAAAGCAGCGAGCCTGCCGAGAGCTACAGCCGACCCATGTCACGCACCTCTTCCATGACACCCGTAAATAGTTGACACAGCCCGTTACCACTTCATTTATAGTTTCATTTCATTAACCCACATCTTTTTCGTAATAATCTTGCAGGGAATGCGGGCCAAGCGGTCTGAGATTGCACAAGTAATCGCACCCTATGAGGCCACCAGCACAGAACAGCTTTCGCTGACGAGAGGCCAGTTGATAATGATCCGCAAGAAGACGGACTCCGGCTGGTGGGAAGGTGAGCTGCAGGCAAAGGGCCGCCGGCGACAGATCGGATGGTTCCCGGCCACATATGTAAAGGTCCTCCAAGGCGGGCGCAACAGCGGACGGAATACTCCAGTTTCCGGTAGCCGTATCGAGATGACTGAGCAGATCTTGGGTTGGTTTTGGAATATTCGTAATATGTGTTAAATACATTAATTTATCTATATCGTTTTCTGTCCATACAGACAAGGTCATTGCTCTCTATCCGTACAAAGCACAAAATGATGATGAGCTGTCGTTTGATAAAGACGATATCATTAGCGTTCTGGGTCGGGATGAGCCGGAGTGGTGGCGTGGCGAGCTGAATGGCCTTTCCGGCCTCTTCCCCAGCAACTATGTGGGACCCTTCGTGACGTCCGGTAAGCCAGCGAAAGCTAATGGCACCACGAAGCAGTGAATCTCACCTGCCGAACCAGCTCTCTGCATAGCTCAGCTCTCTAGTTACTACATTCCGTAGACTTATTGCTTTATTTTTACCATTATTTTCGAATTATCAATGCCAATATGTTCTCGCCTTTCGGTTTTGAAACCCCCTCTATAGTGTTTATTTGTTGCAATATTTCCAGATGTATTTAATTGTTAATTGTGATTATTTAGTTTTTAGATTTACTCCTAAGTTTATCCCTAGCGACCTCTCTTTTTCGTTTAGCTAATTTCTAGTGTCCATTCATTTATATATTTATTCAGTCTGCCTAATTATATTTTGTATTTCATTATTTGTATTTTGTACATAAATTAAAAGAATTAAATGCAATTTCGATCTTAATTGCCAACAGGAAACGTATAACGAGCCTTCGGTTTTGGCCTCTAAGCGGCATCAGGCACTTGCTTACAAAAAATACCGATAAAAAATCTACATGATCCCTTGGGAATTGGGTTAACTTAAGATCAGCAGCAGCATCAATATCCTCCGTAGCTACCTAGCCGGAATTCGTACAGTATTCTAGAAAGCCTATAAATTGGCTTCTTTCATTGTTCAACCTGAAAGTTTATTCATGTTTATCCTATTCGGAGTAAAATTCCCTTAAATTGATAGAATTAATAACCAGATCTCCTCTGAAATCATTTATAGAATCAAACACTGCTCTCATGTTCGTAACAAATCAAACGAAAGATACAACCGAATTCTAGTAAGTCACATTTTAAAGGGTTTATATAATAATCTGCATATGGAAACTACAATATACATAAGGATATCAAATGACACTTGAAATTTCGTTGTATGTAGATGTGTTTATCGATCAAATCCAGAATATTCAGAAGTTTTTTTCCCCAAATGCTACCACAAATACGCAAATAGTATCTATAACAATGGTTTTCTGTGTTTTCCAATAATATCCGTATGTAATTGTATATACTTAAAGTATTAAAACCAAAAGTGGGAGTATACATTATTGTTAACTAAATATTAAGCATATGACCATTTACTTATATCTTTAAAAAGACATCAAGATTAATGGAAAAAGCGGGACATATATTTGTAATGGCTTAACTTCAGTTTAAACTTTAAAATAACATACTTGATTTAATGAATAAGTTAAGCGCTTGTCTCAACTGCCATAACTGTATTAATTTAACGAGTATTGTCTCTTGGTGAATGTTAAATTTGTTTGCAATGTTAAAATTAAGTATGTACAAAATCCACACATAGTTCTTTCGACCCGATTGGATTGATAGTCGGATATTATAGAGAGCCACGTTATGCTGTTCGAATCATTCTATGCTAGTTACATTTAGTCTATTTAACAAATCACACACATGTATCTACACTATCTCGTACATATGAAGAAACACTGTCGAATGCCTTTCAAAAATGATAACCAAACAGTCACCTTACATGGACTAACTTAATCGTAACTTGTTATTGCATACCACGACTACATATGCGTCTATAACTATATTAAATTAAACCAAAGTAAAGAATCGTTATGAGCCCCGCACGGTTGCGATCAGTTGGTGCTATAATCCCAACCGATCGGCGGCTGGGTGGGGAAATTCTAAAAGCATAAACACATATTTATGTAGCAAATGTTGGGTTGTTTAATTCCACATATAAATGTACTAATAACTTTGAATGAGCCACAAAAGAAGCATATTCATAATATATTCAGAAGATACTACAAATTCTTTAGAAAAAACAAAGCAAAGTGTTAATTGAGATATCCGTACATTCCGCGTCCCGCATATACACTCCTGCATACATATAATGCTCATACATATACATGTAAGCGTACTTGTTTAATCGTTACAAAAGTTTGTTATTGTAAACAATGCTTAAGCGTAATTACCGACGAGGCGCAATCCCGATCAAATGCATTAGCACACTCACCTACACTAGGAATCACTTTAAACGCGAAATGGTGACCATCGATATATTTACCTATATACAAGCTGAGCTGTGGAGAACTTGCAGAAATCTTCTGCACACACACAATGCATTCGAGTAAATATAAAGTGAATTCTTCTAGAAAAGCAAAACCAAAAAATACTATAAAACATATTAAAATATATCAGTTTCAAAGATAGACAAAAATAAAATGCGAAGAGCAAAAATATTAAATTAAATTATGAAAATAACAAAGTACACATATTTGGTGCAATAAATGTATAAAAGAAATTCAAACAAAATTCTTGCGTTTTTATATTCGTTACTCGTAAAGTTTACTATACTCGTTTACTATACCCTTTAAAGAGTATGTAACAAGTTAAAAAAGGAGTTTCCGACTTGTAAAAGGGCGTATATTCAGGATCTCTAGTGCAGTCCATACGACCATGTCCGTCTATCCGTCCAACTGTCGAGGTCTCGGGACCTATTGAAGCTACAATAAGATTAGGAATGTAGATTCAAGTAGATTCAAGGTCCAAAACGTTGAATTAATTGAATACTGCATGCGGCAGCATTCGACTTCTGCCTGCTACAGCATTATGCACATCTCCATCTCTCTTGCATATCCTAGCTGAGTAAGGGGTATGTAATAGTCGTGGCATTCGACCATACGTCCTCTTGCTATAGTAAATGAGTACATTGAATTCGTTGATTCTGCAATTGCGAACTTAATGGTCTGTAACCCGACTAATGCATTCTAAGGATTGTTCATAATATTCGTGCCTGTTCCCCCACAGAGATCAAGCCAGAGCCAGATCAAGGTGCCGGTGACAGAAGCTCCAAAGGAATCCAGCGCTTATGGCAACAGTGGCGCGGATGTAATACCGACCAGGGTGATCCGAACGAAGATGTAGCCAACAATAAGCTGCGAGGCACTATTCAAGCTGTGCACATAACCAGGCGGCGGGATGGCCATCTTATGGGATGTGCCTATGTCCGGTTTGAGTGCGATGAGCTGCTGGCGAAGTCCATGCTTCAGGGAAATGGGAATCGATTGGTTGGCAAATCAGTGGTGGTCGACTGGAAGCCAGAAACGCCGAAAAAACGATTTGGTCAGTGGTGTTGCTGGTGAAACAAAAAACATCCACACAAACTCTATAGGTGCTAAGTTGCAAGTGTCGGTTCAGATTGTTTTGCTTTCCTCAATAATTTTATTTATAGTAAAATTTTCTTATAAATTATTTAAAATCAGTTTAACAATTTACAATTCTTTGTTTAGGTTTTGCATCGAGTGTTTTTATTAAATTTTTGTTAATCTTGCGCTATCAATATTTATTTTTAGTTTTAAAGTATGCACAACTTAGGGCCTATGGTATGAAAATTGCAAACACGTTCTCGATTTAGTCAGTAATTGAATTCAATATTAGTTTCCTTAAGCAAGTAATTTATGAGCGAGCGTCCATAATAAAAAATTACACCACAATCAATGTTGACTTTGGAAATTCAGTGGAATAATTTATTTTTACATAGAAAACCTGCTCATATTATAACACAGCTCTGACTTTTTGGGTTTTCCACTAATGATTTCTTTCAAAGTGACAATTTCCAAGATCCAGCTTATCTGGTAGCCGCTTATTGTCTTACTGCTAAAAATAAAATGTGAAAAACTAAGATAACCAATTTTATCTGATCTGGCCGAATGCATTCTTGTCTATAACCTATTGGGATTACAAACTACTAAATTTACAGGTATGTAGATGGATAAACTAATGTTCGGTACTATGCGTGTTGCCCTTGAGTTAGAAAATATATATATGTATTTATTTGTGTTAATCGTAGTAGGTAGGTATGTGTTCCATTTCCACTCTTTACCGTTAGCAGTCCACGCAAGTATATTTAGGTAGGTAGGTTCCAGAATATGTCCCATTCTGGATATTGGCTACTGTGTTCTCAGTTGGCTCCGTGTGTCCCCTTGGATCTGGTCTGGTAATTGGAGTTCGTTCTTCTAATGCATCTTCAAAACTACGTCAGCGTAGTAAAACTATTTGCTTCAACTATTCTATTTTTACTTGGGTTTTGAGCACGTTCATCATGTTTATGCTTGGTTAGCTCAATCCTAGTTATACACTCAAGTTCCACACAGAATCTATTGCAAAACTCTCGCTCGTTCAAACATGATCCATTGGGCATTTTATGTTTATCGTTCGTAAATGTTTACAAAAATAATTTTAAATTACATAACTCTGTCCGTTTTTCTGTTCACTATCAGTTACTTTGCTTCATAGGTAGGGTAAGCTAAAGTTTTGCTCAACTGTTTTGAAACTAGTTATAAGGGGGCTGGATAAATTCAACAAGACGTAAGATCTCATAGAAAAGGCAATAGAAAATCTGTTGTTTAAATGACATGTTTAATGCCTTCTTTTCAGCATAATACAGTTCCAGGGGTTATTTCCGTTCCCAAAACAGTTTCGAAATGATGCAAGTTTACTGACAGTTCCAGCTGAGAAAAACTTTACTGCATTAATTTTAGTACTGACTCTGCGGCTATACAGAAATGAATTCCTTAAAACTCTTTAATAACTAAGGCTAAAATGGAACTAAACTCTGCATTATCGAACTAAGTACGCTCTTAAGTACTGCTAGCAACACATACTCGCAATGTGATTTTCAGTTAGTACATTTTTCTAAATTACAAGTAAGGAAATAAACTTTAGTTGTAAGCTTAATATGAACTTTGGCTACGCTGTGTAATTTATTACACAATTTTTTGCTTGCTTGCTATTTCGGAACACATCAGCTGAAATCACTAAATTATGTTTTTGATATACATACACATGTATATGTAAGTGGTTCACAATAACAATTGATCGGGATTAAACACAAAACTGGAAGTTAATATCTTAAAAAGCGACTTAAACGACAAAGAAGAAATTAATTAAGTTATTCAAATCTGGTGTTATATACAATTTTCGCTACTCCCTTATCTAAGCATTTGTCCGATTTATGTGTTAATATAATTATAAAGCTTTTGGTTTAAACCTTTTTTTGAAACTATTTTGCAACTTTTTTTCAACTTTTGTCTTACGAACTAGGTCATTTAAATGTGTGATTAGGAGTTAGTTAGTAGAACATCTCGTACGGGAACAGACGCAGCCGCAAACTTCTTGGATTACGAGATGGTGGTGCTAGGAGCGATGGCTCTTCATCCTCCAGATCGTCCTCCACGTCGCCATCCGTGCTTGATACTCAAATGATGCTTTCGTCGTTGTTGCGGGTCAGCCGAATGCTTGTCGTGGTGGTGGCGGTATTGGCTTCTGATCCGGATCCTGGACTAGATCCCGATCTTCTGCCCGAGGCCGGTGTTGTAAAAGTGGTGACCACAATGTTCTCGTCATCGTAGGAGTCAAAGTCCTCGTCCTCATCATCATCGTTCTCATCGGAGTCGGTTTCGGAATCCTCGTAGTCCAACAGCGCCTTGGTCACCTGGTTTTTCCGGCCCGCGTGACTCACGCCTGCCCCGCCCACCACCGCCCCGGCGTTCATACGACGGATCTGGGCACGAGGCGTGTTGGATGGGCGTGGCAGGAGCGGTTCCCTGCCGCTCATTCGCATCAAAAGCTCGCTGTTCGCTCCACCAGCTGCGGCCAATGCTGCTCCCTCCCATTCATCCGAGTCCGCCGGCTCGCACAAGGACTTGGAGTGTCCATGCTGGTACGACGACTCCTCTGGTATTGTGTCTCTGTTGGTGGAGGTGTCGTGTGGAGAGTGCGGTGGTTCGTGTTTGGTAATCGATGGTGGGATGATGTGAAGAGAAGGCGTAGAAAGTTAATGTTAAAGTTGTGATCAAATTTTGGCAAATGAATTGTTTTGGATATTCGTATGTGTTAATGTTAGCATGAGAGGCTACAGCTAATTTAGGTATGTATATTTATAAAGATCTTTATAAAAACGAAAACTTAGCAGTATATATAAAAAATATATTAAGTATATTTTGAACACTACATTTAAGCAAATTAAAATGGATCAAGAAGATGGTAGAGAAACTTATAAGGAAGACATGTTTAAGGCACAGTATAACAGTTCTACTTTACATTTAACTTTTTGCACTACTGTTCTTTATAAATGGGTACAATACAATTTCATTGAGTCCGCTGTTCGGATTTTCATTGTAAATTAAGATTACGAAAAAGTTGGGATTAGCACAGAGAAGAGTGTAGGCGTTAATTGGGTTCGATTGTTAGTTGTGCTTGGCCCAGGCACTGTGTTATACGTATAACACTTTGAAAAGATTCTTCTTCTAATACTTACACATAGTTCGTGTGATTAAAGCCGTTTAAAGATACACTTTACTTTAAACATAGAAATTGTGTCTAGGGAAAGTTATCACAGGTGCTCTCAATTGTATAACAGTTTGATGTCAGTGTGTGCGTGTAGAGATATGGTGTGTGTTTGTGCATTTAGTGTACAGTTTAGCTAGTTAATTGCTCTGGCTCTGTGCTCGTTTCGGATTTGATTAATCAGATTCAATTGAGACGCCGCTAAAAAATATAATTTTCATCAAATTGTTTACCAATCTAGTTTGTTCATTAACCAGTTATTAGTTAGGGATTTAGTTTGGATTTTGACTCGGTTTTTTCGATTGGGAATATTCACAAACAAGGAAACACAGCACAATGGTATTATTAAGTAATGGATTCCATTGATTGTTAATTGTTTTTTTTAGAAATTGCATTGCATAGTCTGGGTATTAGGTTATGTAATTGTAAAGGAAAAGGCTGGGTGCTAATATGGGAGATATTGCATAGATAACTGTTATATATAAATATAATGAACACGCATATAAACGATATAAGAACGGAGTGCAACAACAAAAATCAATGAACGAAATTAATAATTCGGTTGTACTACAGTCGTATACGTGTTTTATTACTGTATTTGGACTGTTATACAAAAAATGGGTACAAGTTAATAAAACGGCAAACGAAATTCAACAACTCCAGTAACCCAGCATATTTTTCAATCGCTCACATCACCAATTAACAACATCCTAATTTCCAAGTATTATATGTACAGTGGGGAAAATGGCAAAATTTGTTGGGCCAGTTTAGAGATCTGTGTTGAGTGAGTGCAAAAAATGAAGTTTGAAGCCAATTGCAAGATTATTATTTCGGAATCGATTCAAGTACAGGAGACCAATTCCGGCTGACATGAGAAGAGAGAGCGCGGGCAAATTCAATCCTACAGGGGTACAAACTGTAGCTCTACCATATGATATGCACTGATCTGTGGCTCTATATACAGGGCACATGTCGGGTTCGTGAGGTTAGTATACGCTAGTATACGCGGTATGGGGAAGTGTCTTTCTTTTCACAGCGTATCGAAATTCATTAATGGTCGGTTTGGTTGCTCAAGACAGTTTGGGTTCTCTTCAGTTCTAGATCTTTACTTTGTGTGGTACGTATATGGGGCGCTGTCCTCCGATTTCGAGGAGGTTGGCGTCGAGTGCGTCGCACTTGCTGATGTATCTGTTGAGTTGTTGGTGGTGTTGTTCTTGGTGGTTGATGTGCTTGTAGGTTTTATTGTAGTTGTTGTTGTTGTTGTTCTTGTTGTTGTTGTTGTTGTTGAAATAGTAGGAGGTGGAGGAGAAGGGCTTGTAGTCATGGCTGAGCCAAGTAAATTAGTTGCTCCCGTACTAAATTGCAAAATTCTACTGGGCCTTCGTCCAGTTGCAATGAGTCTGTAAAATAATCATCACAATAAAAGACACAGACGCGGCTCAACCACACAATATCCACATACACTGAATAGGGGCTTTTGGAGTATAATATTGAAATGCAAGCGACATTTTGTACTTTGCGACAAAGGGTGCAACTGAAGACAGGAAGTGGATAAGTTGGAGGGGGAGAAAGCGGGAAGTTTATTCCAGAAGCTGGGAAAATACTCTAAGATCTTTTTGGAATGAAAAATCAGAAAGGTGTGCCAGGCAGGCATACGTGTAAGCTATAATTATAGATCACATATCATGATCGTGCTTATAATAAAGGCCAATTTAGGATCATCATTTATTTAAATGAAAATGACAGTTTGCACTACTTTAAAACTGGAAAGTATGATAGCAAATAAAATATATAGCTATGCTACTGAATACTTTGAAAATTTAAAGGTAATCCAATAACCAATTATAGTGTTAATCGTATTAGTAAGCTATTAATGAACAGGCCGAATAAAGAAAGTACAACTGAAATGGGTTTCTAGCTAGCACTTTGGGGGAATTCACAGGATTCCGTCCACAGGACTTTTCTAGTCGGATTGTGAATTGTTTATATCAAATTATACGATTTCAATCGCATATCGATCTACGTTCGCATATTTATTTTACTATTTGTAAGATTTGCAGCAAGATATATTTAATTCAGAGTTGCGCTTACTAAATATTACTCCTTAAACGTAAGGCTACCTTTATCGAAGACCCATTTCAGTCTGATAGAAAACACAAAGAACTTGGTAACTTTTGCACAAGACCATGAAGATAGAGTATAATGTGCGCAGACTCTTGGTGTCTGACAAAGTGCACATGGAACTTACCCGCTCAGCTCCAGCATGGAGCCCCTGCGCACGTTCCGCCGGTGACTGGCCGTAACCGGAAACGGGCCGGAATGACTGTCCGGACCTAGCTGATGGGCTCCGGCGCCTAGCGAACTGGAGGAAATAGACTGGGAGCGCTTGTCCAGCCGCGGATTGTGCATGGACGTCGATGGAGCGTTGGGCGGTTGGCTGGACATGGGCACCACCATCGTTTCGGAGCCACTGGCGGCGGAGTCCATGGCTCCTGTGCTGCCGATGCCAACGCTCCCGGCCTTCGAGCTGGAACTCTCACGTCGGAAGAGACCTATGACGGACTTGGGCTGTTTAGGCTTGTTTATACCACCTTTGTTGCGGATTCGTTGTGCGCGTTTTCAGAGGATTTTACAGGGAGTTCGTGTGGTGTATCGTGTGGAACGTTGTGGGTGGTGGGTGTAGAAGTGGCAACAGTTATCGGGGAAAAACAATGCGGGGAAAGAGAGAAAGAAAAAGGAACATTTTAGGAAAATCCCAACGAAATGAACATCAAATCCATAAAGACACATAAAAATTGGGTGAAATTTTGACATCGTATATCGCTTAGCATATTTATATGACTGGTGGCAAAATACAAACACGTAAACTATTTACATTTAGACAAGTAAGAAGCCATATTGATATATACAAATTTTCTTGAGCTTACTCAGAAAATAAACAAATTAAAGTTTTAGCTAACTGAGAATTCACTTAACATAAGATTTAAAGTTTTACAAAATCAACTAGCATCTCTTTGTTCCTGTGTTCTTGCCAATTCGCGAAGAGTAATAAACTAGGGACATGAATATTCGATATAGAAAGAAGAATCTTTGAAGATTTCGAAGTTGTTGTGTGAATGTCAACTTTTTTCCCACTTAGTTGTTGTCACAAAAAAGCTTTGATTTGTGGGTTGGCATACATTACCTAGGAATGTTGCGCTGGGGGAATTGTAGGCCAAGTACTCCTTGTTGGAGGCCCAAGCGGGAAACTCGTTCTGCTGCACTGCATCCGTGCATTCGTCTCCCTGTCTTTTCCACGGCAACTGGGATTCCGTGGCGGTGGGGGTGGCCACACGCCTTTCTCCGTCGGATTCGCGGGACAGATTACGATCCTCCTCGGGAATGGGATGTTCGGCCACTAGATCACAAACACAAGTTTCGGGAAATATGAATGCATGGAAATGTTTATGTTTTCGGGAAAAATAAAACTATTGGATTTGCTTTGCATGCAGCGTACAGTTTTAACTGCTGTTTTGCTTTTTGGCTGTCGATTGCTTGGTGGTTGGCCAATTGGGAGTATATCGTCAACATATTTCAAACTCAAGCGTAGTTGATGACACGGAATACGTCAAAGGGCAAAAGACAAACAAGGTGCACTTAACTGAAGGTAAATCAGGCTTCACAGAACGAAATTAAAATCTTTACTTTTCCTTGGCGACAGATTGATTTATATAGGTTATTTAATGGGTCAACCTAAACAGGCCCATTTGAGTGATGTTAACTTTTTTGGTATTTTGCAGTGAGCTTTTGGGACAATATACGAGTATGGGCTAAATGCTCCGAGGACCATTCATAACACGTAAATTTCTTTTAAGGGGCCAAAGGAAACAAAATATAAATCGGAAATTTGGTCATGCACAAAAATGCCATGCTCTGTTTCGACGCTTCTTCTTTTTCAGAATTTTGTAATAGCAAAGTTGTTACTTAGTCACACCAAGTGTCAAGTTGTAGGTAGTAAGACAATGGAGCTAAATGCAGGTTATTTCGAGCTTTGGCAATGACAACTTTCAACTGCATTCGAGGACTAGAATTATCAAGAACTAGAATTATGTCAATGGCGATTGCCGTCTACGACTAATTTACGTTAACGACGCATAAACAAAATGTAGTGATTACTAATTGTATGGGCAGCTACGTCTAGGCAACACTAAACACGGTTAATAAGTTGGGGATGGAAGTAAAGGCATTAGAATTAATCGCGTTGAGAAAATAATAGTAAGAAACGATTAACTGAAATAGAATAGCTAACAGAAATATCGACCAAATTGCGCAGAGCTGAGTAAGTTAGATTGAACCGAGTTTAAGACACTCTTTTAACAAGGTAATGGCTTCATATGAGATCTAAGAACACGTAATGCTGTGAAATGTATGGGTGTGAAGGTGATATTCAATGGTTTTAGACTGCATTGGACTCTGGATAAGTTACACTTAGGTTTCGTTTCAAAAAATGTTAGGATGACAGGCTTTTAGGCCAAGCCAAAAAAAACGTATTATTGATTTGACTTAAAAATGTTATATATATTTGTATGCTGGTAATAAAAAGCGAATGCGTTTGAAGCCTTGGTATTCAGCGTCGGAAAAAATATTGAAGATGTCAATATCTCGCAAGTGTGCCTCGAAAGCTTCAGTTCGCATATGACCATGAATCTAAGCACGCAAATGATCGAAAAGTGAGCTCTAAGGCATTCAAACGATTGTTGCAGATGTCGTTGCTGTTTTGATCTGTTTGTGGGTGGAATGGTTGCTCTGAATATGATGTCTTTACCAATGCTCTGGTATGAACGATCCCGCCGCCATGGCAATATCAATTCGGCGGCCGTGGGCCCAATGGCCTGGTCGGGGGACTCTAGATCTGTGTCCGGATTGTCGTCGGCCTTGGGCGCATAGTGCTGGACGACGATACGGGCCTTGGAGGCATCGAAACCCGGCAGGTTTTGGATGTGGGCTATCAGGGAATTGTTATTGGCACGATCCGAGTCAGCTAATCGTAATTTTTTGTAATCATTTAGTATAATTATATTTTTTTTGCGCCCAGCGACATTTTTCGGTGTGTGTTTTGGTTTTTTGAAGTGATTGGTTTTCGAAATAATTGGAAAGGCATAAAACAAGAAATATATGTAGAAAGTTCGTTGTTATAGCTTTTATTAGGTTCTCCTTAGGGGGTAGGATAAAACAACGCAAGAATACAGTACAAATTAAATCAATGAACAGAAAGTGGGCAGGACAAGCAACGCCTTGCCCAGAAAAATATTCGTTGGTCTCAAATCTTGTCATTCAATTCGCTTAAAAATACCTTTAAAGAAACCGTGTTTCGCTACTCAGCTAATCGATCTATGTACAAATACTCATACAACCTTTAAAGAACTCTTTCTTTAGAGGCAAAAAAAGATTCGATTATTAAATGATGGCATTTTTGTGTGAACAAAACAAACAAGGTGGGCAGCAAACAGGATATGTGGACAATTTCAGTTATTGCTGACAACACAGAGAAAAGTGGCCCACACAGAGCAATGAAACAAGGATATAAAGGATATAAAGGATATACACATGTGTATGGAGAAGAGGGCAGATAACCATAACCATCTAGGGGCTGCCTATGCTCTATGTAGACAACCTCTTTACTCAAATGTTAGTTTTCAGAAAAAAATGGTATTACAAGTAGGAATGGCTTACGGGCGTAATGAGAACACTTACGTGATGATTTCGCGGTGAAGGTCAGGCCGTCATCCCAATCGTCGCTCGGGCCAACAACATTGATCTCGTTGGGATTCTGTTGGCACTCCTCGGCTGTTTCATTAAGCACATTGTTAATATAGTCTTTGTATGGTTCGGGATGAGTGAACAAATAAATGGACAGGTCAGGAAAATGGTGTGTGTGTGTTGCAGGTTGGGTTATTGATTTCGGTTAGTGCACAAATTTGGTGTTTGGTTTTTGGCCAAGTGTGTGAGGTTTTTCGGCATCAGTTGGAAGGAAGCGCGATGCAGGGGAGAAAGAGAAGGATTCGGATGAAATTAAATTAGTTACCAAATTAATACCAATTTTCACAATGTTTTTCACTTTGAAATCCATTTCGGTAATAGGTTTAAAGGAGCTTATAAAGTCTCATTATTTTAGCACGGAAATAAAATTTGCAAACATGCAGCGACACAAAATTGTGGCTTTGCCAAATCCACCTGACAAACTCCTTTATGAAGAACATATAATAATTTAGAAAAATTAAAACTGGGGTTTAGTAGGATGCTTTACAAGAAAACTAAAAGTATCGTGAATTAGGTTAGTATGACGCATGAAACTTTACTCGGAACTTAAAATGCACTACACTTTCCACTACAAACTAAGAATAGCACGAAAATAGATCAGTCTGATCATTGTACAGTGAAAAACTTAAAGAAAATAATAGGAACTCTACGAACTGATTCGAGATAAACTTTACGGACTTTTTTCGACTGAAACAATATGCTGTTCGATTGTATAAAAATTTGTTGCTGATTTTAGCGTCATTTACCTATTTCTAATCTACGATATTTGTTAAGTGAATTGTGAGTATGTCTTTTTCTGTAAGATTTTTTTCGTGAATGGTTTGAACTCGATTCCGTACCATTGGTGAGCTGCTTAGTGGTGCCGTTCTGCTGAAAGTCATGGAACGAGACATGATTCTGCTTAACGTTCTCCTTGGCCTCCTGTGGATAGTGGCGATATCCATTAAATAGAATTCTTCGGCTACAAAATAAGTGAAGGCGCTCACCTTGTTGCTGGCACCACGTTTGCTGCGCTTGTGATGTTTTCGATCATTGAACATGCGCCTGAAGTTCATTTGCATCTTGTAATTGACCTGCAAGAGAGCAATATTCCGGTTAGCCTTCAACTGCTCAACTGTTCAGCTGCTTAGAATTGGCAGATGCAAGTTGCTGGTGTTTTGGGTGACAGGTACTCACCTGGGTGGACAAATCTCTGTCATCTACTGCGTGTCGGCTATAACTAAGACGACGGTGCTGTAAAAACATGGATGAAGCAAATTAATATCGAAATCATAAATGGCAGTACAATGATGTAAGTAGAGAGCTGTGGCCTTGCAGGTTACTTAGGTTGCCAGATAAGACAGTTACATTTTAATAAATTGAGTATATGTTACGATTAATTGCTTTTAGCTAACGTGAACATGAACTGAGTAAGTTGTAACGGCTTTCAATAAACATTTGTACATCTTAGGAGTAGAGATTAATATATTAAGTGCTGAGCCTAAATTATATTCCTTTCCAGTGCTTAGGATTTACGATACATAATGATGAACACAGCGAATGCTGACAGACAAAATATATAAGTAATTTATGTTGCTTGGACAATGAGGTTAAAAGGTTCAGCACAAAATTTAAAAAAAGTACAGGAATCTGGGATAATTGAAACACATGTATGCTGTTAATTATAAATAAATAAGGTTACTTAAAGGATAAATTCAAGATTATAAACTTATTATTTATTTATTAAGATACATTAAGATTTGATATCAATTAATGTAAAAGTTTGTCAAACAAAATGTTCTTTATTAATAAACATTCGCATTCTGCATAGACACAAATATTAGTAAACTTGATAATTAAAAATTCCATTAATTGGATCAAAATAAAGTCAAACAGGATCATTTTTAGCACTATTAACTAATTTTTTAACGCTCCTAACTGTTTTTACATTATAACAAGTACAGCATAAAAAACCGCAAATTTCGAACCGATTTTTATTTTAATAACTCGTTTTATTTGTAATTTAAATTATTAATCCTAAGAACGGGGAATTTTACAAATGGAAAAGTTATTTAGTATTATGGAATATTATTATTGAATTATATCCTAAAGCAGACTGTCCAATGTTTCAATAAATATTTTAAACGGTGTAGCTCATAATTACTTTACTGAAAGTGTTTGAAATACTTGAAAGTATTTGATGTCTTCCAGTTTCATTAGCTTAGCATAATTTAATATAAAATAACACCAATACAGACACACAACGTGTAACACTTAAACGAACAAGTTTAATTAGTTAATTCGAACGGAGTTTATGAAAATTAACCAGGAAACAGACCAAATGAGTTCAAACAAAAAACCAATTAACCAATTTATTCGTACCATTTGTATTGAGGCCTTTATCGCAATATTGAAATTTTTATTTTTGATTTGTTAAGCACACGAAAGTTTGAAGCAGTTTTGATTTATTTAAAGACGTTGTCGAGTAGTTGATGTTGAGTATCGAAACAACGGGAAAGAAATTAAATAAACGATTAATCACAAGTATATCTATATAGAAATATGTCTATATTTATCTTATATGTGTATAGGCAGACAAAAATATTTATATTCAGAGCCATAAGCGAAGAGTGTGGAAAACTAAATGCCCATAGTACAAAACAAAATAGAAATATCGAAGTTACAGTGAAGTTACAGTATAACTTTGCATAAACACTCTTTAGTGACTACTATAGAGCGAAGAGGTGGAGACATAGATCGGCAGATATAGAGTATCATTTTGAGGAAATAACTTTCGGGCTGTGATAATCTTGGGGGCTTAAAGGTAAAACTGGTTGCGATAGATAGTCCAACCAAGAGTTTATTGTTACAAAACGTGACTTGCTAATGCACGGATAAATATTTGTCCAATACGTACCCTTCTATAAGGCTTCAGTTCTTCGGCCAAAAGATGATGGATCCTGGCGTCGGTCAGATCCTTCTTGGATGGATTATAATCCAGCTCAGCCATGTCCAGATTACGTGAACAGGTATTATCTAGATTTGTCAGACTGGGACTGAAGAGTGGTTTACACAAGTATCAGTATAAGTTAGTCAAAGATCATAGGAGATTCTATATTACACATTAGATTAGATTTAAGTAACAACCAAAGAAGTGGTTAAACGAATTTTAGATATATATATATATATATTCAATAATTTATAAAGAGGCGTCTCACAAAGGTTCATTATACTACGAGTTTACCTAAAAACGACAAACTATTCTTTATTTTGGGCTTCAATGAAATACTTGTGTGACGCCTCTGCTTGTATTGTTTCAATTTGTTAGTTGCCAATATGCTTAAACAAAAGTTTTGTGCAATTCATGCTCATGTCAGGGTATATAAACTACATCAATTTCGAATTTGTTCGTACTCATGCAATATACGGTTGTTTTGGTGTGAGTACAGGCAAGATATCATTGAATCCAAAATTCGTTTACCAGGTGGTGTATATGGTTGGCGGTGCCCACCTGCCGCCAATATAGTTATTGGTATAGTTCCGGAAAAGGGCGCTCATCGACTCGGTTCCCGTCATCTGGCCAATAGTGGATGGATTTCGCCTCATGACTTCCATGGCATCGCGCATTGTCAGTTTGGAGTACGTCTCGATGATCTTCGGCTCAGCTCCCTGTGTTAAAATGGAAAACGGCGAAAATATTCGGTACAAACTCGACTTGACTTTTATTAATATTCTTATTACTAAATCTTATCATTCAGGTTTCTCAAGGGGTTCATTCTGGAAGATATACTTGAACTACGGCGTTGCCTTCGGCTCTTTTCATCTGCATTGGATGCACTCGCCCTTCTATTCTTGTTCAATGCTCGTTCATAGCTTTGCATGGGAATGTGGTCCAATATATGCAATTCATTAATTTCCTAATGGCAGTTCAGGTATAGATTTAGAGATTACACATTCTGCAAGTTCTAACCGTTCTAACCCCATCTAACCACTTAGATGCAAAAATACCTTTAGATCTCTGATCAGCAGCGGACGAATGAAGCGATTGTCAAAGCGCTTGAACTTATCGCGCACGTTGTAGTTGCCGGTTTTGCCCACTATGTCCTCAATTCCAGCCATCAAGTGATCCATGAACTACAAGAAATCAAACTTAAGTATACGAATCGATGGCCCTAAAGCTGTGTGATAACTGACCCGTTCATGAATGCGCTCATTCATGGTTGGCTTGCGTTTATTAGCGCGCTTGACATTTAGGATTTTCACCAGCGGCTTAATAGTGATTCCTTGCAGGAAGACAGTAAAGTAGATCACAGCTATCGTGGTGGTGACGAACATGTTCTTCTGCTTAACCACATTCTCGTCCACCAACAGTACCAGGGCAAAGGCCACAGCACCGCGCAATCCTCCGTAGGACATCACGAACTGATCCACCCGGGACAATTTGTGCAGACGGAAGCGATTGGCAAGGGCCGATAGCAAAATGACACCTGCGCAAAATTAAAAACAATTAAAAGGAAACTTCGTTGCTGTACATCGTAAAATACGCACCAATAACACGAAACACTGAACAGAAGGCAATGGTCAGCACCACAAACCACGTATTCCATACGTGCATGTTGTTCACAGTGGCCACGCCTAGGAACATAAATATAATGGTCTCCGCCGAACTGGACAACATCTTTAAGGCATATTTAACAGTCGTATGAGACTTTTGTGAAATATTCGATTCCACATAGTTCTTCATGGTGATACCACAGAAAGTGATGCTGTGGAATAAGTTGTATTACTAAAGTGGTACAGCTTTGGTACACGTACAAAACTCACGCTAAAATGCCACTCATGTGGAATATTTCCGCATTCAGATAGGCCAAGTACGCCATCACAAATATGAAGATGGGTTCTATGACTCGCACGTGATCGGTGAATCGGGTCACCAGGCCCGTGAGAAAGCCCCAGATGATGCCTACGAAATGTGGTGCCATTGGTTTACCAAGTCCGACTCAAAAGCGTGCACTCACCTATGGCAGTGCCACCCAGTGCCACCACGAAGAAGGAACCCACACCGCTGGCGATGTCCTGGGCGATGATTTTGTCTAAGCCAATCTCATTGTAGGACTCCATCATGTGGTACATCACAACCTGGGGGCATAGGGAAGACGCAAACTCAGTTAACCATGTAGACTTGTTGACTTAATTGCTGCCACAACCCGCCCACAATCGCAATCAATAAAGCCATCTTACCGTGACGGCATCGTTCAGCAAGGACTCGCCAAAGACGACAATGTACAGGATCTCGTTCACGTGTATCTCCTCGAATACGGCCAAGACGGCCACCGGATCCACGGCGGATATCAGCGAGGCAAATAGGAACACGTCCATTAGACCCGGAGTCTCGCTTTCCCCGTAAATTCCCATCTTGCCGCAGGCGTACAACGAGCCACCTTCAAGGGAGAAAAATGGTGGAGGGCATTATAAATAAAATCAGAGGACGCCGGGGGTATGTCATCCATTTCCAGCCATCAATTTGCCGAAGCCGTTCTCGGACTTAATTAGATACTGGCCAATCGATGGCATTGGCATTGCTGCAGCTTGTTGTTTTCGAAATGCATCTCCCAGTCACTTAAGTCAATTGATAAGCGTGTTCTTCCAAGAATAATTGAATTTGCAACGACGCAAATTGAATGTTTGCAGTAATATTGCTTCAATGAGCACTATTTGTGGCGCCATTAAATGACGTAAGCTGCAAAAGCCTTCCAACGATTTTATTTGTGTCTTCGAGTGTTTATCGCCAATGATTTCCTGATAAGCTATTCAAATCCAGCTATTCAGAATCTATTTCTTTGGAAGATATCCTCCAAGTACTGTGCTGCTTAATGCAGCTTTCTGTACTAAGCTCACATAAAAGATATTCATTTAATGGACCGCAGCTTGACAATTGAAGCGAAATTTGCACTTTTCCAAATGAACAACAGCTTAGCATTAGTAATTGGCAAGTCTGGATGTTTTGGGGCCAACTATGGCCACTCGAGCGTGTTTCCCGTGGTCCGTTTGCGGTTTTGGTCATTCATCTAACTCAGGCCGGACACCCCGTTCCACCCACCCGATGTGGTTCCCATTTTCCCTTTGTTATGGCAACACCAGCATCCACATCAGTCGCATGTTTCGCTAGAGTCTGTGTAAATCTGGTGAAAGTGGGAACCTAGCTAGGGCGGCGACACGCCCCTCGCATGTCGCCTAGTTTATTGGAAGCGGATATATGCGCCCAGTTAAATATTGTCTTTGTTTTTCAGGGGCTACAAAAAGGCGGGCGCTTTTAAATGTATCTTTCGGATGAATCTGCTTCTGTTTACTCATCTGTATCAGGTGTCTAATTGCTGGCGCTGCTGACACCTTTGTAATTGTCAGCCATTTGACAAGTGCTGTTCACAGTTCACAATTGTTAGATTGTTTGATTGGGGGTACTTCATTGATATTAAATATTGCGGCTCTATTTGTAGCTACACTTCAGGAAGTTCGGATAACACATGTGAACAAGTGTGTCAATACTTGAAAGCTAAGGCAAATGTTGACTTTGAAAATACTAGGATTCCAAATAAAATTGTATCCTATATTTTTGTCCTGAGGACAAGCATGTCACGAATTTAACCCCCTAAACCCCTTGTTCTTAACAAACAATCTCTTTTCCCTATGACTTACATATTTACAGAGATTTTCACCAGTTTTGGTTTGATATAAGAATTATTAGCAAAACTTTCCAACCTCCTTTGTAAATACTGGGAGACTATATAACCCCTGTTGGCCATTAATAAATTTAGTTGAGTTTACTCACTGGCTGCCCCCTGACAATGTAAACAAACTCAATGAGTTCCCTCCCACAATCGACAAGTTGAAACGACATCTCCATTGACCATTTATCAGTTGATGGACTTGGATGAATGGTATAACCAGTCGGCCACCTCTGTTTACTTGGTCATCAACTAAACGACAGGACAAGCCGCCCGGGGACTAGCACCGAATCCCTCTCGGGTTACCGCACTCACCGATGGTGGCTATGTTGAAGATGGTTCCGACCACCGCCATCAGCAGGATGGTGCCCAGGTTGTCGAAGAACAACCTATTGGGCATAAAGTAGCCTGCGTCCAGGATAATCGGTGGCAGCATGTAGAAGAAGAAGGTATTGGGAGTCAGCGGGGAGACGGCGACATCGGTGCAGAAATAGAGCACCACGCCAATGACCACGCCCACGACAATCAGCAGGCACGATTCCGGAAATATTAGATGCAGTTTGGGCGTCATATGGAAACCTGAAATAAATTGTAAAATATATAAGCCGTTTTACTGGGTAAACACGAAAATTTCTACAACGCAATGGCTAAAAAGGCGTGGGTGGTGGTACGGAAAATAAACACATTTCATTAATCTACTAAACTAGCCTGGCACACAAATTTAACCTTTCGCTAGAAACACTGACAAGTTTCATGCCTTTTCTAGGGATCCTTTTAAGTTAAGACCTTGTGAACCTTTTTAGCCAGCATCACCCTCTTTTGTATTTCCCCCATCGCCCTTTCCAAATGTTTTGGGATAACTATGCTTTGTAGACAAATCAAAAAATGTAGGGTAAGCAATCGTACATTTTTGAATACTTCATTTGAATTTTAGTGTTTGAAATTGAATTAAGAAACTAACATCTAAAATATAAGAACTCATAATAAAAACAAGAGAGACTGCCTAAGAGTTGCTCGACTATCAGATACCCGTTACCAGCTAGTCAAATCGATCGAAATTTGCAAAATAATTAATAATAAAATGACAAAAAATCACAGCAAATGTCAAAAGTGTGGGCGTTAGTTTTGGGCGGTTTGTGGGAGTGGAAGAAATTTTTTTGGTATACCGATAGAACTTGGCCAGGCATAATAATAATAAATTAAAACATTTTTCAAATCTAGTAAGCCCTTTTACTCCACGAGTAACAGGTAACGAATAAAAATGTAGGAAATAGTATTCAAATATTTAAAATCAATAATAGGGATCCAGTATTTTCAAATTACTAAACTTCTGTCAAGGCTTTAAAGGTCATCAGGCATTGAGAAAGTTTCGCACAAGTTCTACCTTATCTGGCAGTTCATTTCCTTGATGAGTGCCAAGCCTCTCGTCTTACTATCGACCTTCCCACCAGTGTTCTCTGGCCCACTGGCATTTGCAGTTTTTTCGCCAACATTTGTCTAGGCCCTTATCCAATTGCAGCCAATAAGAGCGAGCGTTCGCCCACTCAAAAATAGCACTGAAATCGGATACAAGGACCCGAAAAACATGGCAGGCGTCCTCCATGGAGGAAAATGGATTTTCTCTCGCCTGCAGTCAAGGTTATGGACAGGGCCACCGATAAACCCGTCTGGGGCAGTGTTAAATTGCCGACACTGGGGCCAGTAATAAATAAACCAAAACGGAAAGCCTTGGTAATGAAGTCTCGAGAGGCCTGAAAGCGGTCGAGAATCAAGGTAAATGATTAATACATCGCCTTTGGACCCAATTGTTGCTCGGGGCAGGGTCAAGGTCCCGCTTCCTGCGGCTTGTTGCACACATCCATCGAGGGTTATGCAATGTCCTCGGCCACGACTGGCACCCAACGGCCCACACGGTTACGTTGCCGACTTGACGCAAATCTGCATGATGGCGTCGTCGTAGGAATTACATAAACCATATTGATTTTGCCTGGCAACAGCAGAAGGAAGCAGAAGGAAACAGACACCCACGCCCAGGAGCAGGCACCGTGTCTTTCCTTTCGCAGGAAACGGACTCGTGGCTTGCTGGCAAAACCAAATTTTCCGCTGATTATGCACTGTTAGGCCTGCTCCTTCGCTAATTAGCCGCTTTAGTGTTTCAAGTAATTAAATGCTCAGCTGTATAGTTTACTTACCGATTTTAGCTATACTGGCCGACAGGATCCAGATTCCGATGATGAACGGCGTCTTTACCCGAGCAAAGTCCACACTGGAGAGCGGATACCGCTCCATTTTGTGGCCCTCGCCGCCCTCCGCATCCTGGTCGACGGATTTCAACGGCTCGGCACGTGGCAACGTCGCTGGTGGCGTTGGATCCACGCCCACATCCACCGCATCCATGGGCGCCGAATGGCCAAGCTGGTTTTGGGCAGGAAGGAAGAGCGAAATATTTAAGGCATTAGCGGTTTCTAATTGGCAAAAATTGATATTGGCGGAAAACTGATAAATGCGCGATGCAAGTAATAAATTTCCAATACCCACAAAGGCAAACATCAAATGTTTACATGGCTGTATAAACTGCGGAATGTAATATCCAGATCTGTTGGGTTGGGAACACCAGGGGTTCAGTTAACCGTTCGGTAACACGCGATTCAAAATTACAATGATTCTTATTTGTGACGCACTTAAACACGACAATGTCCGGTTTTCCTTTAATTTTTCCAACTCCTACACACAAATACTGTTGAATGTTGATCTAGGTCAGTGGGGTAACTGCCAGAATGTTGGACATATGTCGGCCGTTCATATATGCATATTCAATGTGAATTAGGGTTAATCAGTTTTGCCAGGTCAGTAAACCAAGAAAACAAGTAGGCATTTTTTCGCTCAGACGACTAATCATTGCATGTCCATTTTGACAAGATACAAGTTAAATTATATCTAGTTATAAAAGCATCTTGTGTCCGTCACACAAAATTCAGATGGCTATATAAATCAATCGTTTATTAGAACTAAGATAAGAATTCATGTGATTGCTTTTTAGATAACCGTGTCTTGTCGCTTTTGATATACACTTCTACAGCTCATAAATAAAACATTGAATTGAATATTTTTAGAGCATTGTAGAGAATTTTCAGAGTGTTACGGTGGCTAATGGCGTATATCAGATTTAATTTTCCCAAATAAACTTGTCGCTGCGCCATCACTGTCTACTGAGTGCAATTAAGAATATAGTTTACGACCTTTGGGGGACTGTAAATTAAGCTTCACACGATAATCAGCTATTAAACTCCAAAACATCGATAAACAAAATTTATAAATATTAAAACTTTTAAATGTTAACTGCCTAAGCGTTAGTTATGAATTGTGATTCTGTTTGTGTTCAGCTTGACCATAATTTTGCGAGGCAATTTAAAATTTCAAATGAAAATTGATCACAAACGTGTACAGTTCTGATTCGCAACAAAGTCCGGCGGAGATTTAGCTGCACACCGGATGGGCGGCTAATGCCTGGCTTAATGGCCGCTCAATTGGATTGTGGTACTCACATTTAGCTGGGTGACCGCATCCACAATATCCTGGCTGACCTTTCCCGGAGCCACTCCCACAGCACTCATGTTGGGCCTCGCCTGGGCAATTCCAAGGATTAGGGCTAGGGCGCAGATGAGCAACGTCCTTTTGCTGAACATCCCCCGCCAGTTGGAGGACGTGCAGGATGTGTTACGGTTTGCGGGCGCTGTCTGCGGCCCTATTCTCGATTTGGTTTCATCTCTCGGTGGTGGTGGTGGTGGTGCTTCTGCATCTGTATCTGTTAGTACAGAAGCTATAGTTTTGAAGAGGTACTCCGAGCTGAAGGAATTGATCCTCCAGCAGGCTCTTCGGGCCAAATTCATTTCCCGTTGCAGCGCCGGAGTGGCACTGTCGTAATCCTGCTCCGTGCGGATGCTCATTATGATCTGGTATTCACTTTTCCGATCCTGGCATGCTACAACGTACTTCTACTTAGTCAGGTTCCTTTTTCAGCTGTTATGTTTCTTTACCTAAAAGGATAAAAGAGTACACCAGTTTCGATAAGTTTATCTGCCTTAATTCTTATCACTATCACTCTTCAAGTCGACCGACCTGCCACAATAACCAACTGAAACTGGTTAAAACCCACGGATTTCACTAACCATGAAGCCTTCTGGCCGAAATCCATATATACTATATAGTCCACATATACTCCATTAAATCACGCATTTATATTTATCTTTCAAGCACCCGTCGGTTTTTGCTTAACTCTCTTTGATTTGGTGGCTCCTTCTCTTTGGAGCAGTTGCAAATAAAAATGTGCTAAAATCTAATCGCATATTAAATTACCTGTGTGGCACGTGATTTTCTATTAATCCAGACACAGGTGTGCGTGGGCTTGATTTATCAACACTAAGTCATTCACAATGAAATTGAAGTAATGATTGGGAAAAGGAATGCCCAAGGTGCGAATATGAATTCCGAGTTAACAAGGGATACAAAATGAATGATAAGCCCAGTTAAGTCTTCAAGCATTAATTAAATTCATAATGATAAATAATATGGGTTGGTAAATGATTTAATCTGTGCCTGCAGCCTACGCTTATTTCATTCAACAAAATGTAAAATGCTCCTGGTGATTTCCGATGTTAATTGGAATTATTTGTGTACTTGTTTAAAGATTTTAAAAGAAATTATCGGGCATTCAGGTAGACAATATTTGCTTTTCGAACTGGATAGATCCAGTGCTCTTAGCGCCATGCGAAATTAGCGAGTTAATACCAATGGTAAATATGGCCATAAAGCGGGGTAAACACAAGTGGAAATATAAGTGGAACTGCCAGTTGGCCTGCGATAAGTCTGATTTGCATTATTGGCGAAATTTTATTAGCAGCAGTAGCGAAAGCTTATCTGTCGAGTGCGGAATGACTGAAGGCTCCCAATTGAGCAATTCGCCTGTACAACGAGTGTCGTTTTCGAGATGCTGATAAATCTGAGGGCAATGTACGAGTTGGATTCTGTAATTGTCCCGACTTGAGCAATTTCATCTGTTTGCACTCGCTATCTGCTGGAATAAGTGTCGGCCAACTCATTATATCAAATTGATGGTCAATTTAAGATGATACCTCAATGCATTTTTGCCGTCTCCATATTCAATTGTTCTATCTATTGGCCGTGAACTTCCTACGCTCTTCCACAAATTCAATTAGGTGATTAGAAACCACTAACAAATACGATTTAACTAACTGGCTTTCTTCAAAAGGTTAATCCAAATCACCGTCAAATCGGCCTGCAAACATAAATGCGAACCCAATTGATTTAATTAGGTGCTTAGCACGCAACAACATCTATTTATAGGTTTGCTTTGACAGAGTAGAAATTTGTAAAGAACAAATATTTTTTATTTTAAGCGGGCGTCCTAAAACTTCAAGACTAGAGGGAAAACTAAAGTTTAATTTCCGCAAAATGAATGGATAGCTTGGACTAGAACTTTCTAAAAGTTCGGAAAATAACAAGTAACAAGTGGAATAAAACTTTCAAAATCACCATAAAAGTCTCATTGTTCATTGCCTTCTGTGAAAAATCTTTTGCATATATGTATGTATTTCCGACAACATTGACCCCACATAGCCAAAGTCCTTGTGCTTTTAGAATTGCGCTACGATTTAATTGATTTCTTCGCACATCGCCAGCCACCAAACACCACCGAAATGTCTTAATATTTAATTTGAGTTTACTTTATACTTTTTATACCTTCCGCTATCTACCTTTATAGACTTATGTTTATTTTGGCCCAAGAGGGCTACTAATCGATAGAAACGTAAATATCGGCGTTCGAGATTAGCCAGCGGTAATTAATTTACATTTTAAAGGTCGAGCGGCATTCAAATAGAACTATACTACAATTTATATATGCCTTTATACTATAAAATATGCCTTATGTATACTTTGGCCAACAGCCAATCGAGCGACTTTTTAGGAAAATATGGTGGCAAAGATATTTAAATATGCCAAACAAAAAATATACATATATTTTTGTAACGTACTCAATCTGGAATATTTAAAATTTGAAAAATGCAGTTTCGAAAATGAAATTTAACTTATCTAACCTATTTAGCTTTTATAGTTATAGTTATATATAGTTTTATAGTTATACGGACGGACGGACGGACAAGGCCAGATCTACTCAGCTAGTAATCCTAACGAAGAATATATAATTATATACATATATATAAATACAGCTCGTACACACTTTACAACGAATCTAGGATACCCTTATATATTACAATGCAATGACAGGTGCAAAGACGAATTGCGCTTGAGGTGACTGTACTGCAAGCGGGAAGAAATGCATTTTCGATTACTACCAAAGTATAAAGTTTTATTGATTTCTCTTCGCTAATTTACTTTCTAGTTAGAGATCGTTAAGCAAATGTTTCGCATCTGTCAGAGCCGCACGTTTATGCCAACTTTGTTTGTTTGTACAGGTCATGAACTTTGTCCAACCGTTTTGGGGTTACGCTTTCGGCGAAGACTAATCGATAGCATGGCCCACAAGGGAACATGGTATATGCCGTCCCAATTGCAGGGCGAAATTATTTGTAAACAAATCAAAAGCAATTGATTTATGAAAAATGCATCAGTGAGTGCACACGGCAGAGATCGAACTGAACAAAAGCCCCTCGAACCGGTTTAAAGCGATTATACAGATTGCGAGCTGGGAGACTATTAACTTGGCCGAAAAATAAACTATTGCATTTGGCAGGCACAGAATATCGGTAAATCCATATAATACCATTCAGGAAATTCCGGCTATGCAAACTTGAACTTAGCGTCCGGAAAATTGTTTAGGAGGTACTGTTGCGATTCGATTTTATTCCAAACTAAAGGAGTAAATTGGGAAGCAGATGCCAGCAGGTGATGACATATTTTATCATTGTTATCAGTTAACAGCTTGGAGAGATAAGGAAACATATTTGCATTGCTTATTTTCAACGATTGGGCTTAATATCTATTGCCATGTACATTGTTTATTTGCTGGCACGACTGTATTTGTTTTCATCACCTCTGAGTTTGAAAATACACTTTAAGTGTATTTTATATTACTTATACTTACGACTTTTAGGTTTTACTTGTTTTAAGTTAAGTTTAAAACCCGACGTACCTATTAAACTTACTACATATTATTTCAAGAACATGATTCCTCATAAGCCCTATCTACATATCTTGCCATGTTCACTTTTAGCCTTTAAAAAAATTGGCAGAAGTAAAATATACAACGTACATATATAAAACAGAAGAGATTAAAGAAGTACATAATTATTTTTTAATTGCTACAATTTGTCAAAGAGAATGAAAAGCGCGTTGTTAGTCGAGCACCAAACTTGAGCCGCGTCTATGTATTTGGAATATTTTATAGATCCTGAGATCTCGACGTTCATACGGACGGACAGACCTAGAATAAATATACTTTATGTGATCGGAAACGCTTTCTTCTACCTGTTACATACTTTTCAAAGAGTCGAATATACCCATTTACTCTACGAGTAGCGGTTATAAAAATAAAGCTGATACAAACGTTAATTTTTAGCACCCAGCATTTAAATATTAAGTTGTGTACCTGTACTTATGTAAATCTCTACTTAATGCTTTAAAATACAAAAAAATAATTATTTATTTTATACCTGAACGTGGCGCAAATCCCTTTAGATAAACATAAGTACACAAACCACTATTAATACTAAGTCTTTTACTTAGTACCAGTTTATGAGAACTAAAATTCTGACCAGTAAGTCAGAGAGCCCTGCTTAAGTGAACTTAGTTACTATCTACAGAGGAAGCCGTTTCCTATATGAGATCACCGGGACTGATAAAATATTTCCTGCATTTGGTCGACTGGACGTAATTAAAAGCTTAAAATTCGATTTTCGATATTTTTCGTCTTATTCCTAAATGGATTTTTTGCACTGCATACGATCGGACTACTTGAGGTCAAACAAAAGGAATAATTGTTCGATTGTCGCCATGTTTTAATGACTTAGAGTCTATGTTTTATACCTATCATAAATAGGGTGTTGTGGTCGTACAAGGACATGTCACCTTTTATCAGTATAATCTAAATGAGTACTGTTGTTAATGATATGCACTGGTCAGCAGCAACACGTTTCCAAACAAAACGTCAATTGAAATGGATTGGTTTTTAGAAGATATGAACCTAGGAACCAATTTTCTCAGGAATTCACGGCTCTTTCCTGTTGTTCTGAGTTATTATAATTGCTATCATTTTTACAAGGCTACTGACCAGCACCTCCGCAGGTAAGGGCTTATAATTAATGAAACACGTTAGATAAGAAGTGTATACTGTTTACATTCATTTTCATAGATAATTCGGTGTGAGCTCATAACTTAATTTATTGGCTGATAATTGATAATGAAACCAACTTGATTGACGATTTAATTCTGACAAATTTTTTGACAGGTATGTGTGGCAAAGCGCAGTATACACAGTACGTATGTAAATACATACGTATGTATGTATGTATATTGGATAAATTCATGTTTGCGCCATATACAACCCAGAGAATTTTTGGTTATACGAACATGTTTGAATATGGGAAACGTGTTTTCTGGTCTCTTAGCATCTCTTAGCACAAAAAAATAATTTTGGAAGTAATCGTATAAATAGTAATTAAAAGAAACCGGCGCTCCGTTATCATGAGTTGGTAATTCAGTCTATTTTGTTCCAAATAAGCATTTCAACATGGACAATGTTTGATCGGAAATTAATTGAGCTGTAAATAAAACTGACACCGTGTTAAGTGTAGTGCGATTCGTAGTTGGGGCTGATAATTCTGGGAATACATAAGGGTCCGGAATGCTAAGATCTAGTTATACAAGAATTTCCATATTAGATGAGTCAGTGAAAAAACATCGAACATGTTGTCATGCCTCCATGTTATCAGGCTGGCAACAACAAATATGTAGGCACATGTAGGGCGCGACAACAACAATTACAAATGTTTTCTATGTGATCAAAAACATCCGTATATAGAACGTACTCTGGGATTTCGGATTGCGAAGCGGGAACGAATATGTATGTAAGTGGAACACGAATGGAGAAGTAAGAACAAGAAGAACGACTGAGCCGGAAAAATACCAAAATAAACTCAAGTGCACTCTTTTTGGACGTCAGAAAATAAATAATAGAGGAAAAACGGTCTTGAGGAAACGTGAAAAATATAGAAGATGGTCTATAAATACACGAAGAATACAGCACAGACATCTGTATAACCTGCAAATATTTATCTTACGTACAAGTACGCAGTATCTGCATATGAAAAATGTATCTTTAAGATCTTTTCTAGTTATTGATATTTATGAAAATTTAAACGACATCGGATGTGTACAATATTGACCAGCACTCGTACATAAATATATTTCAAAAGTACAAACTCTTGGATTGGTTTTCAGTGTAGATTTATCATCTTTACGCACGTTTTTCTTCCTCTTTCTTCGTATTCCTTTTCCGCAACAAATCAGCCGGCTGTTATTTCTTTTCCACTGGTTTCTCACTCTCCTCTTTCTCACCCACTCTCGGAGCGCTTCCGATTTTGTTTTGATTCGCACTGCAGACGTGTGCAATAAATAATGCTTTCTAATTCATGCCCGTCCAACAGCACAATGTGCATTAATATTTATTGACTAAAGAGGCGCAGATACATGCATGCAAATGTACTTTGTTTACACACTACAAAAACACACAACCTCAAATATAAGGAAAAAACACGGCTTGCTTTCAGTTCGATTTACATATTTAAATAGTTCCCCGAAATGTATCCGAATAGTTCCCAAATAATTTCTAATGGAAACACGAATTTTGCAACCGAGCCGGAAAAATACAAACAGCTGCGCGCTCTGCAGTCGAGAACTGAATGCGAGAATTGGTGGAAAATATATTCGAAAGAATCGTGCCGATAACAGACGTTTCCAGCTGTTAGCAGAGCGTGGGTATGTAAGCCACACTCGCTTAACAGCTGTTAGGCCAAATATAGGAAGAGGATTGGAGAATATGCAAATAAAATGGCAAAGAATGCCAAATGGCAAGAAAATAGTGCCAACTAAAATATTTAGTAAATGTCCCTGAGCCCCCAGGATAGTTCCAATTACACTGCATTGCCCAAAACTATATTTATTAAACCATATTACATTTATTATATTAATAAAATATAGCCTAATTTGTTGAAACTGAAAAGGTTTCGAACTAGTTAATGGGAGTAAATTGAATAAAAATAAGACACATTTACACTCTTTTTTGAAATCAAATTTTTATCTGCCCCTTCAAAACAGCCAACCCGATAAAACCATGGCATATGCACAGGGGCTGTCTGGCCTCAAAATAACTCAAAGCAACGCCAAACGCAAACCCCAGTTCAAATTCAAAAGGACATCGTTGGCAATTGCCTACCATTCTGGCCACTGTTGTGCAGTTAATTGAAATGAATAATTGCTGCTACAAGGCAGTGAAGTTGACCACCAGAGGGTAGGAAAACCGGCATTCCTGCAATGGAAATTGATTTTTTTGGTGGCGTAACATGGCTGCCGGTCGGACCATCGAGCAAGGATAACAACACGATTGTAATTCCTTGATAATTGCAAAGGGCATGGAGCAAGTAAGCAAGAGCAGCACTTTTGATGCAAACATTTCAATAACGTGGCATTTCAATAATATCGATCCACAGTTGGCAGCTGATGACGAGGGTGCAGCTCTATTATCCTCGTCTGAAAGCACGAAACAGAGACTGCGGCGTGCACATTATCCTTGTACTTGAACGACTGCAGCTAAGTGCACGTAATGGAATCCAAAGGATGGGGGTTCATTTTGCGAAACTGCGTCGTCTGCTGCCTTGATTGGATGGCCCCAACGACGATTTTATGGACCAAAAGAGTGCATTATTCCACTGTCAAACTACTGGCGATTGGACAGAAAAATATGAATTACCAAAAGAAAATGTAGTGTTCAAATTGAGGAACAAATGGGAGCATTTGGGTCTCCTAAAGAGTTTGCTTTTACAAATCGATAAATTAAAAATAGATAGATAGGTACTATAACTATAAACCAACCGAAAAACTTTTGGCTTAAAACTATCTACAAAAAATTTAAAGTTAAATCGAACCATGTTAATATTTCAAAACACATAACACATTTAGTTGTTTGCAAGCAAGCAAAAGCGCGTAAAACGGAAAGCTGTCAAAGTTTTCCCGAAAGTGGTTGCTGAAGAGCAGAGTCCATATACACTAGTCCGTGGACCCACTTCAGGTTCAGTAGACTGAATATTTTGTTCGTGTGGGCGGCTTAAACTTTCAGCTGGAAAAAAAGCAATAATAGTAATAACGCCCAGCAAGCCTCGAAGCATTCCCGCCACCGTCTATTATGTAAGCCCCAGGATTTTCCCAAGGACACGCCGCAGGACAAGCCGAAATAGTAAATCAGACGACGTCTCCATCTCCTTTGCTACCATTCATGAGACAGATTGAAAGCATTGGGAAACAGAATACAACAATTTTATTACACATAACACATTGGCAATGGCCATGGTATAGTAAACCTGGAAACAACAAGAAGTTTATATACCCTAAACGGACACACGGGCAGAAGGTCAGACGGACATGGCTACATACCGCCTCGTTTGTTGATACTGATCAAGAATATATAACATACATATATGGGCGCAAATGTCCGCCTTTACTACGTTGCCAGCTTCTGATTGAAGTATGTAAATATGCCTTCAGCAAGGGAAGAAAAGTTTCCCCTTTTTGGGGCTAGACAAGTGGACAATAGTTATGGATTTGGCGCACCGAAATAATGTGAGCTACAGCAAAATCTATTTGTCAGGGGACAAAGCGAAATGTATGAAACAATATTTGCTCTTATATTCAAGGTTTTTATTGCTTGGCTGATAGTTACAGCGAAGAATGACAGCACATCTTATGTGTAAGTTGGTGTTTCATTTAGAAGAGCTTTTTTTACAGTGTACATATATGTACTTATGTATGTCCTTTTTTTGAAGTGTTGATTAATAATGATTAAAAAGCTGAAAATCCTTCTCTATCCATTCCTTTGTCCGCATGACGGAACGCATCAACAACAACAAGGACAATAACAAAGCGCTTGCAGCGCCTTCTGGCTTATATAAAACTCCCACACACTCGCACTCTTGCTCGCCCACACAGACACCCACCGAACATACAGGAAGTGTTGCCTGCTTTTGAGAGCTGAATGCAGATGTTATTGTTTTTGTTATTGTTCCGAGTTGCAGCGGCGGCTGTGACGTAAAAATGGCGTCGGCATGGACAATTTGTTTTTGTTTAGCGTAGGCACCGTTACATGCGCACAGGAGAGCCCCAAAAAACATCTGTTTGCCGATTTCCTTGGAAGGCGGGTGTGAGAGAGTAACTGTAACTTGGAGAGACCGATACTTTTTTCTGCACCTGATGACAGAATGTTTTTTTCGCAGGACCTTTTGCTTTTGGTAAAGTCAAATTGTGAGGAAACGAGAGCCGAAAAGTCGGTAAATGTAATACAAAACTTCAGGTTCCGTTATTATGCAATTCGTATATCATTTAACAAAGCGCCACAATCAAACGCAACCTAATAATTATGTAAGAGATGAAGCAACTAACCGTTATTTTAATAGACACGCCTAAATGGATTTGTACTCCTAATAAATCGTATCAAGGATTTTCACCAGCTTTTTGGCGTTTTTCCGTTCCGACATTTTTCACTTTGCATTCAAGCGTTAGGGGGTTTCATTTTCCACTTAGCACTATGCTGAAAGCACTAGCACACACAGCCGGGAATCAACTTTATGTTAATTTTCTTCTTTTTTGCATGGGGGAGGGGAAGGCGACGGCAGAAGCAGCGGCGCTTACAGCGAACGCTTTAGAACGTTGAAGTTTTGCATCAAATTCGCCGTTTTCATGTAAACGGCAAACAACTTGATGTGGTTCTTGTGGAAACTGGTGTACTTGCTGCTGAAGAACCGCCGCTGGCACATTTTCACTGCCGATTCGATGGACACGCGCTGAAGACTGAATTTTCCTCGCGACGCGACTTAGATTTTCCAGCCCCCGCAGGACATCCGCCAGGGATGGCACTCGCGCCGATTGTTTTGCGATAGACCGGCTATTTCCAAATGAACCAGTCGTACACGGAGAGAATATTTTACATACATATTTTATATTAGGCAATCTTAAATAGATTTAAGATTTTTTGCGGCTGAGAGCCTTTCAGAAAACGAATAAGTCTTAGCAAAATCCAGACCATCATTAAAGTCTTCAAAAGCTTTTTGTTTAATAACAAACAAGGTTAATTTTATTCAATCTCATTCAAAACTAACAGTTCCCAAGTAAAAAATTACCCAAAAACCGATTTTACTTTGTGCGCGCATTGTCCAATTCAAGCGGTCAAACAATCCAACAATCCAAATTATAAATCAAGTGAATCAACGATTAAGTACCCGAGCCTGGGACGGCAGTGGTCAATGTGAAGAACACAAACAAATTGCTTATCAAATATGGAAAGTACAGGGCGGTAGAGAGCTTTGCATCCTGGGAATAAGGGAACCGACCTCTAGGGAGTGCGTAACGTACGAACTAAACGATAAGTATATAATTAAGTCTTTTATCAAAATCACAAAATCACTAAGCACTTAACCAACGCAGACCGAGATCGTTGAGTGAGCAATGGATGGGGATCACAGCTTGCAGAGGCAGAACAGCAGTGGTATAAAGGCCCCGATGGCGATGAAAACTGGTAGCAGGATCGATGAGTCGTCCATGGAGTACGGATTCGGTTGGCGGGGGCCACTGTAAGACCTCTTTGTGTCCGATTGCTGCGACGGCTGATCGCTGCCCAGCTTGTCGATATGCTGCTCGGACAGCTCTTCCTCAAACTCTTCGTCGTCCAGGTCCTCGTCATCCTCATCGATGTTGTCCCGCTGGTTGCGCACCACCCTCTCTGCCTGCTGTCCTGTCTTCTGTTCCGCATTCAGCTTACTCTCCGGTTTGATCCTCTCAGTCGCCTCGGAGCCATGCATCCGCGGCACCAGGGAGATGTCTCCCTTGAGCAAGGCGAATGCATTGATCTTGGGATTATCCAGTGCCCCCTTTATGAAGTCCAGCCGGAGGCGGCCATTTCGCACATCGGACACCTCTCCCTCATAATTCAATCGTCCGTTGTTGATCTTGAAGTACACAATCTCGTCGTGTGCAGAGCCCCTGCCCACCTGGTTGTAGATGTCCAGCTGACGGACAACCGTGTGCTTGCGGTTTAGGAGCACATCGAAAACCTTCTTCTGCGGCGCATCGAAGTACACCTCGCAGAACTTCATTATCAAGGCGTAATCTCCATCACCATCACTGGGTAAATCGTACCCAAATGTAGTGGTGTGATAACGCTCGGTCCTGTAGAGCACCTCGTCATGTTCCTGTACCCGGCCGATCATCAGCAGGTGTTTGCCATAGTCAGAAGCTATTCCAATTCCTTTGAGAGGATCCGCATCGTATTGGACGCCATTTAGATCGGTGTGCTCATCCCCGCCAGCGTTGACCGCGTATATAACTTTCAGGGGTTCCGCGGCTACGCAGGTACCGATAAGGAACAGCACCAGGAGCACCGCCATCCAGGTCCTTTGGCCACTTGCCTGCAAGTAGTTCAGGAAAATCCCCTTATTGCATGCTACGTTGCACATGCCAGCAGTTCTGGTTGTTGTTGTGTGCCGGAGTTCGCTTTGCAGCATTTTCCTTGCTTCGTAGAGCCTCTTTTCTGGCCGTCTAGTTTTCCGGTATTAAATCTTCGGGAAATTCCGTCGCCTAGCTATTACTGACAGATTTTCGGGGCCGGAATAAATCCATTTACAACTTATTTCTATACAGTGCAGCCTTTTCGCATGTACAGGGAACCAGAGAACTGTTCGTTGGAACCAGTATTTTTGAAGCAGCGGTATTTTACTAAATACTTTTAGTACGCATACTCTTATTACATATCTGAAAGAATTCTTTTAAGCAATGAATGAACAGATTGTAACGCAATAAATAACACAATGATGTCGAAAGTACGCGCACATTATTTTTATAACTTGAATAGCAACCTTCTGTTGACACACTAGTTGCTTTCAGTACCTAATATTCAAATGAAAAATACAAACTTTTCAGAAGATGTGTTATTATTTTATCTTAATAATATTACATTTTCATATTTATACTGTTATACTATGAGCTCCAAAGAGTGGCCATCAACACTATGCGATATGTTTCAGTATATTGCGGTCGGTATATTTCTTTGGCGCCCAGTGTGCGGGCACACTGAGCCACACGTGCATTGATGTGATTGAATTTTGCTGGTGGAATAACCCACGGAAAGTGGTTAAAACAGCGTTAGTTTAGTCAAACTCCTGCACACAGACAGTGCGAAGCACTGAGGACAACCAGAGCATAGAGTGCTCGACTGGAAAATCATGAATTTCGACGACGAAGACCGTTTGGAGCTGCAGTTTCTGGCAGGCGGCAACATTGTGGAACATGCGCCCGTATTCTCGCCCGATGGAAGGTTATTATTCAAACGATCACTATATACTACTAAGTATGTAACACCCTGATTTCTGTTCCACAGATTCATGTTCGTGCGGTGTCTGACAAAGGTGCAGGTATATGCCACCGGTACGGGCGAACTTACTCGGGTCCTGGATGAAGCCACGGCGCCACTGATCAGTTTGGAATTGGATCTGAAGCAGCCAGATTTGCTGATAGGGTGTACGAGTGCCGGAGAGCTGTTCCGTTGGAACTGGCGGGCTGGTGTGCTGAAAAAAACCGTGTCCTTGACGCTTAGTAATGGAGAAACTATTTTAACCTGCAACCTTATGAATCTGTACAAAAGTGGCGACACAGCCTGCGCCTTTGTTACCGCAAAGGGGAAGGCAGGCGAACAGGTCAACTGGTTTGTGGTTAACACGAGCACGGGCGAAAAGATCGATGTCAACTGCGGTTTGAAGCTGAAGTGAGTTCCCATCTTTGGTTTTATTTTTTAAACGCTACCTCATTTTCAGGCATCAAAAACTATTAATAATATTTTAAAAATATTAGAAGATCGGACATGCTTTAAATATATTGTAATTTGCAGGCTTCGCGCTCCCCTCGTAGACGTTGGAAAGGGACAGTTCAAGAACATTATTCTGGCTCAGGGCTTCTACATATATTTCGTGAACTATGAAAACTGGACATTTTGCCGCTACAAGAGCGCCAAGCAACACACTATTACCTGTGTGAAGATGAGTCCCTGCGAAATGGTGGCTGCAACCGCCGATTCCGAGGGGCAGATCTTTGTGTGGCGCGATTTTGAGAAGCAGGATACGATGACCAACACACTCTTTCACTGGCATCACACGGAGGTGACCAGTATCGCCTTTTCACCATCAGGCGTGAGCATCTACAGCGGTGGACATGAGTGCGTCCTGGTCAAGTGGACTGTGGCTTCGCCCGGCTATCGCAAGTATCTGCCCAGAATGTCCAGTGTGATCCGACATATTGTGGTCAGCGATGACAACGAGAATGTACTGGTTTGCACGGACGACAATGCGATTCAGCTGATTAGTGGCAGTGAATGCATAATTAAGTCCACTGTTCAGCATTTTACATACGAGACCAAGGATAAGACGGGACAAAGTAAGTTCCCTTTGGGACTGCGATTAAATCCGAGGACCAATACTCTGGTACTGAATGGTCGATCAGGACATTTACAATTTTATTCGGCTTACACCAAGAGCTTGCTGTATAATGTGAGTGCTTATTAAGTCCCACGCAAAAGTTTTATAATTAAATATTTAACTTCGTAGCTTCGCGTGGTGGATACCAATGTTCATAATGAGGAGGCAAATCACATTATCTACAAAACGCGTATTACACAAGCAGCTTTTAATATCAATTGGATGGCCACTGGAGAAGTGTACAATGATCTGGTGAACTTTGCCGAAGTGCGCCTGAAATTCTGGCATTATAATGAAAGGCTACAGAGGTAACTTTAAAGCTGAAAATTCAATTAGATCAATATGAAATTATACTTTTTCTTGCAGTTACATTCTAAACACGGAAATTGACCTACCTCACGAAAAAGGTTTTAAGGCTATAATATTTTCCAATCAGTTCCAAGTGGATAATTTGCGATGTGCCACCGCTGGCGAAGACAACGTAATCAAAGTGTGGGGCCTTACGAATTCCGAAAACATTTATAAGCGCGGAACAATGTGGAGTTGCCTGGCGCAAACTAATTATCGAAACCTTCCGATTGGTTCCTTGTGCTTTTCCCAGGATGGGTCTCTGTTGGCCGTTGGTTATGGCAACACTTTGGCGCTCTATGATGCGAGGAACCCACGGCTTCCCCTCCAAACTCTTAGCTGTCCTCCTGGCTTAGATGGTGTTATATCCAAAGCTCAACTGAGATTGGCCCAAACTCCACTCAATGGTGCGAGGAAAGAATTTACCCAGCAACGGCAGCAATTGTGGGCTCTGCTAAAGGCTCTGCTGAATAGTAATGATGAAAATTTAATACAGCAGGCGAAGGATTTAATAGTAAGACCTCCTGCCAAATCCAGACTTGTGAGTCAACCAGAGAATTCCTGCAAGGAGACGGTATTTAAGTGCATAATGAAAATGCCGGAACTTGGTTTGCATCAAAAATTGCAACTGCTGCGTCGCTTTGGAGTTGAATGTTCCGTCCCACATGCCCATCGGCATAGGTTGTTGCAGCATCTCCAGCAAAGAGCTGTGATTCCACAAGCCACGAAGCTGAGACTTCGCAAATTGGACTTCCGACTTCATCGCCTCCACCCTCGACACCGTTACAAAGCTAAGCAGCGACTAAGCCACGTGAACAATCGGCGGCAGAAATTCGAGAACCTGGTGCCGCAGGATGTTATGAACCTGTTCAGTGTTCTAAAGCTGGATGAGAGTAGTAAGCCGAAGAAGGAGAAAAAAGTGAAAAAAGTGAAATCTAACCTGAATGACAGCAGTAAAGCCAACATGAAAGCCAAGAAAATCCCTGTAAACGCGGCTCCCCTGCAAGGACTGGCGCAGATTTCACATGTGCAGTTTGGAGCCGGGGATCAGGCTCATCTGGTGGCAGTATGCACTGAATCTAGGGTTCTCATATGGAATTTGCTGACGCTGCGTTTGCAGGCAGGCCTAAAATTATCCGTTCGTCAGCTGGCCTTTGATCCGCTAACCAACCTAATGGCTGTAATTACTAAAAATGATGAATGTAAGTATATTTGGGCCTATACAGTTTTTTTTTTATTAATTTCAAATACGTTTTATCCTTTAGTGCACGTGTTCCAACCAAATGTTCCGCTGCCCCTCTATCAGCGCAGTAATCTACCCAAAACACACGGCCTGGCCTGGTTGCCTCGGAGACAGCCCAGGCAGAGCTCCATCAATGTGGACTGGCAGGCGCAGTCAACGCTGCTAATGCTGACCCACTCGCAGGAGATTGCGTACCTGGCGCTACCGGGTCAGAGTCCATCGGATGATGCGCCTACACCAATCAGTTTTTCGCATCCCGCCGCCACAGATATTATTTTGAAGCACGCGACTTTCGGAATCCATGTGATCAAGCCGCAGCAGGTTTCCGGTGAGTCCCTGGAGAAAAACGGTCCACTGATCGTGGGACGGGAAGAACACAGTGCCGTCAACGCGGTAAGTTTAAATGCTATCAATGCGGTTATCGTTTTATTTAATTTAGTTTGAGTAGTAGTATACTCATTTGAATCCATTTTATTACCATCGTTAGCTTCTTTCTTCCCAGTAAAATTTCCAAATTTATAAAGGTTTATAAGTTTTCTTAGTCGTTTTATTGAAATCTTACTTAACTATGAAGTACAATTGGTTAGACTTATTATAAGTTTCAGAAATTGTATATTTGGTAGTATATATTTGATTTAGCTTTGGTCTGGTTAGAAATCCTTCAAAAAATTTTCTTTTAATTGATCTTTTGGTTCAGTCGTTTTGAGTATTCGGGACGATTGTCTGTGGGCCTTATACTATTTCTTCTTTCGCTTAAGGACATCGCCCAGTCGCGGCGCCGTAGGAACTCGCAAATGGCGACAGCGACGCATCATCAGGACATCGTGCTTAAAGTAGCGCAGACAGTGCCATTGAGGCACTTTCGGCATCAATTGTTGGTGCTGGAAGAGGTGTTATATAGAGGAATTTAAGTTAATCTTGTCGAGCTATTGCAATTTGAAGAACTATATAATTTTATGAAAATGTGTCAGTAGAGAAAAAGGGTTCCTATGGCATTTACATGTTGTTCTTCCTCACTCTGACGTCAACTTTTCTCCCGACTAAAGTCACCATACTTTTGTGCCTTTTGTTTTTTAGTTGCGGTGTTCTTTTGTGTTTTGTTATCTGCGCCCAACCAGCGTTCAACTCAATTTAAATAATTTCCATTGAGATTTATAACGTAGTTTTCTCGAAGCGCGATTTATTTTTGGAACCTTTCATTTGTGTCTTGTGTAAATCGTGTGAGTTAAAGCAGCCTAGCAACTGAATAATATGCGATTTAAGCTCTTGTAGTTAGAATTTTTGGAAATATCTGCTGAAGGTGATATCTCAACAGGAGACGTTCCAACATACGATACAAAAAATTCAGACGATGATTAGCCAAAAATAATATGCATAGCATTCGAGCAATCAGCCGAATTTGACTCCTCAAATTTGGGGTAGTCCTTTTCAAAGATCATTGCAGTAATCAGTTGTTATTTTTATAATAAATTTATTACTTTGTTTATTCCATCAAGGGACGTCTTCACGGGAATTGATAAGAAATCGTTTCCATATGGAATATTATATAAACGGCTGTCTCGCTGAGTTTAAAAATAAAATAGTCATCTCTCCTATATGCATATAGAACTAATGATTAATTACACACGCTACAAATGTGTACGAAAAACAAAGTTAGTAGATTTCCTAATGTTTCTTTTTCACATCCTGATTCTTTATAAACAGACAAACTAATGACTGATATGCTGTCTTCTAGATAAATGAATATTTTGTCAGATTTATAGAAACTTGGGCTCATGCTATAATATGCATTTAATTTTATTGTCTTGTTTAGGATTTTGTAACTGAAAATATTCTAAATTCGGCTTTACGTAATCACCATTTCCTACGGATTCAGTTGTGTGTTTTTAATGTTGTAATAAGTTTGGAAGCAATACTAGTGCTTATCTCTGAAGAAGGAGTAACACGGCTTTATTTTTCGTTACTCATAAAGCCGAAATGTGTGGTAGACGTTACGTAAATTATTTGAGTATACTGAACCTTGACTTGCTATATAGTGTTTTCCTATTTTGGCTCTATAGCCCCCGCTGTGTTTAGTTCAAAAGCAATCTTTTAATTAAGAGTGCACTCTGCACTTTGTTTTTGTCGCGGTACTCGACGCCCACTTTTAATTGGCGAGTTTGCACTTCCTGCAAAGTGCAGCTGGCATCCATTATATTTTGGAACGCGAGTGAAGTCATTGCCCCAAATTCGTGCGCCCTGCTGTACTACTCCGGTTTCGCCGTGCCCCTTTGACTCCCTGTCGTCCGCTCACCTCATTCACAATTGGCACAGGTCCAGCTTTTGCCCAGGCGAAGAATGCAAGGCACAGTAGGGAAACGACAGCTACAAAGTTGGGCCACATTTTCCTATTTTCCCAATCCGTTTCCGGATGCGGGTGCGAAGGAGAAGTGCTTTTGGAACTCTACAATGCTTTTGCCTGCACACTGCACCGTTCGAAATGTTGTTTATTTTGTAGTCGCTCGAAATTCGTTTAATCTGGTTTCTGGCACTTTGTCAGTTGCAGGCGAGGAAGAGCCTTTGTCCGCCTTTATTTCCGTAAACTTTAGCGGCACGCGCTTCCGGCTCTCTTCTTTCCGGCTAACGGTTGTTGCTGCGAAGCACAACGGTAAAGTGTTGAACTGTCGCTGCGGCTCTCGTCAATTTATACTCACAGCTTCGCACTTCGGCTCCGGACTTCCACATCGGCTTCGGCACGGGCTTCGGCCTCGTTCGCTCTCCGAATTCTTAGTTTTGTTGTTAATATTGTGAGCCGAGTCGAGCTCGCTCTTTTGTGCTCTTTGCTCTGATGACTTGTGCACTTGCCAGTGCTCCCATTGTGAATGGGCAACGAGGGACTGGTGCAAACGCCACCCACCGCTGCACAGTGGTATGCAGAGCTGAATACAGTGTCACAAAAAAGTGCATTGAACTTATAGCTGTCGCTACTTTAATTAAAATCAGTTTTCTTTTTGAAATCTGGAATACTTTTCTTTCGTTCGGCTATATGAACGTATAAAATTCATTTTATGATTTACTGAGAAGCAAAAATAAGAAATTAAAACTGAAATTTTCCTTATTTTGGTTTGTTCTTTGCGGATTGTCAGTGTACTCAAATATATACCACTTACCCAATATCATAAGTATTATTCGGAAATATAATAAAGCATAATTTGAGACTCGTGTTTTCTATACGGTTCGCACATATTTTCCTCAATAGGTGATCCTAATTTCTATACCATTGTGCCCATGGATTGAACCCATTACGCCTCTTCCCCTACCCTTAATTTGCTATTGAAGCTTGTTGCGAGAATTTTCCATTGCGTGCTTGTGACACTTTAGTTTTCCCCAATAGTACTCGATTCTGTGTTGTAAATTTTCACGTTACTATTACTACTAGCAATATGCTACTTGCCTTAATTACTTTCGCCAATTACCGTATTTCGTTGAGGATTTATACCAGTTTTGTTCGGTTTCTTAAGCTGAACTAAACTCTGGCTTTTCGAGTTGAGTCATGAATGAGTGCCTCTTCCTGGAAAAAACAATAATATTTTGCAACTTGCCACTTTACAAATTGACAGACATGTGTGCACTTGGATTGTTTTTGCCAATTTTGTTTGGTTTGCACTGAAATGGATCAACGAAATCCATAGGCGACAAGCGCTTGCGCGAAGGTTAATAGACACATATCACTGGGCACATTTAAAAGACGTTCAGCAATGACAAAACAGAAAGCCGAACAATAATCATGTGAACTTGAACCGCAATCTCGACACCCCAAAAACCCAGTTTTACGTACAGACAGTAGTGTTGGTTCTTCGCCTTATTAAAAGTTATGAGCGGTCGTGATAGTACTCTAAAAGAGGTCTGCTCACATTGGGTTCTCAAATACATGAGGTCAATAAGTATGCACAATCGTTGAAGAGTACTGCCTTAATATCATTAAACATTTTTTGAGTAGTTTGATTTTTTCTAGTTTGATGTATAATCCTAATAAACTTGAATGTTATTTATTTAGACAAGAAAGTGCGGATAGATCTAGCTACTTTTAAACACAAGAATCGGTCAGCACAGCCACTAGTATCACAGTTTTTGAACTTCAGCAAGGTCAATGTCAATTAATCTTTTATTTTGTGTTACAGTTTGTCAATCTTTCCGCCCACACAATGCCCGCCATGAGCCTGATCTGTGGCGAATTCGTGAAATCGTTGCTGATTCCGGCGGACTCCACCTCGAGGCACTCATCATCAGCCGCGAAAGATGCCGCCTTGACCAATGGGGGAACCGTCAACGGCAATGGAGTAACGCACCGGGACAGTGATGAAGAGCACGACGACGAGGAGCTGGGTGAGGAGGCAAGGAGCTCGCTGGACACCCGGAAAACGCTGCAGGAGCAAAATGAAAAGCTGGTGGATTTGCCGCTGGAGGGAGCGACTGACCTACAGGGTCTGGATAACCGATTAAGGACCATCACGGCGCTGAGGAGCAAACTGAGGATTTGAACGTAAACAAATCTATTAGTTGTTCCTTATCAATTATTAATTCTTCTATCTTTGTATAAGTCAGCGAGATAATACAAGTTTTCATACAAAAAGGTGGTTTTTACTTGGAAACCAGGTGCACCATATGATTCTGCTTCACATACCACCACAAAATCATACCATTGATGTTTCCTAAACTAATGACTGACTTTTATTTTCATAATTTTACAGCAGATACGTGGTATTGAAATATTCGTAGTTTAAAGGAAACGCCGGCGTGGTATCAAACCAGCATGGGACAGCACATTGTAGATTTCCATGCGAGGAATTTTTTCAGCCTGGCGGTCATACACCTAAAGGAAAAAGTAGAAGATATTTTAATGACACATTCTATGCAGGCTGTAACACCACCAACACAACATTTCACACTCACCACCTCCTCGCCAGGCCCAAACCAACTCGATCTGGCCAGGGCATCTCTCACCCTTGGGGTATTGTAGAAGGGGTTCTGGAACTGCTGCGGAAGCGTCTTTTCCCAGGCGGCATTCTCCACCACGGCAATGTGCTGCAGATTCCTCTGGGGCCTGGCTTCAATCGTTACGGATAGAGCCATCATCGTCACAATGAACGCTGACCAGATGAGGCGACCGGGCAGGAGGCACCTTGAATGGGAGGAGAAGATCACGCCTCGTTGAGTTTGGCTGACTGACGGATTCCACTTGCTCGGCTTAAGGTACTACCACGATGATCATTACATAATTGTGAAGTGCATATAATACCACACGTTTCCGCCTGTCACGCACACACGCACACACGCACAGTCCCCCATCCACAGTCCCGCATCCAGTCCACGCCTAAATGACCGCTTTTCACTCTCTGGAGCGGGCAACTTGTTGGCCAAGTCAGCTGACGGGGCTTATGTATATCACAGTCATGCGTCCGTAAGACGAATCTAAACATGGATCTAAGCATTTTAAACAGTGTAGGCAATCAATTTGTGCGGCTTGTGACATTCGTATTATGCAAAATGTATTGTTTTTTATGTGTAACGTGTATAAATTGTATGTTTTATCAACTGCTTGATCTGCCAAAAGTAAGTGTGTGAAAAACAACCGGAAGTGTGTGCCTGAAGACTCCGATTAGATTGATTTTTAAAAAATCCATTTATAATTTGATAGATTTTATGGGGCTGTCGGCGCTGGGAGTTTCTGTTTGTCTGCCGTGGCAAAACGCAGTTGTCATGTGACTGCCATTTCCTAGATGTCGCGTGCTGCGAGGAGGAAAGCTGTGCTGCAGATACACATGCATTTTCCAGCGTCATGGCTGCAAAAAGATCCCTGATCTTTGCTTTTAATTGGATAACCGGCAGTGGCGACCGCCGCCGCTCGTTTCTGGCCGATTATGTAAGTTTTGGACTTGATATTGCCACTTGCGGCACAAGCGCTTTCGCAGTTGGCTCAACTAAAAGTCCGACTCACCTGGCCGCCCTTCGGTCAAGCAGCCAGCTCATGGCTTTCCGATGGTTCATGGCGCTTTGCAAGGCGAAGCCTGACTTGATAAAGATAATTTTATTCATTTGAATATGGGTACACAATGTTATGATGCAACGGCATCTTTAGGTCCTTTCTATGCATTCCAAAGATATGTGTTGCAAAACAAAATAGATAAAGGACTACATTCGGGTAAAAACATTTCTCGGGCTAGTTTCCAAATTTGAAATAGGCATATGCACAACTGAAGCATTCCTCACATTGCCCTTAAGAATGGGCTTTTTCTACAGAAACGCCCCTTGATCTTCACCCATTCACCCACCCAGTTCAGTGAGCCTCCTCCTGGTGGGTGATCCCCCTACTTCAGCGCCCCAAGAGATGTCCCCTGACTTGTTGGCTGCAGTTCGGCTGCGGTTGCTGTCCAAGCCGCTTCCCCGGCCATCTTATGCAATTCTGGCGTCTTGCGAATGCGAAAAGAGCGCAGCCTTCCCCGTCGCAGTCCAAAATGTGTTGGCATTTTCAGGTTTTCGTGGTTATTTTGTATACCGCACTGGGACCCCGGCTACTGACTTGCGATCTGCAACTACGCGGCTTGTTGTTGGGTCTGATTAGGTCAATGGAATCCAATTGGCGTCAGCGTCGCGTCGCGTCGCGTCGCATCGCGTCGCTGCAGTTTTCGCTTTTCACAGCCATATGTATATACGATATATACAGATAGAGTGAGCACGTCGCTCCATTCCATTCCATTCCAGCATTCCCAATTTGGGTCATGTGGTTAATTGACAAAGATTGACGTATTGTGTATCATTGTTGGGCTACAACGTCCACAAATTTGTTTATACTATTTTGCATACGATGAGGAAATATGCTCCACGCATCGGACAGAGTTCTCCTAGAGCTAACTATTGAGTGGGCTCAAAAAACCGGGTCGCAGAACGGGGTTACGTTAATGGGTGAAAGGTCACAGGAACCTTGAGGCGAGACTACGGCTGGTGCGCCGAAAAATGGGACAGATGATCGAAGCCATGTCCACTGGACGCTCATTACAAGTTGGCCAGCCGGCAACTGAAGCAAGTGATCGTTAATTTTCGAAAGTGTGAACTTTTAAAGTCGACTCAAGGTTGGTGTTTCCCTAGTTTATGTCCACTTCGCTTCCCCACCAACTTTTTAATTAAACCTCTTGTATTACAAGAGTCTTACGTTCTTCGTAATATTTCGATAAGGGTAAAGCCACTACGGTGGAGTGTTTGCGAAGATAAAAACGTATTTATTGTTGGTTTTGATAAATTTCTCATTTTGGGCTGTACAAACTGCTTCGAATGATAGTAAAATTACATTAGTATTCCATGAAGCCCAGTTACTAATTTCATAACTTGCGATACTGACGTACTGTGTCAGGTTGTGTGATCAAGTATGCACAACCAAAACGAAACTCCCCTCGACACGCCCACGCCGCCCAACTGCCACGCCCCTCTGCAACGTATGTGGTCAATATTGATATGCGCTCGTTGTGGATCATATTTATTAGCCAAATGGCGTAAGTGGGTTAGACTTTTGGCATTTGTTTTGGGTCTTCGCGCGGGTTAATTGAAGGCACTACACAGCATGACAATCGTAACAGTTTTCTGGGCATTGCATTATTATTATTATTTTAAGGTTTATTATGGCTGGTTTTCATGAATTCGGTTTGGCTTTTAGCAACGCTTTTTTCTTGGACATTTTTGTGCATTTGTTAAAAAAACGTGACCGTTAAACTAAATGATGTGTTGAGTACTCCCGTCTTTGGGTATTTTTTCATTTTATGCTTGTCACTCATTGTTGTAGTTGCTTTTGCTCTTGTGATAGGTCAAGTTGTTTATGTTTTTTTTCATTTTTCTGTGGCGTACCGACAGCTTGTGTCAGTTTTCTTGCCGCTTTGGGTGACAAGCGCATCAAATTTTTAAATAATGATTCGCTAAAATGATGAAATACTTTGTAAGATCCTAAAATTATGTAAATAGTCTTTCCGTTGTAAATTTCAAATTGTAAGAAAGAATAATGCTAGAGATAATTTATCAGGTTTCGCTTATTTGATCATATAATACACTTTAAAGAACACTTTCTTATGGAATAAACTATTTTTATCCAATTAAGCAGCACCGGCTTAAACTCACATTTTGTGAGCTTGTTAAAATTCGATTAAAATATTTGCAAAGGCGGCTTTTGAATCGATCTCAGTTCGAAAGATCGGATAGCCCGTTTGGACAGTTGTTGACTTGAGCGCGGCCAATTGGCAACTGAATTTGAATTCGCGCTTACCAACAATCAGAGACTGGCCGAAGCCGCAGATCGTCGGCAGGTTTTGGACAAAACTTGAAAGTTTTTGAAACTTAAAAAGAGAGGCTAGCGAAAATGAAACGAAAATGAGACGAAAATGAAACGAAGCATGAGAAAAAGCTAAGTATGCAGGGGTTGAGGGATTCGCTTTCAAAATTGTGGGCCTATAATTAAAGTTTTGGAAATAAATACCTGAAAATAATACTGAAACAAGAAAATTCACTTTCTTTGTTTTTTTTTGTAAAAGCCTATGTTTCATTCTATTGAAAAATAAAAAGCTTGCTTGCGAAAATATGCATATATATATTATTTTAGTCACAGGATATGAATGTAAGTTTATCTACAAAATCTTGAGTCGTGTTCACCAAACGACTTCTGTACACTCATCCAATCTATTCTAGTTATTTACAACGAATTGATCCATTCTAGTTATTTATAACGAATTGATCCACAAAGTCTTCAATCATGTCGACCAATCGACTCCTGTACAACTCATCTGTGTTAAAGGCCTCCAGGCAAATCTCAATGCGCTTAGTAGTGAAAAAGTCGTTGAAGCCATCCACAGAATTGGTCAGTTTCTGAGTGCAGTGAGGTGGTAGAATCACCAAGTGACAGAACAAACAGCTTTCGATTAGGCCAACACCTCGGAACTTCTCCACGGATCCATAGAAACTCTGTTCTGGAATAAAACGAGCTATATCCAAGTCAGCACGCTTCAGGAACTCGGTCATGAACCGGTAGTATTCCGCCAGAAGTTCACTCAGATGGGCGTCCCTGAACTCCTTGGAAGTGGGAATGGTGAGAACGGTCAGCACATCGAGGACAGGTGGGGCATATCTGGCCAACTGGAAGTCCACAAGGCGGCACTGCAGGGGCACCTCGCCATATCTGCCATACTGGAACATGATATTGTTGGCCCACAAATCGCCATGGAGTATGGTGTTTTGGTACTCATCCGAGGTCTTGACAGCCTCAAAAATGAAGGACATCTTTTCAGTGAAGTGTTCCAAAATGTAATCCAACTTGGACTCATATTTGGGTATGCGCTTGATGAACTCCTTGAGCACCAGACAGGCATTTTGAAAGTTCACCATCCTCAGGTGCTCCGGCGACACATCACTGGGATAGGCATTCTCCACCACCGATTTGGGCTGAGACTGTGTAAGTTTTTGCCCCGTCTGTTCCTGGATTATGGAACCCGCGTGCAGGGCGGCCAAGGTTTTTAGACAGCAGTGGAGCTGCTCGTAGGTCAGCAGACCATCCCGTCCAGCTCCCATTCGATAGCCCTGATCCGCGAGGTTCTCAAAGATCAGCAGATTCTTGTCCGCGTAATAGCACTTGGGCGCCACTTCTGCACAGGCCTTGTGAAGATCGGGTAGAACGTTTTGGTAGACTGCGATTTCCTTTTGGAATACGCCAAAATCCTCCAGGTACTCCATTCGCGACTCATTACCAACGGGTGCCGACTTCGAGAAGAATGTGACCTGCCTCACCTCCTCGGCATTGTGAAGCTTCAGGGTGACGTGCAGGTAAAGGTGGCTACCCAAGTATCCGGCTGGAGCGTCCGAGGTGGGCTTCAGAGTATAGCTGATTATATCGAACCCCGCGTCCGAGCTGGGAATCCCCGCATCCTGATGAAAGTATTGCTGGCACAGGCCGCGAATCTCGGTGGGACTCAGCTCCAAAGCAGTCGCCATCTCGAAGTCAACTGTGGGGCTTCCGAGGATGGCATTAACCTTTTATATCCGTACTGTGCGAGTATAATCTTTACTGCTGTAAACCGCTCCAAGATAAAGTCTGAAAATATAGAAGTATGTGCAATGCACATAAAATCTGAAAGGCGTTAGCTGAAATCCAAGTTGGTGTGTTTGCTTTTGGCCTAGACTGGGATCGAGAAATTAGGGGTCAGCTTCTGGTGGAGAGGCGCATCAGGTGATTAGCGGATGAGACCCAAAGGAATTTCGCGAAAATAAGTCACTAAGCGGTTCTCTTAGGCAATTGCAATTATTAAGGGATTTTGTTTATACCACAGATACACCTTTTGCATTATTTGTTTTAAGCGTACTACTTTACAATAGTTTTATTCTCCCAGTTGTCGACAAAGTGCTTGAATTTATAGAGCTGATTTGGTAAGTTTATCAAATAATCTGTGACTTGGGCGTTATTTGTGTGGCCCAACAGTGTTTAGTCCGCGTAAAAGTAATTCGTGGGCAAATGTTGATTTAATACATGGACACCTGCGTGTTTTGGGTCTGGGAAAATCAACAGCTGAGGGAGTCAAATGAGATGAATAACCGATTATGGTCACTAATGAGGAATATGGTTCCAGTTATAGTTTCGAAATAAACACTAATCGACCGGACCTCAACGGGACACCATCGCCATGAGATTTAGTCGCGTTATAGAGGAGTATTTGAAGAACTCCACTTTGCATGGAGCCCGGTTTATAGTAGACAAGGATGCCAGTTGGATAGAGAGGATCTTCTGGGTCGTTTGTCTCGTTGCTTCTTGGTACGCCTCCTGGTTGCTTATCAAAGCCTCGTTGAGTAAGTGACCGGATGCACTGCCATACCAAGGATCCTGACCAAGTCCTATCCTTATAACATCCCCAGGCGCCTTTGAGAACAACGCCATCAGTTTCGTCGTGGAGAGTTCGTTTCGCGATTGGAATACCAATTTCCCCGCCATTATAGTCTGCGAGTCGAAGAATATGGATCGAATTCAAGAGGTGGCTGAACAGTAAGTGGAAGCCCGCCCAGAATTGGTGGTGCTGTGCTAAGAGTATCATCAAATGTCTTTCAGACTGTGGGGCGCTGATCATGACTTCACCTTGGAGGAGGTTCTCAGCGAGATTGCCTTCTTCCGCGGTGAATCCTACCACACAGTCCACGAATGCAGTGGCGAGGAGGTGACTGCCTCCTGTTTCTATACCAATTTCTCGTATTATGCCGAATTAGTCAGGAGCAGTTGTGTGGACTCCATCAGCAATTGCGAGTGGAATAACAAGCCATTTGAGTGCTGCAAGTACTTTCATCGCATGGAAACCGAGCTGGGGATTTGCTATGCCATTAATTCAATGCAAGCTGGGTTGGTTTGGAATAAGTCGGTTAAATGCATTTGCAGCTTTTACTGAGCGGTGCACTTTTAGGAAACACAAAACGCCAAAGCTGAATATGTATTCGAATCGCGACAGTGGACCGGGTGCCTTGAAAATGGAGCTGCACACTGAGGCCACGGTAAAGTTAATCAGTGTCAAGTAAAATTTCCTGTTGCAACCTAAAAGTGTGCTTTAAATACCTAAAAGCTCACATCATTGGTTTCTCTTCCAAAAGGTCTTCATACTTGGCACCGAAGAGGTTCCCACACTGGTCACCCCCAAAACGGACTTTCTAGTCGTAGGACCATATATCTCCTTTGTGTAAGTAGACGACCTGGAACATAGGTATTCAGTTGTGCCAGGGCTTCGTTTTCAGGCGTTATATCTCCAAGCGCGACATTGAGAACGACGAAGAGATCCGCCAGACCAGTGTGCACCAGAGGAATTGTCGTTTCGCCGATGAGAACATCCTGGATGTGCACAAGTTCTACAGCTACAGTGCCTGCACGGTCCAGTGTCGGAAGGATCGGCAGATGGAGCTGTGCAACTGCTCCAGTCACCTGTCCCCGAACTCCCCCGACTGGCAGCTGTGCAACATGGATGGTCTGGAGTGCCTCAACCGCAACTACGAGGACCTCTCGGTGATCGTCGCAAAGTGGTCCAAGCTCCGTGGGCGCAAGGGTCTGGTATGCGATTGCCTGCCCTCTTGCACGGAAGTGGATATCACCACGGTGTACGACAGCAAAGAAAATATGGCTGGAAGCCAGAACGCGATCTCCAGAATCGAAGTGGGCCTCATTGAATTACCGACGGAACGGTACAAACGAAATTTGGTTCGCGGCAAACTGGATTTAGTGGGTGAGTTAAATCAGTCTGTGTAATATCCTTAATCTACAAACTAAACGATCTCTTCCTCAGTGTCCATTGGTGGCACTACTGGCTTGTTTGTGGGCGCCAGTCTGCTCAGCTTCGTGGAGATCTTTTACTACATTACTATACGTCCTTATACCACGTATATGAACGAGAAGCGTCGTCTTAAGCGATTGATTATACCCAAGCGATTTCACTGAGTACACATTGGTACTCACATTAAATTCTTCATTAAATGACAAACTAATCAGCAAACATATGTTTCCTTTCAATGTAATATCTTGAAATGTAATAAACTGTAACTTTCTTCAAATGATAATCCTTTATTTGAAAACACACTCCTAATCTTATCGCTCAGATAATATTTGTTCTACACTTAATTTCACTACAGTTGAAGCGGAACAGCTGATCATTGCAAAGACGTTACCGTGAGGAAATAAAAACTGAGCGAAATTCTATTTCTGCTCAGTTGTGCCCGGCCAGCTTTACCTGGCTGAGTGGAAAGCGTCGGAAAAGCCGCCTCAGTCCACTAGCTTTCTAGAACGAAGAGAGCGACTGTCCCACCCCACGTATACGTAATACGCGCACCTTACGTATACGCAACGTACTCGTAATGCTTTGCCACCGAGAGTGTCAACAAATATTGGAAAATGCACAAAGGAGTGCAGGAGTCAAGCTGTTGGACTTTCGTTTGGCCAGGGACCTCAGTGCGATCGGCTATCTGGGGGATTACTACGCACTGACGCTGAGGTACCGCCAAGTAAGTGGGATCTTGACATTACAAAGTCGGTAATTATCTCTTGATTTTAATTTATCTCTATACAATGTTAGTCTTCATGGAGATACAAAATGGGAAAGTGTGTCTGCCGTAAATGATAGTGAAAGATTAACATTTTCAGTGGTGGTCGTTTGTGCACACTTGTTCGAATAATAATAATGAATAATAATTAGAGAATAATTAAATAAAATAAATATTTAGGAGAAAGAAGTGTACCAACGCCACGATTCTCAGTTGCTTATCGATGCCTTACATATTACAGTACACTTGCTAATTATTCATTTGACATTCCGAAATCAATCACCTTTGGTTTCCAGAGATTGCCGTTGAAAGTATCTTGCCATGTTGAAGCAGCTTACATCACTGATATTCGCTTGCCTACTTTTAGGAGGAGGAGGAATCCATCAGGGAAATGGAACTCTTTGTAAAGGCTATGCCCCAGCAAAGTGCGGAACTGGCCAAAGAGAGTATTTTCCAAAAGGAGTCCTGGCTGTACGACACTCTCCTAAGGAAACTGCAAGTCCTTTGTAAGTTCAGATACACAAAAAATTTAAATAATTTGACAAACACCTTTCTAGCCAACGTAAAATGGAGTCCTGATTGCGTTTACAGTCGAAAGGACCTAATGGTCCTGGAGCACATTAAGCTCAAGGGTTTCCGAGCAGCTGGATCCGCAGAACTTAGCAAGGAGTTCATGAAACAATTAATTAAGTCAGTTGCCGCATTTCATTCAGCCAGTTTGGTCTACGAACATCAGACTAAAACCAATATAGGCCAGACCTACGGTGATAACTTGTTAGAGATCACTGTAGCCTCTGAGATTGCCTGGTTCACCACAGGACTATCTGCTGTTCTAGCTGTCGTCCGAAGTCTTTCCCAGTATCAGGGAAACAGGGAGCAATCCTTCATCGATACCAAACTGTTGGCCATAATGGAGAGAATCTACGAGCAGGCGGCACCCTCGACCAAGTACAGGAATGTCCTTTGCCATCGAGATCTCTGGGCTGGTAACATTTTCTTTCCGCCGGAAAATTCTGGGCCGGCCTTACTGATTGATTTTCAGACATGTCGTTACGCTCCCCCAGCTTCAGACCTCAACTTTTGTCTTTATATGAACTTGAGCTCAAGCAAACGCAAGCAAATGGAGAGCAAAGCCATTGATTTGTACCACAGACATTTGTTGAAGAACCTCTCGGACTTCGGCCTTGAGGAACTAGCAATCTCGAAGTCAGAGCTGCTGGAATCCTACGAAGAATTCCGTTTATTTGGAGTGGTCTACAGGGCTGTTGCTGCTACGATCGTAAAGGTGCCCGCCGATTTCGTAACCAATGACTTCAAGTATGTGGACCGCAGTAAGGTGATCCTCTCGCACATGAAAACAAATCCGGAATTCGCTACCTACATGGAGGAGTGCTGTGTGGATGTCATGGAAATGGCCTTGGCCAGGGCGAACGTGTGAGGAAGGCTCTTTGAGCGATACTACTGATAAGGTAGAGTTCCACAAGTTCGCTGTGGTGATAACACTATTGTAAAAATACGAAAAATATAACCTCTCAGCGAAATACTCTTTTATTTATGGCGCATACATAACCCTAATCGAGTTTTCGTATCAAAAAGGGTCAGGTCCAATAGAGACGGACTAAAACATGAAGTATTTATGTCTTAACCACATAGATTGAACAATCGAATATGTTTAAATTTCAATAGGAAATAATGTGGTTGCCATTGTATGTTTTGTTTCCCAAGTCATATAAGCCCCATTATTGTAGAGTAATGTTCTTCTCTGAAGCCCACAAAGCCAATGAAAATGAAACCAGTATCACATTAACTCGAGAGCAGTTCAATCGTAGTCGCTGATTTGCTAAAAATGAGTAACGAACCATGTAGCCCCGTTTTCACGCGAAAAAGCCGTTCAGAATTGTTTACTTCAGAAGAGTGCACCAAGATTTTAGCCAATTTATTGGCCGATAAGAAGGAGCAGGGCGTCCTACATAGTTTTGATATAGTACCTGCAACGGAACATACTGGTTTCTTGGGTGAATACTTCCACTTGTACCTGCGGTATCAGTTGGAGGATCAGAAAGATGTGCAAACGTCTCGGCTGTTTGTCAAGTCGGTGATATTCCAAAATGCGAATATGGAATTCTACATGGAGAAAATGGGTCTCATTGAAAAGGAGATAAGGCTCTATGATTTGCTAAACCAGCTGAAGAAATTTTGTAAGTTTTCGCTCTTCTTTTGTGGCCAAAACAATAACATCTACCATAACAGCTAAACATGTGTGGAGTGCTAAGTGCTACTTTACGCGAGCGGATCTATTCGTAATGCAAAATGTGGAGGACATGGGCTATGTCGCACTTCCCGCTGGAACTCGCTTTCTAAGTGAGCATCAGATGGCACCCATTCTGAAATCCTTGGCTACCTTGCATGCCAGTAGTATTGCCTACGAAAAGCAGCAAGGGAAAACCATTGGCGTTGAGTTCAGAAGGTGGCTAAAGGAAGTGTCTGTTGATCCGGAAGTTGAATGGTATACCACGGGCCTAAGGGTATGTACCATGATCTCTTTAATATTTATGTATCGCGTTTCAATATGCTGATCTGCTCAGGCTGTCTTGGCAGTGGCTGCCACCCATCCTGATGTCCTGGATGATTCGGAAGCACAGGAGTTTATAGCTCAGGAGCTGCCCAGATGTCTGGACAAGGTGTACTGCATGGTGAATCCATCACCAGTTCATAGGAACGTCTTCGTGCATCGCGATGCCTGGAATGCGAATGTATTCTACCACAAGCAGAGGCCCCACGAAGAGAGATCCATCCTGGTGGACTTCCAACTCTGCCGATATAGCCCACCTGCCATGGACTTTCACCTGGTCAGTTATCTTAATCTGGAACCCTCTGCCCGAAAAAGGATGATGGGTAGTCTCATCGACACGTACTACGACGCATTGGCTGAGGAGTTCAGAGAAATGGGTATCGATCCCGACCAAGAGCAACTGAGTAAACAGGAATTTGAGCAATCTCTCAAGGACTTTTCCTTATTCGGAGCCACTTACAACTGCATAGCTGCTACCGTACTCCGGCTGCCCGATAATTATCTGAAAACCCTAAAGGATAAACGCCCCGAAGACTTCCATCGCTTTTGCAATGTGGATCGCAATGCAGATGTTCTCCGTTTGATGAGAGATCATCCAGAGTTTGCAGATTATATGTACGACTGTGTGGGGGATTTACTGGCCCTAACATATCATAAACTAAAGTGATTAAATGACCTGGTAACAATCGGGGTCCTCTCAGTTGCAGCTGTGCATCATTAATCTTCCTTTGTGCGATTATATTGTCGCTTACGTTCGAAGATGTTTGTTTCCAAGTCTTTAAAACTATAAACGTTAGCTTTTTATAATGTCAAAAGCGAAAAGATACTCGTACACTTGGTTTTGTAGGTCATTGCCCTAAATGGAGGCAGATATCTACCTAATTTAGATATCTATCTAATTCTTTTGAGATAACGGATGCTATCTTATCCCCAGAATCTGGAAGAGATGTCTTAACGGGTTAGTTTCTGGAGCCATTCTAGTTTGAATCTGGAAGCGCAGCGGCCAAGATATACATCTTTTTACCCCAAAAATGGATTTACTAAGTGCGGAGGAATGCCTTCTGATAGCTCAGAGAACACTTTCAGTTGTCGAAAAACACAATGTGATACTTGTAAGCTCACAGGTGGATGATGGCCCTGGAGATCTCATGGGATATATGGGAGAGTACTATAAATTGCACTTGGAAGTGAAGGTTATAGGCGACAAGAAGAAATATTTCCTAAGCTATTTCATAAAAAGCTTACCACGCAAAAATATGCCGCAAAGAGAAGAATGCGAACGCAAGGGAGTTTTTCAAAAGGAGTCCGCTTTATACTGCCAGTTATTGCCTAAGATTCAGAAATATGGTAAGTCTTTTGAAAATCCTTATAGAGTTGCAGAAAGACGTATTTAATGTACATTTTGTTAGCCACCAAGAAGCTTTTTCCCAAATGTTACCACAGTCGGAATGATATCCTAGTGTTGGAAGATCTAACCCAGGACTACAGACATCTTAAAGCCAATGAAGTCTACACCTTAGATCATTATAAACTGGTCTTGGAACACCTCTCTGAACTCCATGCAGCTAGTATTGCTTGGGAAGAAAAAGAAAATGTAAATATTTACGAAAGCTACAAAAACGTGCTTATCGAGTTACATTTGGATGCAAAGAACTCTTGGTACATAACTGGACTCAAGGTTGGTAGGTTGGTTACCAAATAAGATAACCACGTATAACTCTTTAAAACTTCCACAGGCCGTTGTTTTTTTAGCAGCACGTCATCCTCATTTTCAGTCAAAGAAGGCACAGAGTTTTATTCAGGATAAGCTCTACAATATTCTAACTAAAGCTGAAGAACTGGTGGCACCCTCAAAGGACACGAGAAATGTGCTCTGTCATCGGGATACTTGGGATCGTAATATTCTGTACCATTTCGACACCGAATCTTCAGTTCTACCCAATGCCTGCTGCATTGTTGATTTCCAACTCACTCAGTACTGCTCCCCCACCCTAGATGTTTTATTTCTACTCTATATAGTAGCCTCCGCCAAAGTCAGAAAGGCGTTTTATGATGAGTGTCTCGAGCACTATTACAAGTGCCTTCGGTACCACCTGGATCGCTTGGGTTTGGACAAGGAGCTCATAACGGAGAACAGCTTTAGAAAAGAGTGCCGAAGAACTCGCTTGGCAGCCCTTCTTATATGGGCCCTCACCGAGCCTCAGACCAAAATGTCGCCCAGTATTTCAAACAGATTACGATCCGAAGAACCGGAGAAGTTTGACTATTACCTCAACTGCGATCGGAGTGAGTTATTGCTCAGGGTAATCAAGATCCAACCTGGTTACGAAGAGACTATCATGACGCCTGTCGGTGAGCTGGTGGAATACCTCATGGAGAATGAGAATTTATACACTTAGCAGGCTTCTGTGTTATCTGCAGATAAGAGTCGAAGGCAGCTTTCAGGCAATGTAAAATGATGTAACGCATTACACATACATTTCGTTTCGAAAAATTTCATTTATTCCGCGCCTAGTTTTAAAGAGAATCGCCTAGCTAGATATTCAATTCATAGGTAAATTTCGACAATAAATTTAGCTAGCTATAAGATTTCAGGCATACATGTGTGGCTCGAAGCTAATCATCCTGGTGATCCGCATAGCAAGTAAGTAGTTTCCTAAGTGGATATCAAAAGGCGCAAGCTAGTCAGTCCAGCAATCTTCGTCGTCCTCCTCGTCAAAGTCGCGCACATTGAAGTCCTCGTGGAACAGGTCCTCGCCTTCCTCCTCCGAGGACTCCGACTGTCATCTGTGCTCATTGATGCGCTGCGGCAAACCAACAACGCCCACTCCCTTGGGCGGTCTGGGTATCCGGATGCTGGTGGAAGGGCCCGCCAAATTTGATGCCGATCCCGATGCGGAGCCCGCGTTACTCTTTCCCGAGACACTGGGTATCAGCTGGGCATTCATTATGGTGGTGTGCTCGAAGCAGTTGCAGCAGTATTTATCGCATCTGATCACCAGAATGAGTCCTGCCATCAGCCAGATAAGCAATCCCGGCCAGGAGTGGATGGCACAACCGCTGAACAGGATCACGCCCAGCAGCAGCGACATTCCGCAGAGCACGGGACTCACGTTGATCACACTGCCCGTGTATTTGGGTATAAAACCCATCATTATGGTCACGATAAGCACCCCAATTCCTCCGGTCAACGCTGCCGGAGCCCAGTGCATCATGAGTCCGGCAATGCACAAGGCAATGCCCAGTCCAATGACCACAATGGCAAAAATAGTCACGCGCCAGGAACTCACTGTTGGCACTCGAACACTGCGCTCCAAGGGACCGGCAGTAGTTACCTGGAGGAGAGTAAGGAAATATTTTAGTGTCTATATGGATTTAGTGTCGTATTCTTGGCGAGCCCTCACCTTAATCTTCTCGCGATACTCATCCACAATGGCATCAATGTCGGTGGAGGTGTCCGAGTCACTCTTGTCGAACTTATCGGGGTACTCAAAGTCAGAAGGCTTCATGCAAGATGTGGGAATATGTAGTTATTATTAGTTTATCCCAGGGAGCACTTACCGGTGGCTCGCCATCAGAGAGAATGGTGGACTCCACGTCCCTGCCCTCTCTTTGAGGACATGGCGAGGTGGGTTCGCCCAGGAGCAGCCACTCCTTTTCCAGCTCCTGCTTGTTTCTGGGCTTGGTCTTCGGCTTTTTCAGGTTGCTGGGCTTGGACAGACCGATCTTCCAGAGACTTCTCTTTAGGCGACTCGAACTGGAGGTTGCGGCACTGCTGTAACTGCTGCTCTTGGCAATCGGCGCTGTGGACAGCCTACTGTACGACAGTGAAGACTCGCTGCTGGGCGCCATATACTTGGGTCTGTAAGGGGTGTAAAGGAGGTAAAGGGCCCGCAGGAATGCCCCGCCCATGTGGCCAGCGGCTAAGGTGTAACTGAGGTGCTGCAGTGGACAGGCGAAGGCCAACATGGCACACATGCTGCCGGCGATGAAAACAGCCAGCACGGGATTACCACTCTCCGAGCTCTCATAGCTGATCTGCTTGGACAGTATCCTCCACTCCGAGGTGGCCAGTCGCACGACGATCCCATACAGTTCCGGAAAAAGCTCCAGAAATGCCGCCGAACTTGTTAGGAGCAACATGCAGGCCGAGGCGGGAACCAGCTTATGGAAGCCGTTTTCGTCTAGGATGTTGAACAGGGGCACGGCCACATAGTCCTCCTGCGACCTGAAAGCATTTTTGTATGTGTTTCAAATCAAACATTGCATAATCTCAATATGTATCTCTGGTACACGTATTCGTGCGGAAACGGATATCAGTTGTTGAAGTTGTTCTTCCTCCATTATTATCGCATATTATTATCAGACTCACTTGTAGTGCACCACCGTGGAGAGACAAATGGCTGTCAGCAGCAGGGAAGTACTGACCAATCCCGTAATCAGGGTGGCTGTGTGGCGTCCACTTCGAAGTTGCTGGGGCCAATCGCCGGGGAAGGAGTACGTGAGCAGGGCGGTGGCCAGGAAGACCTGCAGGTGGTGGTTGGAACCAGTTATCAGCCGGATAATTCTTCAATTAGCAGCTAAACTAATGCCAGACGTTCCCCAAGTCTGCCATTGTGTTTGCCCTGTATGAATTGACTTCTCTTTAGGTCAGAGGGATATACTTTTTTGAAAATGTTTTCAACTTAAAAATTAAAATATGCAGGAAATGCTGTGAAGGTTCTAAATACCCCACCCATAGTGAAGTATATTACGAGTATGTAGGTTGTCGTTCTTAAATCGCGATTTCAGTGTATTACCTATTGCGGCAAAATGAGCGCCTAGAACTGTTCAAAGTTTTGCTGTCTGGCTGGCGGTTTTCAGCCAGTGAAAGGGGGCAGGAAAACAAAAAGAAACAAAAACGAAAGGCAGCAGTACGTGTCATAATCAAAAGCCCGTATCCTGTGGATTCAGCCGCGGTCACGCAAATGTTCCCGGTCACGACAGCGAAAATCGATGGGACTGGGCAAACAAAAAACAGAGGAAAAACAAAGCTCAGACTGGCACAGTGCACTGACCCAATATCCAAGTTCCAGATGGCATGGGGTCTATACGGCTAAGTCCACTTACACTGCTAATGCCATCGGGCTGGAAGTAGCTGTCCGCGGACCAGGCCAACATGTCGCCCCGCCACCAGCCGACGGCGCTGAGAATGGCGTTCAAGCCAAACATGCCGAGCGTGAGGATGAGGCTGAAGGCCCTCGAGTGCTGTGAATACGCAATTGCAATGAGTGTCGAGCTAAGTGGGTGGACTTGACTCGCATTCGGAGGAGTACCCACCTCCAGGCCCAGCATGAACATCCCTGTCACGAGGAAGACAACCGACACGCCGAGAACATCCGGCCACGGCTCATTCGCGGGTGCATTGCGGCCTGAAAGTAGGCAACATTATATTTCGGTCAGCACAGTTCGCGCCAAAATATTGAGCATAGCTGCAGAAAGGTATGTTATAAAATAGGTGTAAGCTAATATAATATATTTAGTGCGATATTTTACCTCTAGTTTTTTATTTTATTTTTTATAATTGTGTATTTAGTACGATATTTTACCTCTGCTCTTTTATTTTATTTTTTATAATTGTTCAGGAAGAATTTTCGTATTTAATTATATTGATTCCTATGGTACTTAATTGCTTCAAGGTTGTGCTGTTGCTTTACTTTATATGTGATTAGTTTTCTAATAGTTTTCTTGTGAAGAGGATTTGTTATTTCTAGGAGCAAATGCAGCTGTTCATTACATCTGTTACCACTCACCCAATATGAGAATCCTGGCCAGACCCCCGGTCATGGCATCCAAACAGGCGCTGAGGGTCCTGGCCAGGGCAGCGCAGGCACACACGGCGGCCAGTGCATCCAGCCAGATGGCCAAAAACAAACAGCTAAAGTCGAATTTATTTGTGGCCCTCACGTACGGCATTTGCAGGCTGCGTAGACTCGTCTTGCAGCGCGCTGAAACGAAAAAGGAGCTTACTCTGGAGTAATTACGGACTTTTCCAGCTGACTCCCACCTGACATGGTGCCATAAACGGTGGCCAAGACAACGGCCACCAGCAGGCTGGGAGCGGAGGCCTCATTGTAGACAACCAGATAGGAGATCACCGAGGCTCCGAGGGCCAAACGGGCGCCAATCCCGCTGCAGAGCACGTCCAGCAGGCTGCAAGGATAATTCAAAGGACGCGCGGGCGCGAACTAAATTAAACGCCTGGTAACGCATACCAAATTGCGGGAATTAGGCCGCTTTTTCCTTATGCTTTTATGATATATTATTATATTTATATATGCAGTCAGGAAACAAAGGGGTTTCGGGAGTCCCTAAATGAGCTCTTTATTCCGGACTTTATCTGAGCGTTTGTAATTGCCGGCTTTCTTTTAATTGCATGATTTTAAATATTCCATTATTTTTAGATCAAAGTTCGCACAGCTGAATAATACGATTGGTTTGGCATTACTCTTTCTACCAAATTTACTCGGGAAAGTGCATTCGCCTGCACGACGAATGGAACTGAGGACCTGTCACCTTTGACTTCTGTGGTTAGACACCCATACAAAGGCGCCGAACCAAAAACCCACACAACTTTAAGTAACCACAACCACGCTTACAAGCACACAGATAGGCGACAAACACACTTCCTTTGCCATGTAATTTTTGGCGCCAATCTGACATTGGGAGGGATTACACTGAAAGAATTATTACTTATATATATATACATATAAAATAATTCTTTCAAGCCCGTTGTTATTTATTTAAAGGGGGAATTAATAATTGCCTGGCAAAATTTAAATATACATTTCATGAAACGATTTGTTGCAGTGCAGAAACGAAGAGGGAAAGTGGGGAAAGAAGATCGCGCCTGTTTGTTCTGAGGCTCTGATGGCTCTCGGGTGCCATGAGTCATAGCCTGTTTCTTGGGATATCCTCTTACGCCATTGGATTTGTCCCCTTTCCCCACTTTCCCTGCCCAATTTCTGCTGCTTGTAATTATGTGTGCTCTGGGTGCATATTGTAAGCAGCTCGATTATCCTAATTACATGGCCAGAAGCTGGCAGGCTCCCAGGTTTCCAACTAAGGCCATGCTGAGCTGGCAGTGAAATAAAAGTGTTTTGGCCATGCCAAGAGAAAAATGGATTAATTTTGTTATGTTTGAATGGGGGAAGCCAAAGAGACAGCATAAAATATACATTCTTGAGATGCTTCGGACCAATTAAGGCACACTTGGATAAAATATACGCAAAGGTATAGAATTGGTGACCAGCTTGCTTGTTGAATAAGTATAAATATTCTTTCGCATTGAACATGTTGAGCTTCTTAAAATGATCTGCAAATACTTAGCTAAAATGCAATGCTCATTTGCCCATATCCCAAACCAAGCTAATTGTGTCTTGGTTGTGCATGAATATATCAAGTATATCACGCACTGTGCTCGGGCACTTGAGTGGGCCAAGGGAAAAGGCAGCGAAAAGCCAGTCAGTGTGACGCCGCCAGCGGAAAAACAAAAGGAAAGCTAGTGCCAGACAGAAGACAACAGGAAAACAAGAACGAGGAAGAACACCCACACACATGGCAATCAAAAATCAATTTATTGATTACATGACAAATATCAGCCATAACAACTGCCAGATATGGTCGGAACGGCTGTCGAGTATATGCCAAATGTATGTATGATATGAATGGATATGGGCTAGAGAATCCTACCTGCCACTCGACATTGTTGTTGTTGCCGTTGTTGTAGCTAAGGTTACTGTGCTTTTCACTCAGCTGGCAATCGGCCAGGTTCAAAATGCGATTTGTGGCCCGTCTTGTGGCAGAACTTGGCCGACAGTGACTGCCATTTTGTAGTGATCTTTTATTTGAATTAGATACTATTAATCAGATACTCCGACTCCTGAGCACTCGAGCCTTGGCCCTTAATTAGCCTGCACGTTTGAGAGGTGGCTTCTGCTCTTGACACGTAACCTGGTAGAGTGTGGGGGAAATGCACAGGTAACGCGTAACCGCTCGCCTAAATTGGCCGCAATCCACTGAATGCTCACTTGGAGCTTTTCCTCCGCCGCCCAAGCAGCTTTCGCCCGATTCCGACGCACAGCTGTCCACCGGATTCGGATTCGGATTCGGCATCGGAATCGGATAGAGATTCGGATTCAAGCCCAAGCTGTCCTGCGCAGTGGACGTGTTTACGTTTACAGTTGGTTGGCCTGCCTTCTGCTCTTTGGTGGGAAAATGGGAAATGAGAAAATGGGAAAAGTGTGTTGGTTGGCGTGGAAAATGCGGAGGGTCCCCGCAAGAGCTGCACAAGTGCAATCGTTTTTTATAGCTAATGCAGCTTCGCCTATAAATATACTAATTCCTTTAATAAGAAATAAATATATATACATATATGTACATATATGTATATAAGGAACACTTAAGCTAAAGCTAATAAATCGTATACCTATTATACTTAATATTGATAAATATGGCGCCTAAGCTATTATTGGAATATCTTTGTGCAACTCGACAAGCTAGAAAAGCTGGTTATGTCTTCAAATCTACTGTCTAGACAACTGTTTATGATTCAAACAAGAAACAACACATTAAAATGTACAGTTTTGATAAAACAAAATATTCACGGATAATATCAAAATACAAGTGTTTTGAAAAACCACACTCCTCACTTTCAAATTTTTGAGTCTTCTGTATGCTTACAAATGTGTACGTTTGTGTCTTTTCAGTACTAAAACCTTTAAACATTTAAGGTCACTTTTTATAAAGATCATCAAGATGTCTAGCTTAAAAGGCGAATAAAAACGACATTAAGGAAGTACACCATAATCACATAAGTACATACAATACATAGATACAACAAGGTTCAACAAATCAAAGCCACATTTTTAAATGTTTAGCACGTTAAGTATCCATTTTACACCTGTAAGGATTTGGGTAAGTTTGTGTAAGTTTTAAAATGTATTATATTTTCGGTCCAAAGTAATATTTTTAATCTTTAAACAACCAACCTCCTTCTTACGGAGAAGAATGGAGCCTAAAAGAATATTATATGAATATTATATTCAAAGTTGTGAGATCTGGCATTTATCTGAGAAGACGACCTTGACTTGTGCAAACGCCTCCCGCAAGTTGTGCTAAAATCTGAAACAAACAAATGCGAGAAGCGGCTAAAATAAACAGTTAAGACGGCTTTAATCGGCGACCTTGTGGTAATCAACGAGATGAACATACTGATAAAAGCACAGAATCGTATCCTATCGAGAGTGTTCTATTTCTGGTGAAAAACTAATGACTAGTGAAGCCGTCTAGAATGGAACAGGTTTTTTGTGGACAGTCAAACGGCAGACAGTGGTCATAAATTCCAAAACAATAAAATGCAAACTATCTTAACCTATAGCAAGCCGTTTATTCGAACGTGTGCACTTCAACAATTTATCTCTGGAAGTATTTAGAGGTTGCTCTCGTCAAATCAACGACTCCACAGCTCGACCTTCTGACCAAATATAACAGTTTTTGGCCAAAATATGTCTGATGTTTGGCCTTTTTACCAATTCAAGTGAAAATAAAGCTTCCTCTCTATATGGTAAAGGCTACCTTGTTCGGTTTATAAATAACGTTTTGGCAAAGTTTATGAGTCTTTCAAGCCGCCTTCAACATTTTATTTGGGTTAAGATCTGTCTTGCTTTGAACATTTGTACTAAATTACAGCAAGACACCAATCGAACTTCTTACAACATTTTACATAGCTTTCAGGCATGACAGTCGTTCACGATAGGCCTTTAGAGCACTTATGTTAATTGAAATCAAAGACAGAGACAATATAATCAAAATCCAATGTCATTCCGTTTTTGTCTTCCATCTTCTGCGGGCTTTGGGAATTTGGCTTTATGTGTCGGAAGTTGTTCGTCAGGTTTACAAATATCTATTGGTCGAAGCAATTATGATTTGCTGTGGCAGATCAGTGGTTAACAGAATCATCGAGATTTGTTTGCTCATGTATCAAAATCTTAGGTGAAATCGACTTTAAAATTCGGAAAAACAGTTAAAACGCATGTTATAATTGACGAACTAATTAACATACAGTCGTTAACATATTAATTCCTTTGTCACTTGACAGTGCTAGTAAGCAAAAATAATATGAAAATAATAAAAGCTTGTTAATCAAAGTATTAGCCAATTATAAATATGCAGTATTTAAAGAACTGTTACAAAAGAATATATGCTGATAGGTTTAAACGTTCAATTCATTGTTCGTTGGAAACAAAATGTTCATTAGATATATTTATATGTATTACACTTAAAAATGTGTACGTTAAATACATATGTACGCCGCCGATCAGACGAAAATTAGTTTATCAAACAATGGAACCGGTATTATTGGATCCCCAAGTCGAAAAATTCTATAAGCTGTGCAACGCAATTCGCGGGAACTAAAAAAGCCTGATATTCTTAACGAGAATCCCCTGAAGCATTTAAAATTTGCAAATAACCAAGAAATATCAAATACTTTAGAGTCGAAGCGCAATTAGCACCACGCAAATGAGATTCCCAAGACTCACAAAACAAATAGTTGTTTACGGTAGCCCATCGATAACCTTGACGCCATATTTTGGCCAATAATTATCGCACTCCTTACTGTGGTCAGATAAATCATAATTAATAATAAGCGAGGCTTAGGCTGTTCATGCCAAATGGGCCATCATCGCCGGCATAGGAAATGTGAACAGCAGAATGTCCAAGTCATCGGATAACACATGGCATAAAACACGTTCACTTTTGGCCATTACGAAACCCCATCCGGAAGTCAGATGCCAAAACCAGAATTCTGATAGGAAGTGAAATAGGTTAACGTTCAAATTGGCGCTTGGCGGTTGGCTCTTGGCTTTCAAGACTCACCTTTGTGCTGGTTCTAACGGGTTTTTGGCGAAGGCTACCTGTTGATTCATTTGCGATAGTCTGCCTCTATCAGGGGGTTCTTTTGGCCAACACAATCTCCGTGTTGGATTCAGCTTGGATTCGGACTCGGACTCGGGCTCGGATTTGGCCAAAGTGCAGCTTATACTTCGCGTTCGGTCAACAGGGCACGCGAGGTTGAATTCTCGAAAAAGTTGAAAACATGCGCGCAGACCTGCTCGCTTTTGATGGCACAGAACAAATAGAAAATTGTTGTTTTGGGTTTAATTATGGCGGAAATGGGCGAGCGACAAGTTCTGGTTATGCGATTAAGAAAAGGAATATATTTTATTTATCTATATATCTATATATATCGCAGTGATTAAACTAGGTATGTGTGGAGCTCAGCTGCAACGATTATCGGAACATTTCCTTATGAATACAGCTTCCTATATTATAAAAAGAATCTTTCATCTGAAAGATAATTATAGCTTATATTACTCTCAAAGATGTCCCATTTTAAATGTTTTTCCCTGTTTAATTTTCTCTTAAAGCCTAGAGCATATTTTGTAATAGTTCTCTTTTGATAACACTAGGCAACTCTGGTCACCAGCTGTTGGTAGCTCTTGACTGTCACTCTCTGAATCTCTCTCTCCAGAAAACAGAGGCCACAGGAACAGCTGAGCTCGCGCCTTTTTCGACTCCCTCCAGCCCCTTTCATCCCCCTTTTTTCTCTCACTGCGCCTGCGTCACTAGTGTCAAAAAGCGTCGCAATGGGAAACGAAGCTGGTGCGGAAAGCAGTCGAAAAATATAAATATACGGAGGAAACAAAACTAGCCAGACACAAAAAGAATGTTGTGGTCCAGTAAATAAATTTGCATTTGCTGCCAATTATCGATTAAGTGTGTGCCGGTTTACTCGAAAGTCAAAGTATTTTTGTATGTAATCGTACATAGGTAATTCGGATAATAAAATGCAGTGGCGAAAAACTAATGTTAACTATGCTTAACATAAGCATAGAAAGTGAAAAAAATTCTTTTTGTTTTTGAGCTCAAAAATTCCGCACACGGCCTTAAACATTTTATCAGTTTTTTGACCCCCATTCTTCTCTTAAAAATGCAAATCGAAGTCTAAAAACGCACGTATACAAAACAAACGATACCAAGTTAAATAAGCAAAATTTGCTTATTATGCAATCCGAAGATGTGACGAAATCTTTAAGAACTGCCAGCCAAACACCATTTCATTCGATTAACATAACCTGTTTTTAATGTGAAAACCGCAAAAGACCAACTCGTACTTGGTGGTTTGCATGTGTGCGTAGAAGAAGGGGAAAGGAATACGAGGAATGAGAAGCAAAGAGAGCACAAAGAGCATTTCGATGCTGACAACAGGGAAAGAGGAGTTAAGTTGGCCAAAAGTGCATTTAACCAAATTTACGGCCAGTCACTTTCATCCAAAGCACAAATAAAGTAAAATAAGATTTGAGGGGAAAGTATCGGTATTACAAGAAGTTGAAGTCGGTTTTTCATAATTATGAGTGGTTGCGATATTTTCAGATCAGCTTACAAAAAATGCGTACATTTCTATTATATTTACCTACTTAAAAAAACCGAAAATATATGTGCTTTTGGGGAAGTTGCAGGCTGATAAGTGAATGAACAATAAATTGTAAAGGCAATCACATTTTTTAAATACGAAAGTCTTAATTTCTAAGCTGATTCCACGTATTTCGCAGTGAACATTTGGTTGTTGGGCATCAAAATAAGTCAGATGTAGTCCCTTTCAGGCAAATGATATGTTTTCAACTCAAAACTCAAATAAGCAGTTGGTAAATCAACGACCAAGTGTAATTAAAGTAATTAAAGTTGTGGAAAACGTGGCCATTTCACTAATTTAATGAGCCACGTGGGAGGTGTTAACAGTGGTGTTTAAGGTGCTAATGCACCTTTACTGATTTTTTATAACAAATGTGCGTCCTAAAGGGCCTTAAAGGTTTACTCACCCTAATTCTTAAAACGTAATATTAAACCCCAGCGGCATGTAATTTATCTTTGTTGTTTCATAACGCTAATTGGCCAAGTTTACGTCGGCCCTCCAGTGCGCCGCGTCATGAATTTGTGAAAAATATATGGAATCATAAGTCCTAATAGTTTTAAACAATTACACGAAAAGCGAAAAAGGCAATAAATAAAAAGCAAAGGCGAGCAGCATAAGAACCGCGCCGCGAGCAAAACAAAAAACAGAAATAGGAAAAAACTGAAATATAATACTTAATCCCAGTCGAAGCTGCGGTTCAAGCTCGATGACGTCACAAGCGCGGCTTCGGCCGAGCGGCGCGCGGTAGGCAGCGCAGTCGACGCCGACGTCGACGCCGACGCCGACGCCGGCGATATATCCAATAGCGCGCCAAAATAAGAAGTCGAAATTCATTCCTTTCGAGCCCACAACGTTCAAATTCGTTTGCTACGCTCACGAGAGCGGACGTGCAGTGCGGAAAAATCCGACAAAATCAGGCAAAGTCCCAGATCCAAACTAAATACGGAATAAGCAGAGATACAAAAGCGCAATTCCACACGAAACAAAGTCAAAGCAAACCCAAATTAATATCGCGTCTGTTGCTTGCGGTTGTGTTTCGTCTGCATTTAAATTAAGGGGCAAAAACTACGAGAAATTACATAAATCGAAAGCTAATTAAATCGAAAACCTGTGTCTTAGCCAAGTGTGATTAACTGCCCGAAACCCAAACAGATCATATTCGAACCGAGCAATCCAGTGCCAGTCTGTGTAAAATGGAGAAAAACAACAACGAGCTGCCCGCCGAGCAAGCGCAGGTCCTGGCCAATGGAGTGGTCCACCCTAAAAAGGAGGCAGTCGCTCCCGCCTCCGATGGCTGGGGTCAAGTCCTGTGGAATACCTGGGATGCGTTTGCGGACGTGGCCTGGTTCATCATCTGCTGCATTGGATACATCCTGCAGGCAAGTCCCAATGTTTATTTGGTCAAAAAATGGACCCATGTAGTAGATATCGTATGTCAGCAGAGGAATGTTGCCTTGTTGCTGTAATTTAAACTCAAAAACTTATTTTTAAGATGAAATATCACGCAGAACACCATAAAAAGTAGCCTTTGACCTTCCCAGCGCTTTGGTTTTGACTGAATCAAGCAAAGCCAAACTTTGCCTCAGCTTTAATTATCAGCGAATAAAAAATACCCATAAACAAAAGATTCCTAATTTTCGAGACCATATTGTCGCTCGAAGTGCTGTTTGTTGAGACCTCCCCACTTTTGTTTAAGACAGTTTAATAAAATGGTTGAGCGATTGTTAAGACTCATTTGCTTCCTCGCTCGCAGAATAACTTACCTTCGCGTCGACTTTGGCTGATTAGCGGCATTGTGCGATTTAGCAAACGCATTTTACCTTCGGCACCTGGCCAAATGTGTCAAAGTTTCTGGGGAGAATTTAACTGAGAATTGAAAGGCAGCTCGGCGCGATTAACTTATTTAATTAGCAGCGGAAAGGATGATATACGGCCAAAGGTAATGGGCACTGCCGATGGCAGCACGTGTGTCGTTTAATTGGAACCGTGAAGGAGATTTAAGGCATTGAGATCCAGCGCAGACAAGTTTTCAGATCGTATCTCTGGATCCGAGGGAGGGGCACGGTGATTTAGGGACTGCCCGAGATGATGTAAACCAGGTCGTGAACGATAATTTACTTTGGCTTGCGAATGTGGCATTCGAGATGGCGAGGGATGGCCGAAACCAGTTAGGAACTGAGTTATCATGTGTTCTCGTATTAAGTGGCTAAAGACCATAAACCAGCCGCAGAAATCAGGCGCATGAGTTAGACGTGTGACTAAGGAACTTTATTACTCAAATTCGGTGTTTAAAAATAAGAAATTATTCATTAACTCACCCCTAGCCAAGTCAAGCTGCCAATTTACTTTAATTTGCGTTGCCAGCAGCTATAATTAATAAAAAATAATAAATAGCTGAAAACAATCCGAGTTTTAAAAGCGAAATTGGTCACATGTCCAATTGATTTGCACAGTTGAATGAGAGTGCAAACTTGAGAACTACAACCGAAAATATTATTGGGCCGTCGAGTCAAAGATCGGTGGGAATTTCGAGTTGGGCCCAGACCCGTATCGGGTTCAAACTAACACTCTGACACGCTAAGTGCTTTTTAAATAACCAAACATAAAAGACAATAAAAGCAATTTCAATTTTATTACGCAAGCCTTGGCTTGCGGTGATTATATTTTCACTTTACCGCAAAAAGCTAAAAACCTTTTGGTAGCCAGGGGTTAGTGAGATATGATCGTGATATACCCGTATGTGTGGCACAATAGCCAGTGCCATCGGTATTCCTCAGCTGCATGGGAGAGGGCCATAAAATGGAGACGACTCGCAACTGTTGACATTAGCATGCCGAATGCAAGCCAGCGACTCAGAAAGACAAATGAATTTGCATGTTAATTCAGGGATTTAATAAACGCTTAAATGGTGATTCTAAACGCTATCCGCTTGACTTGTTCGTCGCCGATAGTTGGCAGATGTGCAAATTGCACGCCGCTTGCTGTGATTGAATTAACAATCGGTTACTGGCTGGATGCATACCCGTGCAGTATTATTAGCTCGATTTATGTCAATGCACTGCTGGCACTAACAAAAGACTTGGGCAACAAACTTGGGCTGGAAGTTCCACCTACGAGAAAAGTTGAGATGTTATGTGGGCTCTGGTGCACAGTTACAAATTTCTTAGACTTGCACAGGGCATGATCGGAAAATTAGAAGTTTAGTTTTCCAAACTTGGATTGGAAGTACCATTTTGTACGTTAGTTCCAAACAGTTTTAGATGGGTCTAAAGTTGCACTCAGTTCCTGCACATTTCCCGAAAATAGCTTACTGTTAGCATATTTTGTGGCCAACAAGAATTAAAAGGTTTCCTGCCACTTCGGGCCATGTTTCTGCGAGTGCCGTGGCTTGTAAAATGGGAGCCAATTCAGCAGATTTACTGCGCGCCGCCGAAGTCGCTGTCAACTGCGCCGCAGCGTTTGGCTTGTTGACCTAGTTCAACTTTTGCATTTTGCCGGCTCGTGGTGGTGGTGCTGGCCACTTGGAGAGCCTGTTTTTATTAGCTAGCCGCAGACCCACACATCCACACACATTTCGCATTGTATTTGTGGCAACTACAAAGCCACCTCAATTTCGCGGGCACTCGTCGGCTCTCGTGTGTGCGTTGTAAACGCAAACGCAATTGAAACCGAAAGTGCTGCGGCCCCGAAAGGCAAATAGCTAAACACAATATCTTACTACTGGATGGCTTGCCGTTGCCTCAGCCGCAAGTCGTTTGCTGCCTTAGAGACCGGGCCGGTTGCAGGTTCATAACCCGCATGCGGCCTTGTGCTTTTGACTGATTTACGGTTGCCAGCGTGTGTGTCGGCCTGAAAATGGGTTACGGGGCGGGTGCAATACGTGTGCGAGCCAAGAAACAGAGAAGAAACTCTCCGGCAGGCCATCGTACATCGTCACAAGGAAAAGCCCACAAGCCAACAAACACGTAAGACTCTTTGAGGAAGTGCATTATTTTCATAAATGCTTTAAGCTTTTAATTGAAATCCAATTGCACTCTCTAGGCATAGTTTTAATTCTTAATGAAATAATGCTGATGAAATTCTATTTTCCACTCCAGTTGCCTATGTTCTTCTAGGCGTATCTATAGCTACACTGCCATGGTAATTTTACAGCAACACAAATGAATGTTTACCACCCGAAATAGCTTTAATTCTAGCAGAGTGACACCACGAGCTTCGCTGCATTACATTAAATGTGCTTCGAGCTAATCACGCGACATATCCGTTGCAGCTGAGCTCGACTTGGCAAATATCCGCTTTTGCAGACAAATTACACTCCACTCCAGTCACTCAATTCACAGGTGGCAGTAGCCGAGATCGCATAGAACTCGATTGTGCGATTTATGAGCGCGTGCTTCTTGGGCAAATACACTGTTAGAAACCTTTATTATGATGCTAATTTTTCACAAGTCTATAAACGAAAATTGCCATTGAAGGCCGTGCCGGCAACCGATGACAGCCATATAAAATCAGCAAAAGCGCAAAAAAAGCAAAACAGCGATGAGAAGCCAGACATGAGCAAGCAAACTTAAAGTGCAAAATCATTGGCCAATTGGCCAGGCAGGCTGAAAACTTTCAAGTGTATAAGGGGAGGGGAGTGCAGACTACTCGATTCAAATGCAATACACAATGCTGCAGCCAAATGTCGCTGTGTTTGCTGCTTTTGTTGTCGGTGGGGTTCAATTTCAGGTTTATTTGCCGATGCCTGTGCACTTTTCTGGGGTATCGCACTTTATTGTTTGGCTACTACTCTGGGAAATTCTTAAACTGTTCCTTGAATTTTTAAATATGGAATTTTAGGTTGTTCAATGCAATAGGGAACATTTTTAGAATAAAAGAAGTTGAATTATTCGAGGTAACGCGAAAACGGGAATGTATATATTGGTAAAATCAATTATTTTTATCTTCAACACACTCTAAAACTATTTGGTTCTTACTGACTTGTATTATCTATTTGTACTTTATTTCTTAAACAATTTGGTTGGCAATTGGTAGGGTATTTTGGGTTAAGCAAACCGAATCTTCGATGCGCCTAATGCTGCTTTTTTATTTTTATTGCAACTGTCGGTGTCTCGGTTTAAAGCGATTCGGCAAAGAAGGTCATTCGGAGGAGCGGCTAAGGGGGGGGAGGGCAAAGAGGCGGTCTAGCAGTAGACGTCTGCCAAGTGTTTGTTCGTTGGCAACATTGCATTGGCGCTTACAATGTTTTGTGGCAAGTTCGTGCCTTAAGTCTTTGGTTTTGGCTCGTTCACGCAAAGTGCACTCAAAGCCACTTTGAGTTTTTCACCCGACTCACAACAAGTGGGCAAGCTTTGAGCCAATTTGGCCGACAGCAGGTGCGACTGTGTTCGACATCAAGCTTTTGGGGTTGGGCAAGAGGCCGCCAGTTTGTGGTATTCGGTTTCACTTTCGGCCGGCTCTAGAACCACGTTAACCACCTTAACCATGTTAACCAGACTTCGCCGACTCGGCGTGTTGATATTTTCGCAATTCTCTTGGTAGCGAAAAAAGCGAGAGAGCGAAACAAGTTTGGCCATTTGCTTTTGTCTGCAAACATTTGATTACTGGCTAAGAGCAAAGCTACCACAAATGATGATGGTAATGATGATGGCGGGAATGGAAACAGCCCAGCCGGCTTAGCGCCTTAGAAGTCTGCGCGCGAAAGGAGTCTCAGATTCGGAGCTCATACGTTTGGCATTTAGTTTGCATATATTTTGCAAGATTTTCGCAATTCCCAGACATGTGAGAACTCCACAGCTGTTTAACGGAGCTAATGAAGAGGAAAGATGCGCGTTAATTAATGTTTAAACAGCTCTAATGAGCTAAACATTTTCCATTTGTGCAACTGGGGTCAATTATGGCTGTAGATTTGCTGGCCAGTACTAGTTATGTTGGTTGGTTATGTTAGAGAAGCCAAAAAGCCAACCTTCAAATGTAAACAATTTTCCACTCTTCATAGCGTCTATTAACAATCGAGTGCATCCATAATAAACTTGTATTATTTCTTGGCCCATACCATTCAAGTTTCCGTTACAAATAAAATAACCATTAATCATTTCAAATGGCAAAGACCTTTGAAAAATTTCCAATCACTTAGCGCAAGTAAATCAAATAAAAATCAATTCATGCAAGATCAATCCGATTTGTGGCCTTCCCTGTGTTACAAAGGTCGAACGTCGGACCTTGACAATCACCAGAAAATCAGAAGACAGACAAAAACTAGCTACAAATGCTGCGGGACCAATAAACCCAACTGAATGGATGCTGTGTGACTCGGCAAGTTTCACGGCGGTTTCAGCAGACTAACAAATTCTCAAATGACACGACCAAATTTTGAAACTTGTCTGCTAAATTTACATTTGTCGAATAAAAGTCTCGAAAAATTTCCGTGATCGCGCGCACATCTTTCTCTTTCATTCTGGTCCACTTGATTCGATTTCAATTTGCATACTTCTGTCTTCTCATGCCACAGCAAACATGAAAAGAAATCGCTGCTCCATTATGTTGATTATCGTATTATGTTTAAATTATAATTGCGCGCTTCCTGTCCTTGTTATTTGAGTTGAGCCGGGAAAAGAGCACATTGCCTGCTGAATTATGTGACAAAATGTCTGTCAACGAGCTGACAGCAGCAGCATGGCAAGAAAAGGGCCAAAAGCAACTCATAATCATTGTTGTCAGCGACTTTAGCCTGCACAAGACACCGGCAACAAGTTGCCTTTGATTAATTTTTGTGTAATTTATGATAACATTTTTCGGGGAGACAGGAAAGCGTTTGCAATAAAGAAATAAAGGGGGATTTTTACGTTCTGCACACCGAAAGCCTTTTACTCTTGCACTTGCTTAGGCATATTTATAAAAGCACTACATCTACTACCTCTAGAAGCTACTAACTAACAAATTTGTGCTTATAAAACTTCCAAGCTAATATTATTTATTTTTGCTGTACTTTCGAGTACTGCGTACAGATTCTACATAGACTAAAGTATAAGTAAATCGGCTAAATATGCGTTGTCCAGCTCTACATATTTATTAGTAGTGGCACCACCATTTGAGAGTATCAAAAGCCACAAAGTTGCACCACATTCATTGCTAATGTCAAAATAATTGGACACGCTTGCCGGACCGAGTTCAGTCTCAGGTGCAAAAGCGGGAAACCAGCCCAGGAAACCAGGTGCCCTGAGCGGATGGGGCGCATAGCTGGCGGCAAGTTCGCGTGTGGCATGAAAATTTATGGGATGCCCCCGCGTGCAGCGCAGAAAGTGCTACTGTGCAACATGTAAAATATTAAGTTCGGCGCTTCAATCTTTTGTTTTGCCTTTCCCTTTCCCGCAATTTTTGTACTGCCGCAAGGGCGGTGCGATGGTCATAAATTTTGACAGCTTATTGACACTAAGCGAGCGCATAAGTCTTTCGGTTTTCGCTCTGCGAATTTCTTGGACTACCTACATACAGCAATTAATTGCGGTGCAATTGAGGTGAGCTACTCGCCTCGCCCACTGCCGCCCACTAGGCTTTCCAAGCCAGCAAATTGCGGTCTATTAACACGCAGATGCCAAGTGGCAAAAGTTGTTTACAATTTTACACTTTGCTTGGACTTCCTTTGGGTATTGTGTAAACTTTGAATTTGTCTCTATTTGCATACGCGTGACTCGTATCGGTTCTGGTGTGTAGACAGACATACATGTTATAGCAAATGAATGAGACGAGAAAACAAAAGACTTAGGCGACGAACTTTGCATAGCGTAGCAAGGAAGAAAGCTAGAACATGTATGTTAAATGGGAATTCTTAGATTAAATTATTTTTTACAATACTTTGAGATTTGTTTAGCCAAATTTAGATTTAAATAACTTTGTTATTTATGAATTTTAGTTATAATAGTATCTGCTCATTAAAATATTAATAATATGAACAATTTTAAATGTAAACAAATCACAAACGTACAATGCAAACTAATGATCAACTATGTAACCTTTGTAATCATTTGAAATGTATAGCAAAGGATACACCTACATATGATTTCCTACACACCAAAGATAAAACCCAGTGAACTGTAGCAGAACCCTTGCCAAATTGCTATTTAATTAACATCTCCGAAAAATTAATGATAGCCATTCTCTAATTAAATTCAATTCCGGTCTCTTCCAGGATCTTTACTACATTGCCCTCGGCTATCCCGAAAAGGAGCTGAACACAGACATCGCACTGATCACAGGTGGAGGCAACGGCCTTGGTCGCCTTCTGGCTGAGAGACTGGGAAAAATGGGAACCAAGGTCGTTATCTGGGACATCAACAAGAAGGGTGAGTCCTCGGATCATGCGACACTCAGGAGGCTCGTCCAATAATTTCATCACCATCCGTTTCTTGCAGGCATTGCCGAAACCGTCCAGATTGTCGAGGAAGCGGGTGGCTATTGCAAGGGCTATGTGGTGGATATATCCAAAAAGGAGGAGGTCTACAAGGCAGCCGATGCCATCAGAGACGAAGTCGGTGATGTAAGTATTGTACTACTACACTTGATTCTTGCTACAAAATACACACTTTATTTTATTTGCCCTGGGAGTTCAATACATATTCGATATTCGACAATGTGAGTTAAGAAACATTTGTTTTGTCCACGTTATCTCTCGAAGATCCAATGCATTGTCCATATTTCTCAACTGGGGCGAAAGGCGGGAAGTGCGTGCGGGAATTGAAGCATAAAAGGCCAGTAATTGCTGTTTACAGTCGAGCGCCTAATGTGGCATCAGACTAGTCGTCATATAATTGTTTGCTGAGGGGCGTTTAATGGCCGATATGCTGGCCAGAACCCGGCCTGCTTGTTGGGAGCGCGGAACACATGTAAGCCGGCACCATCCAAGACTTGCAACAGTGGCTGCCACACCCCGTAGCAACACATTTATGCATATTCATGTCATAAATTCAAGCCGAAGCCAGGGCGGAGAGAAGAAAATTTGTATGCATGAGCGCATCGTCATCGTTGCGGCAACCTTGAGAAATTGTTGCACATTACACACACGGCGGCAGAAAAAGCAGAAGCCAAGTCCAATCCGGTCCTCTACAAACTGGTTGCCATTTCGCATTCGATCTGCTCATTTATCACAATCTGGGGCAGGTCCGGGCGTTGCAGCCATGCAAGTGAGAGATATGCAAAGCAATGCCCACATTTTCGGATAAGCTCTTGCCACTTTTCGCAGTGGTATTTTAATCAATTTGCTTGCTAATTATGGAAATGGCTTGTTGTTCTTACCTTTGATCCCTCATTTGAACTCATATTTTACAGTAGTCATGGTAGAGGAAGTTGAATAACTAGGGAGATGTTGCAATTGATGTTGATCAAAATAAGCGTTTTGAAGGTAATAGCTCTAAATTTAAAGTTGCGATTTTGATTATTTTTAGCTGGAGCTGCTGTAGTTCCCCGCCTAGAATCACTTTCAATTAAGAGTTAACAATAAGCCAGTCAAAGCTCTCCTTTTATACACACAAATTTCAGTTAATTGCTCTACAGCTGTCACAAGCACAAAATGCCATCATTAAGATACTTCTCGTGCACGTCCAGGTCAATTTGCAAAGCGTACTGAACTGCCAAGAGCCCCAAATTATTGGCCAAAATTACAGTATAGGGAAAACGATAGAAAAGTGCCTAAAATGAAGTCAGAAGTCAAGCTTAAAAGCCAGCAAAAAGCAGCAAGAACACAGCAGCAAAAGGGCAAAAAACGAAGCCATCATTTTGAAAGAGTTGTATAATTACAGCGGCAACACCGCTGAACCTGAAAGTCACAAAAAGTAAATAAAGATAAAAAGCGGTGGCCACAACAAGCAAAACAAATTAAACTGCTTAGTAAGTCATGCGTTATGCAGATGACGCGTTGCTTTTGCTGTCCTTCTTAGGTTTCAAATCTGATGTTGTTTTCTTCTCGGTTTTACTATTGCACGAAGCCCTCTGAAATATTACATTTAATATTTTTAATGGCCTGCGATGTTGTTGTTTGGCTTAATGGTCCGCCGCTGTCGTTGTTGCTTTTGCTTAATGCACGCCTCGTTAAATGTTTTTGCCCGGTTACAGCGGGCAAATTTAAAATCGCTCATACGCAATGTATGACCTGCCCCCGCCCCCGCCCCCGCCCCACACACCATTGCACTTGAACTCGCCCCCAAATCGGATCGTTGTTGTGCACTTGTTGTTAACTTATTTAGCCACCAGCTGTAATCGGAAGGCCTTCAGGGGGACAAAGTGTAGTTGTTATTTGAGTTTTCAAGCATTTTACATTATTCGCATTAAGGCCTTGACATGCTCGACATTGTGGCTGGCTGCCATTTGAGGGATTTCACTTTTTGGCGAGCTAAGTGATAAGTGATTCAAAGGAAACTTTAGTGAAAACGTGAAAAAAACTGAAGATCGAATCTTGCGAAATTTGTCTGGACTTGAAACTCAATAGAACTGGAAAAACTGCCTTGCAATTTTGTTTTGGTTGGCAGGTCGTAAATCAAATAATTTATTAGCAGTGTAACTTATCTATAAGTCGAGAATAAAATATTTGTCGGCTATCTGGTGTTAGGCAATTGGCAGTTAATCTGAAGTTGGGCAAGTTGCAGTGCTAACGATTTTCCATTAGGGTTGACATGGTTTTTGCAGATCTGATTGCGCATTCAATTCGTTTAATTTAGAAGCACACTTTGTACATCGCTGCCACATTCCCCATTCAAACTGCCACTTTTCGGCTACATTGCAGATCACTCTGCTGATCAACAATGCGGGCGTGGTATCTGGGCTGCACCTTTTGGATACACCTGACCATCTGATCGAGAGGTCGTTCAATGTGAATGTCATGGCACACTTTTGGGTAAGTCGTGGACGTCCATAAGACCACTTTGTGGCCGGAATGTGGATGCTAATGCCGCTGTTTCAATGTTGCAGACGACAAAAGCGTTTCTGCCCAAAATGATTGAGAATGATCGAGGACACATTGCCACGATCGCCTCGCTGGCCGGCCATGTGGGCATTAGCAAATTGGTCGATTACTGTGCGAGTAAATTCGCAGCGGTGAGTGTGCCTTTTTTTCGCCCCTGCCATTCCCCTCCTGAGTTACCGATAATTGCAGGTTGGCTTTGATGAGGCTTTGAGGCTGGAGCTGGAAGTCCTTGGACATACGAACATCCGCACCACCTGCATCTGCCCCTTCTTCATCCAGGCCACTGGCATGTTCGACGACGTGAATGCCAGGTGAGTACCACAGCCCCATCCCGATCCCGATTCCGATCCCGATCCCGATCCCGACCTCCAACCGCCAGAACTGACGTTTTGACTGGGTAAATGATTGCAGATGGGTCCCCACACTGAATCCCAACGACGTGGCCGATCGTGTCATTGCGGCCATCAGGAAGAACGAGAAACTGGCCGTCATTCCCGGTTTCCTGAAGGTCCTCCTCTCCTTCAAGTGGTATGTAAACACATGAACTTTCGCCCCGGCCAATAATGACAATTCGCCGCCCTTAATTAGGCGCCATAATGGCTGTAAGGTGCTTGTAGGCCCCTAATGGGAAACGCTTGACTTGAATATTTTAATTTGAGTTTATTTAATGGCCGTGTTCCCTGTCGAGGGAAAAGAAGCCGCGTACATGTTAGCGTACGTGTTAGTGGGAAAGGTGCAGGTGATTTTGATTTGATCATGGGCCCTATTTTGTCGAGGAAAGTGACTACAATCGAAACGAATACAGAATCTGCACCAAAAGAGTTGAGGGAACAGTAGCTTGTTCCAATGCCATAATTTGCAGTGTCATGGGTATCATTCCAAAGTTTATCAAACCCTTAATGTGTACTTCATGTGGCACTCCCAGTAAAAAGTGGGAAATCCACGATTTAAAAGCGTGACCACATCCCCATCCACCTCATCAAAAAAATACGATAAAATGCAGACCCAAGCGGCGGTGCTCGCTCATCCAGTACACTGTCAAAAAAGGTGTCACGATATTCATTTTGGGCCAGTTATATTTGCTGACTAAAGTACCACTTATAAAGAAAAATGTATCAGAGCAGGTGTAAAAATATAAAAAAAAAATACATGCAAAAGAAAGGCCTTAGACGAGTGTAGCTCCCAACCCCAAATCATAGCGCACCCCCTCCACATCGCCATGCCTAATGGTCTCGCTTTAATGTGTTTCGCCTAAATAATGCACAATATTTACCTTTACTCACCCACCTCCTTGTATTTTCGCAGGACCTTCCCCTGGGGCTGCGTGGGTGGCTTGCTGAAGCGCCTGGTGCCCGACGCCTCCCCCCACGGCCTGCCCAGCTCCATAGCCGCCCCCGCCCTGCCGCCGAACTCCAGTTCCAAGTCGACGGCCGCCGATATCGCCGCTCTGGATGCTGAGCTAAGCAGCGTTACCCTGCCGGCGAAGCCACCCTCGATGCTCATCCAAAGGACACCGTCGCTGGGGGAGCGAGTCCTTTGAGCGCCCAACACCAGAGCACACCATCCACTCCTCCTGTTGAATTCGCATTATTCTTTTTCCAACGTCGTGCATTTTATGAGCGTGGAGTTACGAGCATGTGTAATTGAATTCGTGTTTTTGGCGTTTTGGCTGCGAGGAAGCAATACTTAATCTAAGCTACGAATCTAGTGATATTACATTTAGTTAAAGTAGATTGAAGGGGAAAGCGTTTAGCCTTAATTAATCGAATTGTATTTTTGTAATGCCTCTTAAGTTAAGGTAATGTTTTGCATTTCCGATTTGCCAGTAGTCATCACCTAATTTAAACAATCCTCCCAGCCGAATATATGTAATCGAAGTTTTAAGCCATTATTTTTGTACCTATACGAATACAATCAAAACCCTTTGCTCAAAGGCGTGGTCCAATTCGAAAACTAAATATATCTTTGTTACACGTTTACTCGTTTCTTAGCTGTAATAAATTTTAGTTCATTTAGCTTAGAATTACACGAATTATTGAACAAATTCGTATACTTGTATGTATAAAAACCAATTTATGTTCTAAATATATTATGTAAAAACATTGAGCTTAAAAGTCTATGGTTGTGACTAGCCTTGGAATTGGAAAGCATAACATTGACTATGGGGTTAATACTTCTCAACAAACACTAAACATTTATTTTTGGATTAATGTTTTCGTCATCTCGCAACTCTCATGAAATGAGCTTGAATAAATGATGACCAAAAAGAAACACAACCAGTATAACTTAAATTTTAAGCAAAGATTGAAGTTAACTTGCGAAAGGATTCTCATCATACTTTACACTTAGCGCCTTGGGCACTTCATATCTTCCCACTGGATCCCTGTAAAGGGGATTCTCCTGTCGGACACTGTTCTTCTGATCTTCCTCGAACCTGGCAAATTCCCTGGCATCCTTGGCTCGAATGTACCACAGAACTAGCAAAATGGTCAAAAGTCCAACCAGCAGAGTAAATGCCGATATATAGCCCAACAGGGCAACTTTATCCGTGGGCTCGCAATCAACCGCTTGGATGATCAATAAGTTTGAGTGGTCGATGACCTGATAGGCGAAGAAGCTGTCGCATTGGATGCCGTGCTTGTTCACCATTCTCACCAAGCATTGATTCTGCTCGGGATCCAACTCGTGGACAAAGTTGTACGAATAGGTTTCTTGTCTATCCAAGCTGCTACATATATGCGTTAGGTTTTCGCAAGCGCCCATTCCCTGTTTTTGTTTGATCAGACAGGTAACACAGGGCTCATAGAACAAACACAGCTTGTTGTCCTTTTCCGGATCGATTTCACAGAATTTTCCCAAGTACGGCTTCTCACACTGGCACTCCTCGCACTCGCAGGTGCCTCTTTCCGAGCATATTTCGCCCGTGGGTCCCACACAGGCAACGGTGGCCCCATCGCAGTTGCATTTGGTACCGGACCATCCGTACTTGCAAACGCACTGGCCGCAGGAACAATCTGCCAACTTTTCATCGCAGTCCAGGCACTCGCGACACTCGCAGAAAGTACCCTTGTATCCAGGATCACACAGGCATTTGCCACAGTCACAGTCCCCGTGATTGGAGCAAACCAATTCGGAAGTGGATTTATCCGACAGCGTTTGACGGCATTTCTGGAGCAGAGCTTCATTGCTGGTGACATTTGTGGCGTCCGTGGGACATTTGCAGTAGGTCCCGGTCCACCCGTCGTCGCAACTGCACATTCCGCAGTATAAATAGCCATTATTATCGCACAGGGATCGGCCTTCCTCTTTCCTCGGATCCGGAGTATCCTGGCAGGGACACGGACGCTGAAGCTCCACATCCAAGTCCATGAACTCGCTCAAGGATGTTTCCTCCACGCGGATTTTGTGGGTCTGAAATTGAAGGAGAATGAAGTGGTTCGAGGAACTTTAGTAGTAGACTGCCACTTACATAAACCTGATTATCGGGATGTTTCTTCAGGGTGACGTCCACGTAGAAATCAATCTGCTTGCCCAGACTGACGTTATTGCAGTAATTCCGCTTTTGCAAGCTCGGAAACTGACCACCGCAATCCGTATAATAAACCATGTCAATAAAATCCGGGCTATTATCGGCGAACTGAGTGCGTTTAATCAGACTCGCAAAGCTGAAAGTTAGAAAGAGTGAGATCTAGAATCCAAGCAGAGCATTATGCAAAGCCATGGACCACACCCGTCTTACCTCTTTTTGATTAGCTCCAATATGTTGGAGGAATCAGCACTCAGGATGTCCACATAGCTGATTTCCTTCATTAGGGCACTGAGTTCCATATAGCTGCTCACCACCTCCTGGGTGACAGCAAAGATCACATTAATCTTTCGGCGAAGCAGCTCCCGATAGATTTCCTCCAGCGAGGGGTAGTCGTAGTCCAAGGAGCCCGTGTATTCCCCTGCTTTATTCAGGTGACACTGCTTATCATTGCGTTGGATGATGCCTGCTAGAAGCCCGTCTCCCGCCAAATGCATAAAGCCATCGGTTACCAGGATCACCACCTTCCGCGCTTGTTCCTTCCAGCCGATTTCCTTGGTGCACACTATGACCTGCATTAGAGCGTCCAAGCCGCCTTCGAGGTTATCCAAGTTTCCCGTGATCTTGCTATTTGCCACGGCCGCGGTAAATGCTGGGATATCATCGGTTAGTGATAGCTGATGTCTGTATCCGTAGGTTGGTTCACACTTGGCCTGCTCCCCAGCACAGGGATTTTCCCTATGCTGTGGCAGAATCATGGGTACAGTTGGCTTATCCGCGAAGGAACCAAAGCCCAGTCTGTAGTTTGCAGTCAAGTTTTTTAGCGTCTGGCTGAGCTGGGCTCCCAACTCCTCCAGCGTTTCCTTGTCGTCCCTCATTGTCCAGGTTAGATCCATCAAAACGTACAAATCGAGTGGATTGTTGCGTGCAGCTCTGTAGCTCAGCTTGATTCTTTGCGTGTTTTCTGCGGGACAAAAAGTAATGAAAGGTAATAGATCGGTTTACTACTCGAATGCACCTAAAAAGCAACCTTGTTTACGAGCTGTTTTATGGGCTGACACGTCTACGTAAACTAAGGCCAGTCTCCTGCATACTACGCACTCATTGGATTCTTGCAGTGAGAGAAATTGTCCATCCTTATATTAAGACTTAATATTCAGCATTCTAAGCAGTTACATTTTAAGCTCAGAATTTGTGTTTCGGTTAGACTTTGAAAGAAAAGTTCTACTAATATTAAAAATAAATGAATTATTATATTAAGACATCTTTTGTGCTGACTAATTTGCTCTGTGCACTCCCCTAGTGCTTGCAACCATTGATTACCACTTGAGCCAGTTCACACCCAGGATAAATGTTTGGCTTCCTTGTAATCCTTAAGCGTGCAATTAACCGACTTCCTATACCACTGTTTGTACTTAATAACTGGGTTTCCAGTGCCTCTTAACCTAGCCAGATTTCTACTCGAGCGATGCTAATGGTTATTAAATTGGTTAATAAGCTCTTGGAGAAACAAAATTATTGACAGACATCACTCCACATCAATTGAGATATACGCAACTTCATTATTGAGACTGAGAAAAGAGAGCTAGTTAAGTCAATTCGCTTAAAATAACTTATCAAAAAAAGGGCTAAAAACGGCAAATATTATAATATAATGATAAATTGTGTTGTAATTATGATGTGATCTGATTAAACTTAAAAGTTAGTAATTTATAAATATTGAATGTGTAAATTCGATGGAATGGAAAGAAAAAGACAGTTGAGTATTTCCGGATTGAAGCTCTTAAATGTGTTTTTTCCAATTGATCGTGCTTCACCCATTGCCATATTATTTAGTGCTCGAGAAAACCTGATCCATTTATTAAAATCCCTCTCTCATGATTCATTTTTGCCCGTTTATATCAACACAGGAACGAATAAATTGTATTCGATTTAGGTATCACAATACTTATAAAGTGGGTTCACTGAACTATGCACAGTAAGCGACAAGGAGGGGGGAAGAAAGAGAGGGATAGAAAGGAATTCCCACGCCAAATAGTACAACAATAGCAAGATGTGACAACCACAAACTACTGATAAGCAAAGCGCGGACACAAAACAAAATGCTTAAAACATGATGTGGAACAAATCGGCAAAGCAAATACGAAGTAGGGGGAGAGAAATGGAATGGTGACACACTTGATAGAGGAAAATAACGTGTTAGAGGGAAAGAGAGAGGCTTAGCCACATGGTGACACACATTTGATAAGATAAGAAAGCCAAATAAATGAATAATCCAAATACTCACCCTTGACCAATCTAAGATATGCCCGCTGGGGTGTCACTTGAACAGCCTGATCCCTGGTTTCGTAGTCCTTTAGGGGCTTATCCTGAAGGACATCGAGGACCGGCTGGTTCTCATATATATACGTCTCACTGCAGTTATTGGTAAGTAGTAGCCGGCGAGAGAGACAGCGATATGCATCTTTGTATTTCTAGAAGGCAAACAAGTGAAATGATTGATCGCAAGGATGAGAACAGTGCCGCCATATTTTCGCATATATTTTAATGCAAGCAAGGCTCTGTTTTTGTTACTACAGTCATCTCGTTCCCACTCACCTTGTCCGTGCACCAAGCGCATTCCATGTGAGCGGATAAACATCTTTCGCAGCTGTCCGCGTGCATGCACTGATCGTCTGCGTGAGGGAGATGGCGATAACAAAGTAACGGTAAAGCTATCCGGCTAACAAACCAATTGAGTCTGCATCCGAGTTGGAGATCCTTCCCACTAGAAAAAACAAACATATCCACAAGAACGCCTTTTCGCGCAGTGACGTCATTTTTATAACAACATGTGCAATTTTCCGATCGCTGTTCTAATATTTTGTTTTGCCGAGGGAGCGACCGTTCGGCCTTAGAAGTCCAGCGTAACTAATATTTGTTCAGTACGAAAAGCGTTCATTTGCTTCGCTCTTTGACTTTTTTAATAAGTATTATCTTATCGAGGGAGCGTGATAAAAAAATGTGAGAAGTTATTGGGAAAATATTTTGATTAGAATAAATGGCACTCTTAAGAGAAGGAATGGAAGTAATATGTGACACTAAATGAAAACAAATCACTTTATTTTGATGTTCTAATCACTCTACATTTGATTAAATAAAATAAGTTTATTGTTATTTTTATAAAATTATCTATATATGAAATATTTGTGTTTGGAGGGTAAACATTTATTTATTTATTTAAATTTATTCATTTAAACGGAAACAATAAAAAAGTCGTGTAATATATTCAAAAGTAACTGTCCCTAACACTCCATCCCAGTAAATATAATTAATCGACAATGATTAAATTTGAAATATATAAGTGTACTTTAAATATGTGGAGCCGTAAGTTTTGTAGCTAACAGATATGGTAAGGGAGCGAAAATACTAACATAAGCCAAATCGAATTCATTTAAACTCTCTTATCCTAAACTTAAATAAAAAATTGAACCAAAAGATACATTTATACAAAACTAAATTAATTAAATTAAAAGTTGAAGAAAAAGTTTACTGTTTCATTAATTGTAATTCTTCACCAAGTATAAATTTTATTAGAATACAAGATTTTAAAACCCCAAATGGAGTGGACTTTCGTTGATAACGGCATTCTGAAACTCTGTACATGATTTAAGCAGCTTTTATGATTTTAAACATGATATATAATACTTATCACTTTAATTTAAAAGCCCGAATAACGAATTGATTAGGTGCTGACTGGTCACACTACCCAGCTCAAATTGTGAAAAACTGGTTTTAAATGAATGCTCTCTTACTCTCTCCGGACGGTATATTGCTTAGGGCGAGCCACGGTCCTACTAGCATCTGCCCACCCCCACGACGAGTACAACAATTATACCAAAACGTTGTTGTCTTCTTCACTCCCTTTGGGAGAACGCAAAGAGCAAAAGAGAAGGAAGCGCAGCAATGTGACCAAAATCGTGGGTAAAAAGACGCAATAAAATACTAAATCCCAAGACAAACGGCCAGTCGGCGAAAAATTTTCAGTTCGCGGGGTTGTGCAGCGGACGATTTTCCATCGGAACGGTTTAACTTTGGAGCGGAGCGCGGAGTTTCGCATTTTTTGTGTTTATAGCGGAAAATCGGATGAAAAACTCCAAATGTTTACCAAATGAGCGGCGACAAATACGCGACCAATTGACGAGATCGTGTGTGTTTTTCCCAATTAAACGGTGAGTGTGCGATAGAGATGGAGTTGTAAAGTATGCAGTCAAATCAAAGTGCGGCAAAAAAGTCTAAAGGTGAAAAAGTCATTAAAAAAAGAAAGCAAAATAGAATTGCTCTGTGGAATATAAAAATATATATACATACATACATATATATGCAAGGAGACGACGCGCAGCGAAAAAGGAATTTTTTGTGTACTACGGTGGCGCTTTGTTGTTGCTGTTGTTGTACGCGTCGTGCATTTGCTTTTGTTTTGTGTTTTATATGTTATTGCCTTTGCTTTTGCCTTTGCTCCACGGTGTTTTTGTGATTGGAAAACTAAGAAAGGAAAGCAGGAAAACCAAGCAAAGAAAATAAAAACCGAAATTGAATAAGAAAATTGTCCATTTTCGTTTTCCATGCCAGAGAAAAGTGAAAAGATTAATTTACTAAGCAAAGCGGCAAAACTGTATGTGTGTATGTGTGTGTGTGTGGGCGGTTGAGTCTGCGTGTGCTTGTGTGTGTGGCTGTGTCTCTAGTTTTTACAATTCCCACTGCACACGCTGTTTCGTGTTGGATTATTGGATTATACCGCCAATAACGGCACACGCACAGCAACAACAACACCTATAAAAACAACAAAAAGCGATAAGGGAGAGCAGACGACGCTGGGATTAATCATTAATGTCCTGAGAGATAAGGAACAGGACTTCAGAAGAACAAGAACAAGGAGAAGACAGGAAGAGGATGCAGCAGACGGACAGAAGAAGGCGAGAAAAGGTAAGTTTAAACTTCAAATTCTCTATGGTTTATTTATCTATCGTAATATTTAATGTAGCGAACAGAATGTTATATTCTTATGTTAGTAAGACCAATTACTATGCAGACCCACTCTAAAAAGTATAAAACAATGTGGAAAAAGAATAAGGCACAAGCTGTGTGCCTTGGGATTTATATCCTCTTTGAAGGACTAGCTCATGACAGGTCATATTTGACCATTGACAAAAGACTATCTAAAATTATCTAATATATTGTCCATATTTCTCCCGCAAGAGCAAATTACATCGTTACATCATATCGTTTGTATACTTTTGTCTGTGGTGTTTATCAGTTATCTGTTGAAAACTCTATTAGTTAAATATATAGCAATAGGGGATTTTAGGTTTTTTCATTTAAATCTCTTTTACTTACCTTGATAATTTTCTATTAAAGATTAGGGACTGTTTAAATTAAAAAAAAACGTCGTTTGTAGACTTTTCCGGCACTGTAGCTACATATGTATTTACATACATGTACATATTACGCCATCTTTTGAAATATGTATAAATATAATAATATATTTATAGTATAAATTATTGCAGAATTTTCAATTTCCAAATAGTATCCATAATTATTGCAACTTGAATAGAGTTGTTTCTAATCAATTCGTTCGCTTCACTTAGCCGGGCGCTCATTTTCCAATGAAAATTTATTCTAATGACGCTTTTCGCGATCCTAATCTGCTGCGCATAAATTTCTTTGGCAACTTTGGGTGATTTATTGCCTGTCGATTGTCGTCGTAGTCGCAGGCGCTGCTTTTTGGCCAGTCCCAGAGTCTCGGAGCGATTTCAATCCGAACCGAAAGCGGACCAAGAGACCCCCGTCCAGAGCGCACAAGACCAGACGGGATTGGACAGGACAGGACAGGACGGGACAGGACGGGACAGACTGGTGCCAGTTAATGTACGCGCCTCGCAGATGCCGCGGATTAGATAAAAATTCTCAATTTATGCGTTGCGCCAGTTGCCAATTGCAGTCCACCTTCCAAAGCCTCCTACTCCTCCGAGATATACATACATACATACATATGTATGCATATGTACAATTTCATATGCAAAAAAAACTTGTCGCGCCTACTAAAATCTTTGCCCGAGGGCGCTGCGATGCCTTCATTCCAGTCTTTTCCGCAGTCTATCATTTGAAATCATGTCCCGGCGATAAGAAATTATAGTGGCCCGGTCATAATTTACGTGATTTGCCTGCCTAATGTCCTGCCGCATGACACGAGGACAAAGCGGGAACCATAAAAACAGAGGAAAAATTCACATTTGGAGGCTGTTCCAAATGAGGAGGAATTAGGGCAGGCAGTTGGGCCAAGAGAAGATTAGTAGTTGCAGCTAAATGGATTATTAATGTCTAACGTGGCGAATGAAATAAAAGAGGCATTTATAAAATTATAAAGATAAAATCATATTATTATGTTGGAGGCCTAAGAGGCACGAATCGGATTGATCCTCTCAAATATTTTATATATTTTTAAAAATTGGAAGTTCGAAATTATGTACATACGTATGTGTAAGTACTGAAGAGAATCTTTAGAAGTGTCGCCACACAACAAGTATCTATAATATATTATATATATTATATTTATGCACTCTGGCTTCTATAGGCCATAGACACCGCAGTGTGGATTCTTTTGCAACCCCTTACCCTACAGTGGACCCATTATTTTTCCGATGCCCTGGCCAGTTTTCCCTGGGGAATGGCCCTCTAGCTACACGCATACTGGAAAATCCGTTTCGTTTTGACATTTATTGTTTTTAATAGTCTCGAGAGCTAGGGAATTTTATGACACATCCTCGAGCGATAAAAATCTTTACTGCCCCAGGGTACATGCATATGGTTTATTCGTCGTTCCTTCGTTCAATAAGAGCCTAAGGTAAATAAAGTTGGGGATAAAAAGAAAGAGGACTTTGAAATTAGCCGGGGCCACCTCATAAAGTGAAAAGTGTCATAAAAATTAGTCAAGAAATCACGCTGCCCACTCCCAATTTGTAATTCTTCGGACGGTTCTTTTCGTTTCTTTCGGACTTTTAACATTTCAGTTCCTTTCGGTTATTTGGTTGTTTGTTCTGACACATTTGTATGCTAATGACAGAGCGGGATATGGAGGTTGCTTGGCTTGGGTAGGTGCTTCCGGCGGGATTCCCTTGGTCTTTTTACCGCTGACTGAAATCTATCAGGTTTTTGACGAGGGTTTCGGCCGGGAAATCGCTTTCGGAGGATAAAGCATGCAGCTCAGGTCTTGCATATTGAAGTGGCCGCTGATAAAGGATTTGGGAAGTAGTTTAAGCCATTTGGACGGGGTCATAAATTGAATTATAATTCAGGCATACGAAATTCTTTCTGTCTGTCTGGGAGCTTATGCCTAATGTTCTTCGGCTTAAGGTCTTTGGGTTGAGTTGTTTTATTTTTTCTCCCCTCCAGAGCGCATTTCTTGAGACCTAAGCACTGGACTTCGGTTGGATGAATCAGCTCGAGTTGAAAACAATAAAACGAAAACAATAAAATATGAAATTTGAAGTGTATTTCCAGGAATGGTTCATAGCCTTTAACTAAGAAGTGCAGGGATGCAAATTAAGAGCGCATCCCAAATGTAAAATGTAAAAAGTGAAGTTTAGGTTGACTAACACAGTCAAGGTCTAAAGTAATGATGCTTTGTATCTAGGTACCACAAATTACAATAAAATGCAATACGTTCCTATCCACTTGAGCCAACACTTTGATTGCCTTTATTTTTCTTTCCGATTAGCTCTCCCAGATTTCCCATTTTTTGTGTATGTGTTTCCCTCGAATAGCTTTGGTTATCTATAAATAACATTTTGCTTGCCTTTCTTATCAACTTCCGCTTCTTAATGTCTCTCCAGCCAAATTGCAGCTAAACTCTTAGTTTTTCCTTCCCCTCTTCCTTTCTCGCCCACCCATCTCTTTCACTGCGGCCCGTCCCTTTCTAGCAAATTGGCTTCTATGGCTGTCTTATCCTGAAATGTGTGTGCGAGCTCGGGTGTGTAACAAAGATATCAATGGCAACGGAAAAAAGAAATTAGGGAGTGGGAGGCCAACCTTGAACCTTAAACCCGAGAAAAAACAACCAGGGCTCATTTCCGTAGCAGGTCAGACAAAGTCAAATATACGCGGCTGAAGAGAGATAGATAGATGTAATACCACAAATCTAAAATCCACAAATGCCACAAAAAGTCAATAAATGTGCGCCTTTGCTTAGTTTTATGAACGGCACGTTAGGAGCTCACAAAAATGACCAAAGATGGATATATAGAATAGATATATATATAGTGCTGAATAGATGAAGGAAAAGACAGTGGCAGGAATGACAATCAAATGAGAGGAAAAACTAAAGCAAACAAAAGACGCACGAAGCTGAAAGAGAATTAAGTGAGGCCTGGCAAAAAGTAAATGAGGAAAAAGAAAGTTCCGCAATTCCTCTTGTTCTTGGTCACTTTTTTGTTCCCAGCAATTATCCGCTGGTCAAACAAAAGTCATTAAATTGCGGAAATCGGGTCACCAAACCGACAACAAACCCAACTAAATGAGGGGCAAAAAGAAAAATAAGCAGACAAACGGAGGCGAAAAACCCCGAAAAGCAGTCGAAAAGAACATACGACTAAATTGTGAATTTATTTACATTTAATTGCATCTAAGTTTCAAAACAAAGGCGGCATTGCCAGCATTGTCTCCGAAATTATATTTTAATGTGTGGCCTTCGCTTTAATTGTGATGAGGTCCCTTTATCCCTACTCTTCAACTTTTCTTGGTTGCCGCAGTGTTGAGATAATAATGATGATGTGACTCATTAACCTCGACGCATGACCCGGGAAAATTAGAACTACAAGAAATTCATTCCAGCCGCAAAGACATCATTTCTTTACACTTCGCAGCAAGGGGATAATTGGGTATTTTACCCACATGCTTGGATTGAACTGGGAAAACTCTATTGGGTTTTTACTTTCGTTGGAAACATACCAATCAAGAAATCCAATATTCTTATATTTTAATTTGTGGTTGGAGCAGTTACTCTTAAAAAACCGGAGACTTAGCAGCTTCTTTTGTGTCGATAATCTTCGTTTGCCCAAAACTCGTTCCCTGCAGCTCAGTGTAATATTTTCGAAGCGCGTATGAGCGATATAGATACATATTTAAGCTGTCTGTGGCAACCAGGCCTGTTTGAGCTGTAAGTGTCTTTTGAGGCCGTGTTTTATTGCTGCTAAGTTCGCTTGTTGACTTTGGCTGAGTCATCATCTCGCGGTTCGTCGGTTTGATGTTAGAAGTTGCCCGTTCTCCAGCCCCCGAATACCCCTACTCTCTTTCGAAAAAAACAGCACTTAGCTGACATATTTTCCTTTGTAAAACTTAATGGTCTAGATAAAGTTCGGTCGGCTGACTGCGGTTTTGTCGCTTAAAGTTTTCTAAAGTGAGCATCGCATGCTTAGCATTTAAATGAACTGAAAAGCGAAGTTTTGCATTGAAGACTTGGCGATGATTCAATTGGCCGTGCATTTGCTGGGCTTTTGCAATCTTTTGGTTTGCAATTTGAACTTCGAAGACCACACCTTGGAACCGTTTTTCATTTGCCTTTTATATTTCCATTTCGATTCGTTTGTGGGTTTGTTTTGAGCTTGGGGTTCGGTTTTGGGTTCTCGGGTTCGTCATGATTGCAATATCATCTGCAACCCAATGCGTCTCCATTTCCCACGTTTTGCAGTCTTCAGTGCCCCGCTTGTGCAATTAGTTTGGAATTTCGAGTCATGCCTAATGAGCCGAGTGGGGTCAAGGGATTTAATTGCATCTTAAACGGCTCTCTCGGCTTCAACTTTAATTTTGCCGCAGCTGAAAGGCAAATGCAAATGCACTTGTCGGGTTCTACTAACCACATCCCGTCGGCCTCGTCTTACTATATTTGTGTTTTCCCTCGGTGTGTGTGCGCTGTTTGTTGTTCATTTGTTTATTTGTTTACATGGCAAACATAAACCAAACAAGCGCCGCCACTGCTGGTGGCAAAAAACTTTTAAGCCGGAATATGTTTACAAATGGCCAAAGAAGTTGAGCCGTGCTGGGGAAAGTGTTGGGTTAATTTTATAAAATTATGTGAAGAAGCTGCCAGGGTCTTTCATTACTTCAAGGGTACATACGAATTCTTTTGGTCCCTCTAAAATATTAGCCAAATTGGATTGTAAAGGGTTGTCCAAAAAATATTTATTAAAGTAAGTATTTATTAAAGTAAAGCATATCACTTGAATTTCGGCAATTATCTAAACCGTTTCCTACTCAAAGCATTAACTCAATAAATATAAATACTTAAATGATGTGTAAATCCTAATTTAATTTAGGGTATAATTGTTCTTTGCCCAATTATTAATAATTAGTTTCTTAGTTTTCCCCTTTAAAAGTACATTAGAATTGCTTTTTATAGGAAAGTAGAAACCGATCAAAACTATATTGCTTTAAGGCTGATTTTTCTTGGCGAATGCTACAAGTTTTATATAAAAAATTAGTTTAAGAGATAACTACTTTCCGCTGGGTTAGACTACTCGCTCGCCTATTTACCCTCCTACAAAGACACATTCCCAATTGTTTTCGACTCCTCTTGTTTACTCTTGAAAGCAATTGAAACCTTTGTGGAGGTTAATTTTCTTGGAGTTTCGTAGAACAACAACCTCATTGTTTACTCGTATTTCTCTCAACTGGCCTTAGCCTGGATTCATTTATGTTTACGTGCCACATTTGGTGCCTTTGTTTACCCCAACTTCAGCACCAGAATTTTCCAAGGAGATCAAACCAATTTTAACTTCTTTGGGGCTTTCTTAGGGGTCGCAACATTAATTCCTGGGTTGCTAGCCTGTATTTTACGAAATTATAATCCGCATTATTCGTTTCTGTTAGCCTTAATTCAACTGCAGTATTTTTTCATTTTTTTCGCTCGTTTTTTGGGCCAGTATGTCTATAATGCGCTTTAATTATTGCGGGAAAAGGCGGTTTTCCATTCGTCAGGAGGCGAGTGTTTTTCTCCTTGCTGAAATTATGAGCATTAAGTGGAAATGGGCAAAGTAAATCGTGTTAAAAGGAACTTATCATTTGCATTACGGCCTTCTACCCCATTTGGTTATTATTATTTAATTGCTGGCGCTTTAATTATTGACCAGACACGAAAAGAACTACCATTTACCATTTTATTCGATAAAAAATAAATCAAAATGACAACCGCTGGCTAGAAAAGCAATTTTCGGGAAATCCCATGGCAAATTACATGCCAAAAACACAAGACAAACGCTTCAACGGAGTAAAACTAAAAGTTGCAGCAGAAAAAAGGCAAAGGAAAACTAAATTAAGCGCCTTTGACATAGAAAATGCAATTTGCTGAAAAAAATTTATCTGCATGGCGAGAGGGCTCTAATAAAAGTGAAATGCATGTGGGAGAAAGGCCGACTCAAAAACAACCATACCTAAAAGAATACAAAATGGAATTACGAGCAGTTTTATTCTAGTTTATCACACGAATTGAGTTTGAAAATGCGTAGCCTGGCAAAGTGCCACAGAAAAACGGAAAGGAAATCGAAAAGAAAAGAAAAGGAGCGACGAAAATTGCAGGGGAGTGGCAAAGGGAAATGCCCTAAGATAGATGCATCAATTGGAAAGGCAGAAGAAATGGCACAAAAATCGACAACGATGTCGAGGACGTTGACAAGCGTAAAAGACACCCAGGCATTGAGGACATGTGTGCGTGTGGAAATCCTTTAAAAAGGCAATTTTGGTAGCACTTAAATGCAGACTCACAACGAAAGAAAATCAGTGAAGGGGAGCAGAGTGGAGCCAGGACACGCGGGTACTTCTCCTTTTCCTTTTCGCTTTTGTACCCCTTAGTCAAGTAAGTACGGCAGTATTCAACCGATGAGCACGATATTGCTGAAACAGACATATGCATTTGACTATTTGAAACTATTTGGAAATAAAACGAAAAGGAAGCTTTCATAAGGGAATCGTTTTCCAAACGTTACCCCTGAAAGCGAGCGAAATCTTTCCTGAGGCAGGCTGAACAATAGGTATTTTTGAAGTTGAGACCTTCCTATAATAGTCTTAGTGGTTTTTCTCGGCCTTCCAAGGCGGCTGATTGTTGGGCTGTTCACCTCCTGCCTCCTGCTTCCCTTCTCCAATCTCCACTCACATGCCACGCCCACAGACACATCCGCCGCATAACTAGTTGCCGTCGAGAGTGGCATAATGGAACGGAACGTGGCGCTGCCGAAGCATGCGGCATGTGGTAGGGCGGTGTGTGGCATGTGCCATAACTCCACGAGCCACGCAACCACCCACTCTTACACACAAGCTCATGTTTGTGTGTGTTTGTGCAATGGCACAGGATGCCAGTTACTACACTGCAAACGCCAATATCTTGAAATCCAATTTGATGTTTATTCCATATCCACAAAAGGCCTAATTTGTGATGCAACAAAAACTTTGGAAGAACATGTATGTTCATTACATTTATAACGCCATAATTATTGTATGTTATTGAATCGTTTGTCGTACAAAAAGTGTCAAATTTCTTGCTGCATCTTCGGCAAACTTAATTATTGAGCGATGTACATATGTTTTCAACACAGTGTTGATGCCTGCTGAGCCACATGTCGATGGCAAAAGAGACTCTGAGTAGCCCGGCCAGAATATCAGAGGATTGGGCGGCTGACGCCTTTAATTAGGCACAAAACTGCATTGGTAGCAGCTAAGTGTGTAGCATCGGCTGCAGGATATCGAATCACAGATTTATGCAACGTGGAATCACTGTAGTTACAACGCCCATCCACCCACAAGACCACGCACACAGCTGAGGGGCGCAATGCATAAAATTGTGTCACAATAATCTTGCCACGCTTGGGGAGTTGGAGGACGGGTAGGAGGAGTGGCAGCAGCAGATTTCTGCCATCAATGCAATTGCCGGGATGTGCCATTCGCAAGGATATGCTGGGAAAAGGATGCGAGGGGGGTGGGAACCCGTTCGAGGAGAACGGGAACACAGACAGTCATAGCATAATTGCAATTAACACAGTCCTCGGTTGAAACTAAAACAGTTACTTAGTGCAGAAGACAACTTCCTCTGCGGGCTGCCTGCTGCCTGCTGCCCTCTTCCTGCATCCCCTGGATCCCC